GTAGGACGTCGAGGCGGACGACGGCGATGTGCAGCAGGTAGAGCAGAGAGAGGGACCAGAGGGCTAACAACGTACACATGAAGGGCCATCTGATCTCTTTCATGAATTCATCTATAGCGCCGAATAGTGTGACGAGAACAGAATCCTTGTCCAGTACTTTTTTCAGCACGCTGCAGAAATCTTTGCACGTTCTCTTGCTATTCAGGCTGTCCGATCCACACAGTGTCTTACGGTCCAACAATGTGAATCCATATCTGCATAATGTTGGGAATGTAGTCCTGCACTGTATAATGGAATTGCATGATGAGTCGTGATTTGAGTTAGATGAGTTTACGGTCACAGTGCAAATTCTAGGACACCTTGCAGTACGGCATTTTGGTTTTTCAGTGCCGCATTTAGCATTGCACTCATCGTACAATTTCTTCAACAAATCGTAAAACGTTTCCGTCGAGTAAACTATCCACGAGAGGTAATTACTGGCGTGCTCTTTGGAAAATACGCCGCTGATATGGTGATTGAGGGAATGTAAATACGGACCGCACATGGCGGTAGACTTCGAGGTGCAAACCAGACTGATGAGGTCTCCGTTAGAATGGCCTGCCGTTTTTGTAGAGTGACTACTAGAAAATAATGAATATACTTTCAGGCCATCATAGTGACGTTTGAAATTCGCTTTATCTATTGCGTCGTTAAATGCAGTTTCCTTGTGCTCTTTACCATACAGGTCCCACCCATTTAGCAAATTGTAGTAGAGTGCAAACATGTCTTCTAATGTTTGCGGCGGCCTAGGTAGTAGGCATCTCACATAAGAGCAGAACAAAGCGAGGGGCGTATTTGGCCTGCCACAAAAATCTCTTAGAACGCTTTTTAGATACGCACCTGTTTTCGTATGTGACGCCATTACAGTAAGATCGCCGAATCCCAAAGGGGTTTTACAAGGAAGACCTCTGTGATTGGACACGGTACATTCCAGCTTGCACCCTGGCTTGGTAAATGTGTGAGGTAAGAAGCCCCGCAGTCCGTCTTCAAGGAATGATTGTAGCGGTGATTTGACACCGCAGCTAGGGTGCTGGTCACATGTTTGGGTAACCAATTGGTTACCACCTTGGTTACCATTTTGGTTTACCTTTTGGTTAGGTCTTAGGTTGCACTCTTGGTTGGCACATTGCGTCTTGTTGCAGTTCCACGCTGACCCGCCAACTCCCTTGCCATAGTGGCAATCTGACCAACCGCCGAGTGTAGTTGGGTGACGACACTGCTCATACGTGAAGCATAATTGATGGAATATTCTCGAAAAAATGTCTACTAGCATGTCGAAGCATCCGGCAGGGTTTGAGGGGTAAGATAATTTAGTTGGATTAAAGTTGAACTCGCAGGCGTAAAGCCCGTGGGAATGACCGTGACCTAAGATGCTAGTGAGGACGTCATGGGATCTTGAACAAACGTAGTCAAGTACCGACTCAAGTTCCCAGGCGGAGAATGCTTTCGGATGGGCTTCCAGTTTTAGGTCAGATGAATGGATTTCTGAATACTGTCTCCTGTCTTCCTTTCCATTGGGTTTGTCGAACAATGTCTTAATGTAGTCGCATAGTGGATAATACACAGGATTATACTGTAGGCCACAAGACCACATGAGCATTTGATATATATTAGACGGTGGCTTCGGTGACGAAATATGTTCTAGGTGACAGACCTTAGAATAGTCATGCGTATATTTGTAGAGTTTATATAGGGGGCTCTCGTCACCATCCTTATCATCATATGTCAATAGTGTTTTGAAAATGTTATGATCGCGCTCAATAAGTTGTTTGATTTTCTCACCATTCACATCTGGTTTATTCCGCAATTCACCGTCCTGTGTTGTTAGCCGTGTGGCAACTTTGAAACCACGGCGGTCGAAAAATTCACCGAGGGGATTCACAATGTTCTGAGTGACCTTCACGTTGATTTGTTTCTTATTCCAACCAGTTTTACCATCGTCTTTACACTTCTCATAAAGTGTTAGCAAATCGCGGTAGAGAATGCCGACAAGCGTGAGACATACTTTACCACATTTCTCTGAATTACCGTCAGCTGCCATGTTGAATTTATCCGTCGCTGCAGAATAAGTGGAGACGTAAGCTTTTTTTAGATGATCCACAAACCCGCCGAAGCCTGACTTTATTATGTCAAGCAGTGGATTGGAAGATTTCGACGAAAATTTCGAAGGGTGGAATTTTTCAATGGCAGAATCAGCGTCATGAATTTTACTAATTAGAGCATGATTGTAGCAATTTAATATTGCTACTGACTGCAAAAAACTATTGATGGTGGAATAAAATGAATAAACGCTACTGATCTGTGGGTCATCGTCCGGGGATTTGGGCTGAGAACGCCCAGCACGTCCAGACCCTGCACCAGGCCTATGTTGTCGGTGAATATATTTCACAATCGGATCCCAATAGTTCTTTAAGTTCCCTACGGCGTCCTTCAATTCACTTGAATCGGGAATCGGTAACAGCGTTTCATGCTGCGTCTGCATAACGCCAAGCAAACCTTTGACACCGGTGGATAAATCATGTTGAATAATGCCATCAATGATGTTTTTCTGATTCTTTACTAAATTGTGTAGAGCTGTCAGGTCCGCCGTGTGTTGTTCCACAAACATTTTCTGGACTGCGTTGGTGACCTTGTAGAATGCCAAGTTGACGGCGTCGATGAGGTTTGCGCTGAGCTGGTCGACGGCTTGGTGGGAAGTAGCGAAAGCTTCTTGTACTGAATCGTTGAGGTCATCATTGAGTGTGTCAACAGCGGAAATCGCTTCCTGATAGGCAACGGATAATGTATTTTGAAGGTCTTGGATGGCAGTAGATAGTGCATTCTCTGCAGTATCCACAGAAGCGGCGATGTAGTCGAAATTGTTCTTCACTTCATCTCTCAATCTATCCATTAACTCCTGAGTTTTCTTGCGCAACGCTTTTACTTCTCCGGGAATCTTCTGAAGCTCAACAAATTTCTTTTGAATTTCTTCAATGGCCCGATTCGCATCTTGAACATTGGTTGCTTGCAAAGATTCAAACTCCTTCTTTAGACTCTCAAAACCTTTTTTGGCCTGATGCAAACCGTTTGTACCAAGCAACTGTTGTAAATCTCCAAGCAGTGTTCGAACACCCTTTTCGCCTCCATCTGCAAAGGACCCGCCACTAACACACTTGGTTAATTCATTAAGCTGACGTTCAATAGCGCCGAATTGCTGAGCAACTGACTTCATTTCACTTTCGACGTTGCCGCTTATTTCAATGGGGCCGTAATCCTTCTTCGTAAAGGCCGACAGTGCTTCTGTTTGAATTTGCCTGAGGGTACCTTCGTACCTAGGTTGGGCACCTGGGTTGGCGCTGCCGATTGGTTGTGATGCGGTTATTAAATCCGGGATTTTCGATGGATCGACTTCTATGCCACTAGTACCGCTTGTTCTCATGTATGCCACATGTTTTTTAATTTCCTCGATCTCTTTATAGAAGTTACCACTAGCGCTGCCAGTGTTTTCTACAAAATCCCTATATTGCGTCAGTTTCTGTCTCAGTTGGCCTTTGTTCACATACTCCGTCATCGTCTCCGTAACCTTCTTCATCATCTCGTCTTTGATTATATCGAAAACGTTTTTAGTTCCGGTAGTCTTACCTGACTCATCTTTTCTAAGACTATAAAGGCTCTTGACACCTTGCTCAAACATACCGAAGAAAAAACTGTTCAATGCGACATTTATATCACCCTTAGCCCCTTGTAACCATTTGTGCAGATCTGTAGCATTTTTCATACTGCTGCCACTAATATTCTCAATAAAATACTGAGCACCCTTCGGTGGCTTCTTAGCTGTAGCAGCTTGCACTGCCTCTTCCACCGTAGTAAAATACTGTTTAATAGGCTCGGCTATTTTAGGCTGCAATTCCTTCAACCCCGCAATAATCTTACCGTCCAACTCTGAAAATTTTTCCAAAGCCTGCGTCACCGCTGCACTCACGCCTGAATTTACCTCTTTCAATTTTTCGTTATATACTTTTTGCAATTCCGTAACGGCAGCAGGAAGAGTGCTACCAGCTAGCTCCTTTATTGTTTTAAACGATTCGTCATAGGCCGCCAGAAGTCTCGCAGCCTTTTGTTGCAACTTTTCAGCATTATCTTTAATGTCCACTACGCTCCCCCCTTTCTTTTTATCGACTCTCTGAAGGATCTCGTTACATTTTTGCTGCGCTTTGATAAGAATTCCCCCAGCCGCTTCTTTCCAACTTACCATTTCTCTACTCTTTTTTTGCAGCCCGTTATCAATGTCTCGAACGATAGACTTCAGTGCTTCAACTTCTTTCTTGAATTGGGAATTCTCAGTCCCATCGCCACCGACGGCCTCATTCGCAGGGTCCAATTCAATTAATTTACTGCTTATATCGTTCAAGTGGTTTTGAAGGCTCATCCTATAATCTCGTTCCAGCATTTCTACATGTTGCCTGGCTATATTAGTAGCATTCCTTATGTGCGCAAAGTGTTGCACTTTGTTATCTCTCAGCATATTTATTTTCTTACCAATGTTGTCAAGGTCCTCTTTCAACACATTTTGTAGCGCTGGTAAATCGCCCGTAATTTTATCATGAAGAACTTGTTCTTGATCCTTCAAAATTGAATGGACCGTCTCGCTGTTCTCCGCGATCCTCTCTTGCAACGCCTCTTTCTGCTCTTTAAGGGTTTCCTCCACCTTCTCCACCTGCTCTCTCAACCCCGGCACTACAGCACTGTCATGTAACATGTTCACCGACTTATGAATCACATTAATTTCGTGCGTTATCTGTGATTTAAGTGAGTTATCAAGTGGCTTAACGTGCGTTGTGTCTATGCGTTGAACTTCTTGTTGTATCTTCTCGACGGTCTCAGTCCACCTGGTTAACTGCACTTGAAGCGTGGCGCCTTCTTGATCCTTGACTTGATTGTAGTAATCACCTGCAACAACATTAGACCCATCATGTAACTTACCTATAAGTGTAGATAATCCATCGGTCACTCCTCTTGTCTTGCTATCAACTTCCTCATTATATTTCCCCAACCACTCCCTCACCTGCTTGACAGACTTCGAAAGGCCATCACGCCCGGTGCCAATTGAAGAAGTAAGAAGTTGAAGAACATTTTCAAGTTGATTAGTGTCTGGAGTAATATATTTATTGTATGTTTTAACACTTTCATCATCCTTCACAGTCTCAAGAACTCCATGAAGGAAAGACATCACCCCGTCGCAGAGCCTGTCAAGGTCGGAGTACACGATGCCAGTGCCATCGTAGCCTTTGGAAGTTGAATTGAAACCGAGAATTTTTTCTAAACCGTCAGTGAGATTTTTAAGAATATCTGTTGCAGGATTGTCCGGGGATTCTTTATTACCAATAAAAGCTTCAAGTTTTTCTTTAAGCTCCTTAAGTGTCTTCTGCCTCTCCTCAATATCCTCCAAGGCTCCTTTTCTAGCATCCTCTGTAAGGTAATGAACTTCATTATAATGGTTATTGTAGTTGGATTAAAGGTGGATTAAAGGAGGGTTAAAAAAAGTAAAGGGGGATCATTTTAGGCACATTTTCAGGGCGATTTGGGGGAATTTGGGGAAAGGCGATTTTAGGTCAAGGAGGCAGTGAGGGAGCGAGGAGAGTGAACAAGGCAAGGGAAAGCAAAAGGGCGAAAGAGAGCAATGGAAGGAAGAAAATTAAGAGAAACAATTAAAATGGAAGAAAAATATAAATGAAGAATTAGAGAACCTCAACAGAAGGAAAATGGAAAATGAAACAAAAGGCAACTCAATGAAAGAAGTAAGTGGGATAATTGAATTAAAGATGTGTGTAGATGAAATGGTAAGGTAGATGAAATGATTGGAAGTGGTTGAATGGTTAAGTGAGTGATTGGTGAGTGAGTGAGTTAGTGGGTGAGTGAGTGAGTGAGTGGTTGAGACGATATCCACAGATCACAATAAACTGATTATAATACGTTGGCGAGTGCCTTGACGCGTGCGGCGGCGAGGAGGGACTGGGCGGCGATGCGGTGGCTTGAGGGCGATCGCAGGTGGGAGCGTATCCTCAGGACGTCGAGGCGGACGACGGCGATGTGCAGCAGGTACAGGAGCGACAGCGACCAGAGGGCTAACAACGTTAGCATAAACGGCCATCTGATTTCTCTTAGGAAATTGTCGCACGCTTCGAACAGATTTGTGAAATATTCTGATTCGACAACATTCTTTAAGTCGTCATAGAAATTGGAGCATGTTTTTCTTGTGCCCTCTTCATGTAACGTCCATGCATCAGGGATGATAAATCCATAGTGGTAAAAGGTTGGCGTGACTCCGTTACATTTCGCAATGGAAGTGCATTGGCAATGAGGCTTTGCATCTTCACCATCCTTCTTTTCGCTGAGTCCATGCTTGCCGCGCCTACAATAGGCGCTTTGTAAGCACGAGCGGCATCCCCAGTCCTCGCAGAATATGGCAGTGAAGGCTTCGAGTAATTCACACAAATAATTGTGGAATGCCCAAGGAAGGTAAATTGCCCACGACAGATACAACTTGCCGTGTTTCTCCGCCATGAAGCGATATACAGCCGAGGAGAGTGACGATAGGTAAGGGGCGCAGGCAACGTCTTTACCTCTAATACCACAGTAACCTGAGGATGTAAGATTAGTAACGTGAGCATGCTCGCATTTGTTGCAGTCGGCGCCGTATGCGTCAGTGAGCGCATCCGTAAGGTTGCTTGGCTCTTCACATAGTGCGATGGACAGGTCGTTGATTGATGATTCAACTGACTGCTTGATCAGGCTTTTGGTTCTATGCCAGCCCCGAACTAAAGACAGCGTGAAACTGAAGTGCTCAGGGAGAGTGAACGGCGGCTTAGGAACAAGGCTAAATAGGGCTGGAATGTATTCGTGACCTAGGAATTCTCTAATGATATCGCAGATGTCACGGCCGGTTTTGACACTGCCTGAGAATGCCCTGAAGCCTAGCGGCGTCATACATGGTACACCAGGTCCGCTCTTGGGACACGTCGAACATATAGATTTACATCCCACCGATTGCAATTGGTGAGGCAAATGGCCCGGTAAGCAGTCATTTAAGTAAGACATTAAAGGTGAAGTTGGCTGACACGTTGGTTGACAATTTGGTTGGCACGTAGGTTGGCACGTAGGTTGGCACTTTGATTCGCACGTTGATTGGTCAGTTGGATGTTCGTTACACGGCTGTTTGGCCGAAGGGATTTCTTTACCGTACAGGCAATCGCCCCAACCAAAGTCTATTGCTGGCTGACTGCACTTGCTCTGTAGGAACTGGAGAGCTGGGAACAGTCTACGCAGGATGTCGAGGAGTGTATGCAAACAGTCCTCACCTCTGGAGGGATATTGTAATCTGAGGAAGTTGGTACAAAAGTCAGATGCATACTTGCACTCTGCATCGCCTGTACCTAGTACGGCAGTCAGCAGTTGGTAAGAGCGCGACGTTATATGGTAAATGGCGTCATCAACGTTGTCACGAGAAATGTATTTAGGATAGGCTGGAATGGGCACTCCAATTTTTATATCAGGATGGCGTTCATCCGGCTTTTTCTCAAACAACGATTCACAATGTTCACGAAGATTTTTGTATACACGATTAAACTGCAAACCGGAACACCATAACAACATCTCATAAATATTACACGGGGTTCTGGGTTTGTCAATGTGAGTGGTGTGACAAACATTAAAGTATTTCTTAAGGTAGTTATGAAGCTGAGACAACACGCCGTTCTCCTCGGTGAATTCGAAGGTTGGCTCATCAGAAGATACACTACGGGAAACGGAGGCGCTGGGAGCATCGCTGGAAGTGAATAATTTATGTTTAACGTTCGTAAGATTATTATAAATATGTTCACCCCTGATGTCTGCCTTGTGATTCAATTCGCCATATTCGGCGTCGTCAGGGAGATCAGAGTCATACCCGTTTTCACGGAGGAACCGGCTATGTAAGCTGTGATTAGGGTTCTTGACGTTATATATGGTATAAGTCTTCCGCTTACCATTCTTCTTCTCAAGCCCACTCTTGAGATCCGTTAAAGCGGTAAATAATGTGGGCACAATGCTGAGGCAGGCTTTGGCGCACATCCCCTTTTCGGGATTAGTGTCCTGGGTCCAGTCAATTTTGGCGTCATCGTATACGGATACGTAGGCATTCTTAAGTTGTTCGACCAAATCCGAGAAGCCATTTCGCAGAGCGTTGAGTAGCAAAGGGCTCTTGGCTTCGCCGTACGTGGAGGGCTTGAAAGCGGCGACAGCACTGTGGAGTTCATGTAAATTTTTTGTAAATTCATGGTCGAAGTGATTAGATGTGTTTAGGTCGGTAAGCAATTTGGTCAACACTCCGTGCACGGGATTGATTTTCGTGATGTCCGAGGTGAAGTCTGGCTGTTTCTGCAGGTGTTGCAAGAAGCGTCTGAAGGCGGTGGCTAGCTTTATTGCCGCCTGGCTGAGCGGAGATTTTTCTCCGGGAGCGTGAGTAATCTTAATGCTTTTGATGGACTCAATTGACTTCTCATATTTGATGAAATGTTCTTCAAATTTGGCCATGAAGCCCTTATGACCAATCTCCAAATCACCGGCAATTTCTCTCGGCAGACCATGCAAATCCTTTCCCAGTTTGTCGGAGAATGCGGTGAGCAACGCTTTGAGGGAATTAACGTACTGCTTTTGCGCGTGGTGTATCAGTTTCTCTTCAGCGCTCTTACACTCAGTTTCAACGTCTTGTTTAAGGATACGGATGGTTTGTCGTTCGGCTGTGGTGATGTATTTCAGAAGCTCTCCGACGGCGTGCATGGGCTTGTTGACCAGTTCGGTACGCACATTGCTGAGTTCGTTGTGGATGTTGTTTATGCTTTTATCAGCATCTATCATGCCTTTCTTGTATTCAGCGAAATATTTATCTCTCATTTCGCTTAATATTTGCTTCAGCCCGGTTTTCTCGTCCGTAAGGTTCTTGAGATCATAGCATAAGGATGCGAGTTTGGAGGTGACTGTGGATGCTTCATTGAAAAGCGTTGTTTGGGCCTGGTTGGCAGCGTCAACAAACATACTAACATTATTGTTAACATTAGATTGTATACTATTGACAATTTCATTAATTTTCCCCTGAAGTTTATTTATACCTTTTTCGGCTGTATCTTGAAGAAGTGTGAGGAGTTCCTTGTTGAAGGCGGCGTCGGTGACATTTTTGCCGAGCTCCTCCCCGAGCCCATCGAAAATCATTTTGGCGATGTGGGTTGAAATTTTAACCCAATGTGTTTTCGCGTGGTGAAGACCGTTCAATGCCTTTTCTAGGTTTTCGCCAAGGCCTCCTAGTGTTTTGTCTATGATGGCCACTTCGAGCGCCCCTGAGACGCTCTGCAACTGTCCTAGACGTGTGCCTTGCAAATATTTAAGACCCGGATATTCCGCATTATAAACTCCGTTTCCATTCCAAGCCGCCGCTATACCGTTATTCAACGCATCTTTCAGCTCCCCTGCCAGGGTTCCAACATATCCCTTAACGTTCTGTTGAATTTGAACCATAAGCTTACCCATCTTACGACTGACATTCCAATCATTGCCGTTCCTGAAGTTGTTAATTTCTTTAGGTACATCTTCCGTTGCTTTCTCATAAAGCGTACTAAGCTCCTTCATTCGGCCATCGGTTGTTCCAGTTCCATTCTCTCCCATCAGGAACTTATACGCCTTATCATATTTCGCATTCAGGTCATCAAATTGCTTATACAATTTTGGCACCTCTTCCTGAATCTTCTCGGCCGCATCCTCCACAGCTTTCTTATTACCCTGTTTATTAGGGCTGTCAATTTCCTCCAATATTAAATCAACCTTATTTATGGCTTGCTGCACAATTTTGTTGACATCTTGAATCCACGCCTGCAAAGTCTCCAGTTGTTTGAACAGCTTCCTCTCAACATCCTCCAGCTGTTTTTTAATCGCCTCAACTCTCACCCTCAACTTTTGAATTAATTCCCTCACCTGCTCACCTATCTTGCTATCTACGTTACATTTAAGAACGCCAATTACCTCCTTAATTTTCGCTTTCGTAGCCTCCAACTCCTCTTTCTCCTGTTCTGACAACTTTGCAAGCCTGTCACGTTCATGTTTTACGTTTTTACGAACATTCTCAATTTTCATCTGCAAATTAGGATTTAAGTCTTTAATGTTCTCTGTTTGGCTATGAAGTGACTGTGAAAACGTCTCAGCTTTCAGCTGACATTCCTCGAGACACTGCTTCACGGCGCTGCACATATTCTCAAGCTGCGTAGCTTCCTTGTCTTCAGCAATCCTCTCAACCTGAATGTTATGAAGATCTCTAATTAGCTTACCCTTTTCAATCTTGACGTAATCGAGTAGCTTCTTGATGGGCTCACTAACACTCTCATTCGACGCCTTCACACCCTCATTATACTGCCTCACCCCCGTGACCACTTCGCCAATCGCAGCATTAAAACCATCTTTACCAGAGTGTTTATGAAGCTTAAGAGACTCAATTGCATTATTTATTTTACTACTATGTAAGCCTAATTTAGGCTGAATGTTATGTAAAACACCATGAAGGAAAGACATCACCCCGTCGCAGAGCCTGTCAAGGTCCGAGTACACGATTCCCTCTCCGGTGTAATTACCCTTCTCGTAGCCGAGAAAATTTTCGAGGCCTGTGCAGAGGTTATTTAATAATGTTGTTGAAGGATTATTTTAGGCACATTTTCAGGGCGATTTGGGGGAATTTGGGGAAAGGCGATTTTAGGGTGAGGAGGCAGCGAGGGAGGTGGGTGGACAAGGTGAGGGAGGTGAAGGGGCGAAAGAGGGCGATGGAGGAGGAAGATGGGTTGAGGGAGGCGATTCTAGGGGTGGAGGGGGTGATGGAAGGGGGTGAGGGAGGAGGGAGCGAAGCGACCAGTGAAAGAGGAGGTGGTTGAGTGAGTGGTTGAGTGGGTGAGTGGTTGAGTGGGTGGGTGGTTGAGTGGGTGAGTGGTTGATACACAGATGACACGTGAAGGCACGATTACGGTGAGAAGTACTTGACGTTGGCGAGTGCCTTTACGCGTGCGGCGGCGAGGAGGGACTGCGCGGCGATGCGGTGGCTTGAGGGCGAGCGCAGGTGCGAGCGTATCCTCAGGACGTCGAGGCGGACGACGGCGATGTGCAGCAGGTACAGGAGCGACAGCGACCAGAGGGCTAACAACGTATTCATGAACGGTGATCTTATGTAGTAGAGGATGTCATCGCATTTCCCCAATAGTGTTTTGAAATGGTTTGACTCGATGACCTTTTTAAGTTGATAATAGAAATTATGGCAGAACCTTCTGTCTGGATTCGCCATAAGTGTTTTGGAATTTCCAAATGTGAATCCATAGTTGTTTAGTATCATGCTTACGCCATGGCACTGCACATAACTCTTGCAGGTACACTGAAATTGGAGTCCATGTTTTCCTACTGCGCAATTACATGCCGAGCACCCACCGGATTTGCAATCGATATTGCAGAAGGCCTCAAACAGTGATTTTAGAAGATTGTAGAAATCGAAGGGCAAATATGTAAGCCATGACAGATAAAGGTTTGCGTGCTTTGTAGCATATGTGTGATAGGCATCAGCACAGAGAGGTTTGAGATAGGGAGCGCACTGGGAATTGACTTCATTACACTTTATCTGTGAAGCGACTTCGGTGTGCGTAGAGAGGCAATATAAGTCACAGTGTTGTGTATCATCTGACGCCTTTCCCTTGTGGTTAGACGTTGGACCAGATAATGATTTTAATTGGTTAGTGAAATTTGTGGCTTCATCGGCATATAACCTCATGGAAATTGCAGGAATTGTTTTCGTATTCATATGGTTCACCAATCTGTCGCTGGTAGAAAACCTGCCAGATGACCACTGTCTGAAGATATTGGTGAAGAATGAGAATTGATCTGCCAGAGATTTAGGCGGCATCGGTGATACTTGCATCAAATAGTTAAGCAGCGTAGGCAACGGCGAGTCTGCATTACCGCAAAAATCGAAAAGCACGTTGCATATATCTTTGCCCGTGCCCTTTTTGGATCCGGCATGAGTCAGGTCCCAAAAGCCCATAGGCGTCAAACATACCATGCCAGGTGACTGCTTAGGACATGTCGAACACTTAGATGTGCAGCCAATGGAGGATAGTTTGTGAGGCAAGTGGCCTGGTAATCCGTCCATTAAATGGGCCTGTAGAGGTGATTTTGGATAACATGTTGTTTGGTCATTTGGTTGGCACTTTGCCTGGCACTTTGGTTCGGTGTTTTCTTGGCACATAGGTTTGTCGACTGACTTCTTGCAGTCCCACTGGTAACCGGACACGTTGCCGCCGTATTGACAGTCACGCCAACCGTTACCTTCGGCTACGGTGTATTTGCATTGGGAATACATAAAATATAGAGCACGCAACAAACACGTACACATTGCTTTTAACATATCTAACAACTCAGAGGCTCTTTGAGGATAGTAAAAGTTACGTGAATTATCGCAGAAATTAGAGGCGTAAGGATAGTCGGCAGTTGGGGAACCGCGGCCGTTACCGCAGATGGTAGTGAGGGTTTCGTAAGAGTATTGACAGGTGTGCGCTATGTATTTAACAATACCGGTTTCAAGGATTGGTCTAAGAACAGGATCCTCCTTATTCGGGTATTTATCTGTGCCATTTATTTTCTCGTTGAGCATTGTGTTACAATGTCTCTTAATGCTATGATAGACTGCAGTGTACGGCAGACCGCACATCCAACCAAGCATGTCACGAATGGTGCATGGAGATTTAGGGGCAGTAGGGATTCTAATCTGACAGACACTGTAGTAAGTGGCTAAGTGACGGTAGAGCAGGGACATCGGTCCCCATTCTCGCCTAATAGAATTAAGGTATGTACCGACGTCAGAATACCTGAGATCTGAAGGGGTGTCGAAATCATCGTAATTTGAAAACGCCGTCTTCAGCTTCTCGGCGACTTCCTGCCCTGTGTGATTTTTGTTAATGAGGGATGCAGCCTGGTAGCCTTGACTCTCCAAATATTTTCCAAAGTCTCCTTTATTCTTCGGAACTTTCTCGCTGCCGTCAATCGTCAGTTGGCTCCAGTCTTTGTGGCAACTGTAGAACAAGTGATACAGTTCCTCATAAAGCGTTGACGTCGAGGTAAGCATGATTTTTGCGTACTTGTCAGCGTGATTCTTTTTCCAGTCTTCGCCGGAATACTTGTTAACGTAGGCCTTTTCCAGTTGATCTGCGAGTGCAACAATTCCGTCCTTGAGGCTTTGCAGCAACGTTGTAGAGGCTTCGCCGAATTTGTGAGGAACCGTTTGGTGAAGCGTAGTTTGAAGTGCATTTAGGTTGTCGCTGAAATTATGGTCGAAGTGCTCAGACTGTCCAAGCTGCTTTAGCAATTTGGTTAGAGCGCTTTTGAAAGTCTCCACATTCTGGTAGTCGAAGCGGAAGTCTGTTTGCTTTTGCAGGTCTGTGAAGAATGTCGCGAAATATTCGCGGAGTTTTTTGGCCAAGTCGGCGAGTTTCTTTTTTTCTGGAGGTGACGTGTTTAAAAACTTAATGAGTGGATCGATGAAATCATCTTTCATTTTCGCCAGGAAGCCTTTTGCACCTGTCACTCTATCAGTTTCGATGATATGGGTGATCTCTCTCAACTGTCTTTCGACTAGCGTCCCTACGGCATTTAGGTCCGCTTTCTTCTGCTCGGTGAACAATAGCCTGACATGATTGGTAACGATGTGGAATGCGTCATCAACGGCTTTTTTGGTATTTTCATGAGCGTCATTTAGCGTGGTCCGGAGGTGTGTGATAGCGTCATCCAACGCTGTATTGGCTGTGCTGACACATAACTCCATGTAATTAAGTTTGGCTGAAATCTCATTTTTCAAATTGATCATCACCTTCTCTGCTCCATTTTTATGAGCGTCAATGACTCCATTTCTCTTCTGAATCCTTTCAATCTCATTAAGAACCTCGTCTTTCAGTTTTTCGACAGCCATCGGAAGCGTACTGGTTTGATCTTTCAATATTTTTTCTAGCTTCGTAATTTGTACACCAACGGTTTTCAAGGCTTCATTAATTTTTTTACCAGCACCGTTTGCATGCTCGCCGGTACTAATTTTCGTGCCGATTTCGTTGACCTTCTCGATGGCCTGCGTTAGGTTTGTGCTGAGTTTGGACTTGTCGATGAAAGACTTTAACTCGGCAGCATATTGCTTGAATCTGTCGGCAAGGGATTTGGCGATAGCCTGAACGGCGGGTTTAAGATGAGTGTCTTCTGAGAGCGGTGTTAGTGGATTTACTCCTGTCATCTCTAACTGTTCACCAATCTTCTGGACTGCCGTCCCAATTGAAGAATCACGGCCCATAAGTTTGTTTCCAATCTCCGCGGCGAATTGCTGAAGCTTCTCAGCAATGTTTTCCACAGTAACACCACTAAGGTGCGTCACAGCAGCTGCTTTAATATCGGTATTAATCGGCCCTGGAAGTTGAGCTATGATGACTCTCTCCACCTCCTTGGCCTTGAGTTTATTTGCACCTTTAATAGCATCCAGCTTACCCTTGTTATGGTTCTGTCTGACATAATCATATATTTTACTATTCACAGCACTCTCCTCCTTCTCCAAAATATCCCCGATCCATTTGCCCAAGACGCTCTCGAAATTCCCATCGCTAAAACCCTTGGCGTAATCCTTAATCCTCTCTACAATATCTTTCAGACTTGATTGTCCTTTCATTTTCGCAACATCGTTAACAATATTTTGAATATCCTGTGTAAGTGCGAACCAATCTTTTGATAAACCTTCTTTAGATTTATCACCGGTTCCCTGAACCTCCGTTTGAATCTCCTTAAAGTGCCCCTGAGCGGTGGTGATTGCCGCAGTAATCTCACCGTATTTTGCGGCTATGTTTTCATAAACTTCATTAATTGTATGTTTGATTCCATCGAAATGAACCCAAATATTGCCTTTATAAATTGTCTCGAAATCATTGTCCAAAAAACCCTGAGCCTCCTTTAGGCAGTCCTTAAAACATTTAATATGATCATTTTTACTGTTTTCCAATGATGTAACACTGGCACGAATCTTCTCAAATGCATCCACCATTGTCCACCTCACAGCCTCCTCCTGCTTCACCAACACCTCATCAACATTTTTGACCTGGGTCACGAAGACCTTATTCTGAGCAGACTCAAGCAACAGGCTAACCGCTGATTTTATCGGCTCTATTTCTACATTAATTTTATTCTGAAGTGCGCTATCTAATGTGCTAACATTAGTATTCGTGATGTTAGTTATTTCTGTGCTAATCAAAGTGAGAGTCTCCTTCCATCCCTGCAGCTGGTCTTGAAGTCTCTTGGTCACGTTACCTGAAAGAGATTTCATGCCCTCATAATCTATTTTATCACGCATTAACTCACCTAATTTGATCTTCAAGCCTTGAGTTCTTGTGTCCGATTCACCACGATACCTAGCAGTCCACCAGCTCACATCGGCTAATGCCTTCTCGAAGTCTTCCGGCCCCGTACCTGAATAAGTATGTAAATCATTAATAAGCTTACCTAATTTAGGCTCAGTAGACATATTATTATCATAAGTTGTAACGTTATCATCATCTTTCACACTCTCCAGAACACCATGAAGGAAAGACATCACCCCGTCGCACAGCCTGTCAAGGTCCGAGTATACGATGCCGGAGCCGTCGTAGCCTTTGGAAGTTTCTTGGTAACCAAGGAACTTCTCCAAGCCAGAGCACAGGTTAGTAAGTAAATTATAGGTATTATTAAGGACATTTTTAGGGCGATTTGGGGGAATTTGGGGAAAGGTCAAATTAGGTCAAGGAGGCAGCGAGGGGGTGAGGGGAGTGGTGGGGATGAAGGAAGAAAGGGCGAATGACGATGAAAGGGCGATGGGTTGAGGTAAGGAAAATTTAAAGTGGAAAAAAATCAAAATAAAGATTAAAACGAACATGAAGAAAATGATAGAAAGATGATAGAAGAAAACGAGCGACTCAATAAAAAAATGAAATGAATTAAATGAGTATGAGTAGCAGTAATTAAATGGTTGAGTAAATTAAGTAAGAAATGGAAGTAAGTAAATTAGAGTAAATGAATTAAATGGGTAAGTAAGTAGAGTAGAGTAGGTGAAGTAGGTGAGGAAATAGGTAAGTGAATGAGTGGTTAAGTAATGGGTAATGGTTGAGTGGTTGAGTGGGTGAGTGGTTGAGTGGGTGGTTGAGTGAGTATGTGAGTATGTGGTTGAGTTGGTGAGTATGTGGGTGGGTGAGTGGGTGGGTGATACACAGATCACACGTGAAGGCACGATTATGGTGAGAAGTACTTGACGTTGGCGAGTGCCTTGACGCGTGCGGCGGCGAGGAGGGACTGCGCGGCGATGCGGTGCGATGAGGGCGTTCTCAGGTGGGAGCGTATCTTCAGGACGTCGAGGCGGACGACGGTGATGTGCAGCAGGTACAGGAGCGACAGCGACCAGAGGGCTAATAAGGTAATGGAGAAACTCTCTCTTATAGCCCAGATGAATTCGTCGATCTGCTGCCGAAGCTCGATGAGTACAGAATTATTTCCGAGCAGTTTTGCTAAGGCGTTGCAGAAATCGTTACATGTACGTTTTAATGGTGATCCATTCATACCACTGATATCATATTGGCTGCCAAATGTGAAGCCATATTGGCATAATGTCGGAAGCATAGCAGGACATTTGACAATGGATTTGCACAACGAATCATGATTGTCCTTGGGTTGTGGTTTTTCCTTCGTCAATGGACAGTCCTTTACACAGCATTTGGTGAAGCAGTTAGATCCCTTTGGACCACATTTATTATTGCATTCGTCGTATAGTTTCTTAAGTAAATCGTAGAATGTTTCTGTGAGGTAAACGATCCAGGAGAGATATTTGTCGGCATATGCCGCGGAGAACATACCACTGATATGCTGGGTGATGGGACTCAAATAGGAACCGCAGGTTTGCGCTGGATTTCCGTCTTCATCGTCACATTTAATGATGGAGAACATGTCACCTTTGTCGTGTCGAGCGGAATGTTTCTGGCTGAGTTGTAAGAATCTAATCTGCAACTTGGGATACTCATGGCCGAAATACGCTTTCTCGACAGCTTTAACAAACGCATCGCGCTTATGATCATGGCCTTGGAGATCATATTTATATAATAAGTTAAAGTAGAACGAGAACATGTCACCCAGATTTTGCGGAGGCCTTTGTAGGAGACAGTTGAAGTAGGTGCAAATTTTGCTGAGCGGTTTAGTTGCATCGCCACAAAAATCATAGAGCACATCTCTGAGATACGCACCGTCCTTTGTATGCGACGCAGTCATACCGATGTCGGCAAAGCCCATTGGCGTCTTGCACGGGATGCCTCTATGATTAGACATAGTGCAGTCCAGCTTACAACCTGGTGTCTTAAAGGAATGAGGCAAGAACCCTTGCAATCCGTCTTCTAAGAAAGACTGCAAAGGTGATTTCACGCCACAAGTAGGATGTTGGTCACACTTTTGGTCAGCCTTTTGGGTAGCACTTTGCTTAGTGTTTTGGTTAGGGCTTAGCTTACAATTCAGGTTGGCACATTGCTTATCGTTGCACTGCCACGATGACCCAGCGACGTGTTTACCGTAATGACAGTCACGCCATCCACTGCAGTTACTCATGAAACAACATTGTCTGTAGAGGAAACACAATTGTTGTTGAAGCCTACACAGTATATCTATAAGCATGTCCATGCACGCAGCAGGGTTAGTGGGATACATTAAATTGCGGGAGTTGTTCGAGAAGTCAGAGGCATAACGGCCGTCGGAATGTCCGTAGCCCTGGATGGCGATGAGTGTTTTTTCGGCTTGACGGCACACTACGGTAAGTGTGCCTGCCAGTGTGTTAGGTCTCAGCGTTGAGTTTGGTATCTTTCTTAGGACGTCGTGTGGAGCTGTCACGGCCAATCCTTTTTCTGCGTCGCTAAACAACCCGTTGAAAGCACTCACGACTGGCTGCCGCATGGAATTATACCGGAGTCCGGAAAGCCAATGCAGCATATCGTTTACGCTAGACGGTGACTTAGGTGATTGTGGAATAATTAAGTGGCTAGCTTTATTATATTGAGTGAGGTGATCGAACAGACAGTCAAGGATGTCCATTACGGGGAACCCATCCTTTTTGTGTGATATGCATTGCTGAAGATGTAAATTATCTTGTGATTTAGGAATTGTTTTGTCCAGCAACGTTTTAATTGCGTCAGTGTTCTTCTCCTTGTTCAACTCGCCGTTTTGCTTGTCTGGAGAATTCGACACCGTGAAGCCTCGTTTATCAAGCCACTGGCCGAGAGGGTTGGCAATTTGTTTTCTGTCCGACATTTCAAGCAAACATATTTTCTTGTCTTTGCAGTCACCATCGCAGTGCTCTCTTAACCTGATCAAATCGTGACATACGGTCTTCAAAAGCGTGAAATATATTTTTGCGTATTTGTTTTCATGCGCAGCATCCCACGGCTCACTATCATACACCGACACGTACGCCTTGCTGAGCTCATCGTGCATCCCTATCAGGCCTTTTGTAAGAACGTCGAGCAGGGGGTTGCTTTCGGTGGCGTACGAAGCGGGGCGGATGGAGGAGAGGTATGTATTAAGTAAGTCCAACTGATTAACAAAGTTTTTATCATATTTAGTAAGTTCAGTAAATAATGTGTTTAGTTTGTTTTGCAGGTCGGAGAGGTAAGTGACGGGCATGATTTCAGACTTGCCAATCAGAGCTTGCAGCAGATTAATGAAAAACTGTTTTGTGTTAAAAGACAAATCATAGAGTCTTGCGTCTTTAAGTAATTGCCTATTGATATGTGAATTTGATAGTCTATACAGCTCTTTCATAAAGCCCTTAGATTCCTTGTTGGCATCGTCCACAATTTGCTGTGGGAGCCCCTTGAACTCCTCGTCGACTTTCTTAGAAAAGGCCTCAATCTGTTCCTTGAAAAAAATTACGTATCTCCTTTTGATGTCATTTTGGATTGTGGACTTGGCGCCGTTAAGCGTAGTGTCTACATGTCGTTCGAGCGTTCTAATCATAGCATCAGCTTGTATAGTAGCATCTGTACTGATTTTTCTTGTTTCGGAAAATAGAGGATACAAGTACTTTTTTTGCAACTCGTCAAATTGTTTATGGAGATTATTTAAGCTGCCTGGTATTTTGGGATTTAGTTTCGAAATTAAGACATTTTCCAACTCCTCCAATCTTCCAGACACGCTTTCTCCGCCATTTGCAGCAGCATTAACGATAGCTGTGCAGAAAGCATTGAGTTTTTCATAAAACGTGATGACGTTTTCTTGGATCTTATTTGTATTGGCTGTGATTTTTAAAGGGTCGAATGTTTTCAGTGCTGTTTCTTGAAGGTTCTTAATTTCACCCTTGACATGGTTACCTAGTTTGTCATCTTCACCTATGTGCCCAGCATATGTCTTCATTTTTTCTCTCCATTCCTTCCCGGTTTTCACAAACGGCATAATAACTTTGTCGATTTCACCTCCAAGGACGTCGGTGGATAGAATGCTGTCAAGAAAGTCAATTTTTGCCTTCACGGTGTCCAGCGCCTTTGTGATTTTGCTGCCCGGCTGATTGTCGTTGCCGATCCCGTTACCAATTATCTGTTTGATTTCTGTCGCATCTTGTATAGCCCTATTAACGTTGGCCATTATGTTTAACTTCTCGGTGCACGTAAACGATTTTAGTTCTTCGGCAGCCTCACTGGCGGTAGAGCGTAGGGCAGTGAGTATGGCTTTCACGGCGGATTCGAGAAAGTTTTTGTTAGTGCGGTACGACGTTACACTTTTCTTCACCTTCTCCTCAATCGCATCGGCCATGCTGGTAACAAACTCCTGTCTAGACTGAGACGGGAGCTGTTTCTTGTCCAGTTTGACATCAAGTTTCTCGACAAATGTAGTGATACACTCGTATACTTTCGCCACATTCTTCACAATTTTGGAATCGACTACGTCAATTTTCTTCTTAGCTTCGGTAATAACACCCTGTTGCAACTTTAACTTAATTTGGTCCGCAATTTCCTTAATTTTTTCTGACTTGAATTCTTTGTTGTAGACGCTTACATAGTCCTCAACGAAGGCCTCCTCCTGGCTCAAGGAAACATAGCTAGCAATATATTCTCTAACTAAAACGTCCTGCTCTAATATCTTTGTTATCCACTGTTTTACAATGCCCTCAAACATATCATTTTCTGTGAACCTCTTTACATAATCCTTCACTTTCTCATTGATTCCCTGAAGACCTTCATAATCTGGGCTTCCTGATTTCTTCCCCTTGATCTTGTCAATAAGCCATACCATATCGGTCTTAAGAACCAACCAATTATATTCCAGATTATCCTTATTTTGATCTCCCTTGTTCCTTTCAACTTTTTCTTTCAACGTCGCCAACTCCTCCTGAGCCTCCTTAACATACGCCTCAATCGTTGAGTCAATCTGTCTCTTCAATGCATTCAGATCCTGCCGAATCTTTCCATCCAAGCCGTTAACCGCCGTCATAACTGCTCTAATCAAATCAGGCAGGCATTTCTCCGCCGCTTCATAGGCACGGAACAACTTGAAAGCTTTCTCCTGTAGACTTCCGATTGCCTTTTCAAGATTATTTTTATTTTCAGCGTTACTCGGACTTTTGTCAACCTCCTTTAATATCGCTGCAACTTTTCTCATCGCAGCCTCCACGGCTTCATGAGCCTTGTTAATCCATGTCTCCATTGCCTTGACATGGGATTGCAATGCAGCATCGACATCCCAGATCTTGCGACGCAGCTTATCGATCTCCACATTCAATCTCCCAACAAACGCCCTAATTTGCTCCACCGTGATTTTAATAATTGAATTTTTAGCCCCCTCCATTTGCTTCTCAACCAACGCAACCACTTCATCCCTATCAGTCTTAAGCTTCTTCCAAATTGCACTCAGCAATGCGCGCTGATAATCTATTATTTCGGTCGCCTTATTAACTTTATTTGCCAGGTCATATTGCATGTCTTTAATATTGTTTGTTTTTTGGCCTTCGATGCCCTCCTTGTACTGGTAAGCCTGATGCAGACAATGCTCAACATTCTTGTCAATCTCGTTGACATGTTGATGATCACTGTAACTATTAACGCTTTCTTTAAGCGTCCTCAAATGCTTTTTCAATAACTCTATTTCCGTTTTAACATTATTATGAGATACATCGACACCCTCATTATACTGCTTCACCCCTTCCACAACCTTGACAATCGCTTCATTAAAACCATCTTTGCCACGGTGTTTATTGCGTTCAAGAAGGCTTATAGCATCATCAATTTTATTTCTATGCTGGCCTAAATGGCCTTGAATGTTATGTAAAACACCATGAAGGAAAGACATCACCCCGTCGCACAGCCTGTCAAGGTCCGAGTACACAATTCCCTCGCCGGTGTAATTACCATTACTGTAGCCGAGAAAATTTTCGAGGCCTGTGCAGAGGTTATTTAATAATGTTGTTGAAGGATTATTTTAGGCACATTTTCAGGGCGATTTGGGGGAATTTGGGGAAAGGCGATTTTAGGGTGAGGAGGCAGCGAGGGAGGTGGGTGGACAAGGTGAGGGAGGTGAAGGGGCGAAAGAGGGCGATGAAGGGAGAAGATGGGTTGAGGAGAGGGGATTTCGGAGGTGGAGGGAGGAAGTGGAAAATGAGGATTTGGGGAAGCACGCCGACGGAGGAGGTGATGGAGGGGTGATGGAGAGGGAGCGAAGCGACCAGTGAAAGATGAGGTGAGTGGGTGAGTGGGTGAGTGGTTGAGTGGGTGGTTGAGTGGTTGAGTGGGTGGGTGAGTGGGTGGGTGGGTGGTTGAGTGGTGGGTGAGTGAGTGGGTGAGTGGGTGGGTGGGTGGTTGGGTGAGTGGGTGAGTGAGTTGGTGAGTGGGTGGTTGAGTGAGTGGTTGAGTTGGTGAGTATGTGGGTGGGTGAGTGGGTGGGTGAGTGGGTGAAGGCACGATTATGGTGAGAAGTACTTGACGTTGGCAAGTGCCTTGACGCGTGCGGCGGCGAGGAGCGACTGCGCGGCGATGCGGTGGCTTGCGGGTGATCTCAGGTGGGAGCGTATCCTCAGGACGTCGAGGCGGACGACGGCGATGTGCAGCAGGTACAGGAGCGACAGCGACCAGAGGGTGAGCAGTGTTAGCATAAATGGCCATCTGATTTTGCATAGGTAGTCAGGAATTGTCCTGTATACAAATTCTGCAAGTACATGTTTTGATTTTTCTTTCTTGTCAATAACATTTTCTAATGCTTTGCACAAATCCTTGCAGGTGCGTTTAGTGGTTTGATCTGCTAGGCTCTTGCAGTCCCTATACACGAAGCCATGTTTGAAGAATGTCGGACGCATAAGGTTGCAATGTACTATGGAATTACATGACGCATTGTGCGTAGAGGCTACAGACATCTTTGCGTCTTTAGCTTCGCAGTCTGTGCTACATTTACTAATTCTGCACTTAGACGTTGCGGAGTCGCAGTTTTTGCAACATTCCTCGTACAATTTTTCAAGCAACTCGAGGAATGACTCTGTCAAGTAAACAATCCATGAGACATATTTATCATTGTTCTTAGCAGCAAAAAGGTCACATCTATAATAGCACAGTGGTCTTAAATATGGACCGCATGGAAACGCGGCACTAGACTTACCATTATACTTGCAGTTCACAAGTGAATAGAGATCTCCCTTCAGATGTGGCATATTCTGGTCGGAGCCATGATCACCACTCTTGAAAAGTGGACGAATGTCCAACGTTGCATCGGTGCGTTCGAAGTTTGCGCCGTTTACAGTATATTTTAATTCACGCTCTACAGTCTTATTCCACCCATTCAGGAAAGTATTGTAAAAGCCGAACATGTCATCTAACGTTTTGGGAGCACTAGGCAGCAGACAGTTCAGGAGGCTGCAGAGTCTACTGAAAGCAGACCATTCACCACTGCAAACATCAAAAAGCGCTTCTCTTATATGCCTACCAGTTTGCCTATGCGATGCCATGTGACTAATATCTGAGAAACCCATCGGCGTTTTACATGGTAAGTTAAAGTGCGGTTTTACTGAACACTCAAGTTTGCCTCTCTCAGATTTGAGGCTGTGCGGTAGGAAGCCTTGCAGACCATCTTCGAGGAAGGACTGTAATGGCGATTTCACACCGCAACTAACACGTTGGTCACACTTTTGGTTACATGTTTGCTTATGTGTTTGGTTGGCAATTTGGTCACCTGATTGGTTGGGACATTGGAGGGTATTACACTTCCATGCTGTACCACCAATGTTGTGACCATACCAACAGTCTGACCAACCACTAAGCTTACTGTCATGCATACATTGTCTATACAGGAAATAAAGTTGGTCGTGAAGGCGTTTTACGATGTCAAATAGCACACATATTAAGCTGTTCATGTTAGAAGGATACGAGAATTCATCTTCGTTAGTGTTGAAGTCAACGGCGTAGCGGCCACCTGCGTGGCCATGTCCGAGGATGGCAGTAAGTACGGAGTGTGATTGTGCACATACCGCTGTTAGAGCGTTTGACAGTGTCCCTACTGTGACGGTTTCCTTGTAGGTCTGCAACGGTTTGGAGTTTGGTTCAACTGTAATACCGCCATCTTCAATTTCTTCTGTGTCTGTCTTCTCCGGCTTGTCAAAGAGGTCATCGAAACCGTTGAACGATAAGTCTTGGTATACGCTATTATTTGGAAGGCCGGAAAGCCAAATGAGCATTTGGTACACGGAGGATGGATATTTGGTAGAAGATGGAGTGGGTAGGTGGCAGACTTGATAGTATGTTTTAAGGTAAGTCATGAGAGTTTCTAAGGTGTCCACGAAAGTGCGGCTGAAAGATTTGTCTGTGCTAGTTGCCGCTAATTTCTCAACTATCTTCTGCCCTGTTACATTGTCATAACATCCTAACTCGGCGTCCTGCACACCTTCCTCGCTGGGCACTCCGTACCCGCAACGCTTTAAAAATCCGCCGAGATCATTTTTACCTTTTTTAGCATTTATGAGGCAAACCTTTTGATCTTTCCATCCAGTGATTCTTCCTCCGCAGTGCTCATGGAACTCATCGAAATCTACCTTCATCGTCTCCAGTATGGTCGAGCAGACCTTGGCGCAGTTGCGGCCCTCGGTGGAAAGGACTTTTATAGTTTTCTGTTTCTGAGGTTGATCAGGATCATCAATATGTTTATCATCTAATAAATTACCATTAAATGTGCTACCGCTATAAGCGTTCACGTACGCGCAGGAGAGCTGCTCGGTGAATTGCGTCATGCCGCGCCTGAGGGCGTCGAGGAGCAGGGGATTGTGGAAGCCGTGGAAGTTGGAGGGGGAGAGGGCGGAGATGGAAGAGGAAAGGGAGGAGAGTAATTTGTCAGAATGGTGGTCAAAAATGTAAATACGTTTGCCGGTAGGGTCGTCGGGATGCGGCTCGCCATGGTGAAGATACTTAAGCAAGTCGTCCATACTGAGTCTGACACTTCCCACCTTGATAGACTCCTCGTTGGGCTCTGGTTCCTGTCCCGGCGCCTTGGCAGGCGTGCGCACCTGCAATCTAATGTAATCGAGGATGGCGTCTAAAAACTGCTTCAGCTGCGATGCTGTTCCTGTGAATTCCACCGGACTTTGTATGTGTATGAGACTTCTGTCTTCTAGCCACGCCTTCATTTCCCTGAGTAGACCTTTCAGGCCTATCATGCTGTCTAGGGAAATGAGATCTTCAATTCTCGCCGACTGATCGGTGACCAATTTCTTCAGATCCTCCAGCTCGTTCTGCTTGGTCGCGGCGAATTTGCGGAGGGCGGCGTTTTTGATGGTAGTAAGGGCGCCACTGAGATCTTCCAGCATAAAGCCTCTGATTCGGTTGATTTCTTTGTACGTCGCTTCCTCGGCTTCACGCAGGATCTTCTCGACTTTCATTCGTAGGTTGAAAAGATATGTGTCATTTAACTGCTTAACGCTTCCAAGAATGGCATTCAGCTTTTTACCAATTTCCTCATCTATTAACTTCAACAACCTATCGAGAGTGCCATCGTAGTTATTGTGTAAAAGAGGCGTGAGGGAATCAAGAGCAATCATTATCGCCATGAGTGCGTTCTCTATGACTTCGATTTTGTCCTTCATGAGTTTATTCAATGTAGGCATCTCGTCTAGGCTAACGTTAATCGCATCGCCAAACTGGTTTCTGCTTTCCGCATAATTACCAATTTTATTCAGATCAGCTGTCTGCCCAATACCGTAAGGTAATGCCTTATCAACTTTGTCTTTCATGTCATCACCAATACCACCGATCAGTGTCCCAGCGTAACCATCAGTGCCGTTTAACCTGGTTTTCATTGCCTCTAGGACGTCTTTTAGTTTCTCCACAGTAGTGGCAGCAGTGAGTGCCGAAATGTCTTTGAAGGCATTTTGGTCATGAGTTGCCGCTTCAAGTCGCTTGCTCAGCTCCGTATCTTTAAGAACGCTGTTTTCAGAAATATCCCTATCTTCAATCTGAATGCCGCTCTTGATGCTGTCTACACTAATCTTCTTCTTCAACTCTTTAACATAAATATTTATACCATTAATTATATCACTTTTCGCTTTTCGCAATCCTTCCTTTAATTTGCTATCAAACTCTTGGAGTTTTTTATTCACGTTGTCGAATTCCTGTTTAGCCTCCTCGATGTTCTGAAACGCTTTACCGATGGTAGTAGCTGTATTCTTCGCTTGAAGTTTACTATGAACTTCCCCCGTCGCTGTAATGCAATGATGAACGATGCTGTTGGCGTCATTAATCCACCGCGCCAAACTACGATGTACATTACTAACCTCTTGTTCAACTTCTCGAATATATTGATTAATCTCATTTACACGTTTCTCCTTAGCCGCGGCTACCGCCGCTGTTGCCTGAACAGCATAAGTATTAACCAGGTTTGGAAGCACATCACTAAACTGCTTACTCGCCATGTCAATCACCTCAACAATGTCCCTATTCTTCGCGTTTTCTTCAAACGTTCTCGTTGCCTGCAACAGCATGTCAATTGGACATTTCAACTTATCTTTCAGTTTGGGATCAATTTCTGCTAAGGCCTCATCGGCCTTCTTAGCCTTCTCAATGTACTCCCCTGCCCGCCGAGTCCACTCGGCGACCTGTTCAGCAATAGACTTTTTTGGAGTTGACGAATCTTCCTTATGCTGCTTAATCAGCGTCTTGATGTCTTCAATTGGCCCCGTAACACTCTTCATCTTCCCCTCCACCTGCGCAGCATGTCTATTCAACCACCCACTTACCTCAGTCACGGCGGCCTGGAAGGCCTTACGGCCTTTACCTACATTATCATGTAAATCACTAATAACTTTATCAATGTTAGGAACATTATTTTTATCATAAGTTGTAACGCTCTCATCATTTTTCACACTCTCAAGAACACCATGAAGGAACGCCACAACGCCGTCGCAGAGCCTGTCAAGGTCGGAGTACACGATGCCAGTGCCGTCGTAGCCTTTGGAAGTTTCTTGGTAACCAAGAAACTTCTCCAAGCCAGTGCACAGGTTATTTAAAAGGTTTTTACAGTTATCACTTTGTGTAGTACTAAGAGATTTAAAAGACTCATTAAGGCTCTTCAGCTTCTGAAGAGCATCCAACTTGGACTCATAAGAGGATAAAAGGCGAGACTCTTCAGCGGAGAGGGGAGGATTTTGGGAATTTTTATTAGATTCAAGAAGCTCAATTTCTTTCTCATAATGCTGAATTTTCTCATCAAGCATATTAGTATCTATGGACACAGCAGGCACGGGAGCGGGAGACTGCCCAGTCGAAGACGGAGGATTTCTAAGGCTTTTGAAGTCATCATCACTGTTAATAATGCTGTCAATACCATTTTCAATGGCCTTTGTAACAGCGTCACTTTTGCCAATAAATTGGCCAAGCTTCCCACTGAGCTCAGCAAGAGACACCATCCTGGACTGGATGTCCTTCAGTTGGGCAGTCCTGTCAGACTCAGAAAGGGAATGATACTTGGCAACATGATCTTTCAATTGGGATTTAAGGTCGTCGATTTTAGAGTCATTTTGTGATTTAGCAGAGTTTTTAAGTAAGTCAATTTGCTCGTTAAGAGACTGACAGTGGGACTTAGGAGAGTTATCAAAGGAGTAATGTCCAAGACAATTAAGGTGAGAAAAGAAAGTGGAAAAAAAGGTTAGAGAGGGGATTAAAAGTGGTGAAATGGAACATTTTCAGGGCGATTTGGGAGAATTTGGGGAAAGGCGATTTTAGGTCAAGGAGGCAGTGAGGCAGCGAGGGAGGTGGGTGGACAAGGCGAGGGAAGTGAAGGGGCGAAAGAGGGCGATGAAGGGAGAAGATGGGTTGAGGCAAGGCGGTTTTGTGGGTGGAGGGAAAATGTGGAAATGAAGGGTGATGAACTGGATGAGTGATAAGATGGAGGACGACAGCCGAATGATAAGATGGATGGTTATAATGGTTGAGTGGATTGAGTGGTGATGATATATGAGTGTTGATGCATTAGTTAGATTAGTGAGTGGTTGAGTGAAAGAGTGGTTGATGATTAGCGTGAGTGGATTAGTGAGTAGGTAGATTGAGTCGTGAGTGGTGAGTGAGGCAGGATGAGTGGTTAGTGGTGGTTAAGTGGGTATGGGTAATGGTTGATGCGTTGAGTGTGATGGTGGTTGATCGAGTACCGAGTGAGTGAGTGAGAGGTAAGTGAGTAGTATTGAGTGTTGAGTGGTTGAGTAAGTAGTGAATATTTGAGTGGTTGAGTGGGTTGTTGAGTGGGTAAGTAATATGACACGATGGTTGAGTGATGAGTATGGTTGAGTGATGAGTGATTGAGTGAGTGGATGAGTGGGTCGATTGGTGAGTGAGTGAGGTGAGTGGATGATGCGGGCGATTAGGTGAGTGATTAGAGTGAGCGATCAGAGAGTTGGGTGCGATGGTGAGTGATTAGATGAGGGTTAGGTGATGGATGGTTGAGAGTGAGTGGTGCAATGGGTGGGTGAGTGAGTGAGTGAGTGAGTGGGTGGGTGGTTGAGTGGTTGAGTGGGTGAGTGGTTGAGTGGGTGGTTGAGTGAGTATGTGAGTATGTGGTTGAGTGAGTGAGTATGTGGTTGAGTGAGTGAGTGGGTGGGTGAGTGGGTGGGTGAGTGAGTGAGTGGTTGGGTGAGTGGGTGTGTGAGTGGTTGATACACAGATCACACGTGAAGGCACGATTATGGTGAGAAGTACTTGACGTTGGCAATTTTCCCAACCTTTGCAACGGCGAGGAGGGACTGCGCGGCGATGCGGTGGCTTGAGGGCGATCTCAGGTGGGAGCGTATCCGCAGGACGTCGAGGCGGACGATGGTGATGTGCAGCAGGTACAGGAGCGAGAGGGACCAGAGGGCTAATAAAGTGATGGAGAATTTCTCTCTTATCTTCCAGATGAATTCATCGATTTGCTTGATTAATTGGATGAGTGCAGATTCTTCTTCAAGAATCTTTTTCAATGCACTGCAGAAATCCTTGCACGTTCTTCTAGCTGCCATTGCGTCACCTGTGCCACATAATCCCAATGGCTTCCCGAAACTGAAACCATACATATATAGTGTGGGAAGTGTGTTATGGCATTTGACAATGGATGCGCAATTCTCGGTGTGATTTTTGCCGTCGAGTGACTTGCTCGCTGCGTCTGCATCATCAGATGTTTGAGCATCATATGCCTGTTTTACTTGACATTTATCAGCACATCTTGTGCCATGACATTTGGCTCCCGGAGACGTGCAGTTATTACAGCACTGCTTATATAATCTGTCCAGCAAATTATACAAGGTCTCAGCCGAGTACAAAATCCACGACAGGTATTGTTTGTTGTGGTACGACGAGAAAATGCTATAGAGGTTATATGAAAGCGATTCGACGTAGACACCACATGTATCTACTGCTCTATCTTCGCATTCGGATATGGTGAACAGATCACCTTTGGAATGGGTTTGCATATGATGGGAGTGGTTTCTTGTATAGGAAATACTAGTTGGGTCAAAGGGATATTCCTTGCCGAAATACGCATCTCTGACGGCAGCATTAAATGCAGAGATCTTATGATCTCTAGCGTCAATCCAGTTTGCCAGGTAGCCACGGAGGAAACCGAAAATATCATCAAGCGTCTGAGGCGCTCGGCGGAGTACGCAGTTCAGCATGTTACACAGCCTAGTGAGGGCAGAATACGGACCACAAAAATTGTTAAGAGCCTCCTTAAGATGTTCGCCCGTTTTAGTATGTGACGCTGCAATACCTATATCGGCAAAGCCCATTGGCGTCTTACAGGGCAGTCCTCTGTGATTGGAGACACTACAAGTTAGCTTGCAGCCGGGACTGTTAAACGAATGAGGCAGGAACCCTTGCAACCCATCTTCCAAGAAAGACTGCAGTGGTGATTTCATGCCACAATCGGGATGTTGGCCACAGCGTTGGTCAGCGCTTTGCTTGGCTCTTTGGTCAGCACTTAGGTCAGCCGTTTGGTCACCAATTTGCTTAACCTTTTGGGGACACTCTAGGTTAGCACACTGTTCTTCGTTACACTGCCAACCTGAGCCAGCTACGTGCCTGCCGTACGAGCACTCACGCCACCCGCTGTGACTTTTGCCATCTAGGCACTGCTTACACAGGAACCACAGTTGCTTATACAGTCTAAATAACACATCTACTAACATGTCAAAGCACGCACCACCGCTACCAGGATACAACAAATTACTTGAGTTAGTGAGGTGATCAGAGGCATACACACCGTCCGCGTGCCCGTGGCCGAGCACGGCGACTAATGTTTTTTCGGAGTAAGAGCAGACACTTTCAAGTGCTTTAGTTAATTGGGCAGAGTCTATAGGTGATTGAATCACGCGCTGCATATCGTATGGCACGGCTACTGGCAATTCAGCTTCTTCTAACTTATACTCTTTTTGTAGGCCCTTAAGCACATTGCCAAGCTGGCTCTTGACTTCACTGTACATGTGGTTGTACTTTAGGCCGGCAGTCCATTGAAGCATGAGATAGATGTTGGACGGGGCTCTGGGCTTCGGAGGCGTGTAGTAGTGAGAGACACGGTTGTACTTCTCAAGGAAGTAGTGGCACAAGTTGAGGATGTCGATGAGAGTAATTTGGTTGTTGCTATTCTTGATTTTAATTTTAATTTTGGAAGCGTCAAGTTTATGCTCAACCAGTTTAGTCTTAATTTGTTCACCTGTCATGTTTCTCCTTAAGTGACCATTCTGAATCTTGTCACTATCGGACACGTTGTAACCGCGAGAGTGGAACCAGAGGGCCATCTTATTGCTGTCATCAGGCGTGTGAATTTGTTTCTTACTCCACTCACCGCTGCATTTCTGCTGCAGATCGTAAAGATATCTTGCCCAACCAGGGATACAGGTCATGAAAACCTTAGACAGCTTCTTGCCGTACTCAGTCAATTTGCGTTTGTCGTCAGTCAAAGATGTATCAGGATCAAGCAACGCACCGTCAAACTTCTGACAACAGTACGTGCTCACATATGCGTAGCCGAGTTGCTTGGCCAGGGCGTCGATTCCGTCCTTGAGCGCTTGCAGGATGGGACTGGAGGAGTCTGTGAATTTGGCGGGGGTGAAGGTAGATAGTGCGTTGTTGAGGGATTTAAGGTTTGTGGAAAAAGCGTGGTCGAAGTGTTCAGAATCATTAATATCCTGAAGCACAATTTTTAGGGGGTCATACAATTTTCCGTAAATAGAGGGCTCCGGGAACAATGCGTCAGGACGTATCACGTTGGAGTGTTGTTTTAATTCCGCTCCTACATTCCCAACTTCTTCGAATAACGCATAAAAGCCTCCATATAATTTATCAGTTGCGTGGCTCAGCTTGGATTTATTTTGATTATTGCCGGATGGCGTACCTGTAGAACCTTGAATAATGGAATTCATACTCCCAACTTCAGGCACAAACTTGTCGTTAAATATTTTCATGAATCCTTTCAGTCCTGACATATTGTCTAAAGATATAAGGTATTCGATTTTGGCCGACTCGTCTTCCACCAACTCCTTCAGCTTCCCGAGCGCGTGGGCCTTGGACTGGGCGAACTGGGAGAGGGCGGATTTTTTGATGGAGGTGGCGGCGGTGGTGGATTGTTTTATGTAGGCGGCGTGGAATTCGGTGATGGCTTCGAGGAATTTTTGTTGGAATTTGGTGAGTGATTTTTCAATTTCGTTGAGGAGTTTTTTGAGCTGTAGTGGCGCTGTGCCCAGCATGTCGATTACAGCCTTGATGTCCTCATCGATTTCCTTTTTTAATTGGGCCAGCTCCTTGGTGACGCTTTCCTTATGGGCCTCAATGCTGCCATCGGAACCTTTTACTTGTAGTTTGTTCAAGCTCTGAATGTTTTCTTCCAATTCTTTGATCTTGCTCTTCACGGAGCCTGCAGCGCCATTCTGATCGAACAATCTATCAAGCTCGCTTATTTTTCCTATCACAACGTCAAATGCGTTGGTAATCTTATGGCCAGGCTGATCGGGCTGGCCGAAGATAGTACCGAAATCGCGAAATTTATTTATAGCCGTCTGAAGGTTGGAGATATGAGATTTTTCAATTAATGCTTTCAGTTCTTCTGCGAGATTTTTAGCCAGTGAAGTCGTCGCAGAAATAATAATATCTACTGCGTACTTGAGGTGATCGTTGGTGCTAGTGGTTGTGCCATCCGTTGTTACCATACGTGAAATGGTGTTTACTATATTATCCACATCAAGAGCGCTGGCAAGGTCTTTTGCAATAGTCAGAGATAAAGTCTGAAATTTATTTGGAAGTTGACTTACGTCGGTAGTATTTGAAACGTTAACTTTTTCGATACTCTCCTTAACTAACCTTTTAAACATCTGTTGAAAATATTCTTTTATTGCTTTAATTACGTCCTTTTCCTTCTTCAGCGCACGGTTACTACTTTGGTTATCGCCAACGTAGTATCCAAGCAACTGCTTTATACCTTCACTATCCACAATTCCCTGAACCATCTTCTCAACATCTTTTTCGAATTTGGTGTTGAAATCCTTCGCATACTTTTGGATGCCGTAGAAAATCTGAATAAGCCCACTGCCGGGGTAACCATTAATCTCCTCAACAACTTCAGTAATCCTCTCCTTAAGCTTATACCAATTATGCTCCATACATTTCTCCTTCTCACCTCCCGCTATAACCGATTTTGTTTTAAGATCGCAGAAGGCCCCTCGAGCATCACCGATTAAGAGGTCCAGTTCCTCCTTTTTTCTGCTGAAACTGCTTTGGCATTTTTCAACTTCGCGTTTCAGTGCTTCAAATGCTTCGTTTATTTTATGTTGTAGACCCGAATTGTGCTTATCAAACCCTTCACTTGCAGTCTGCCTGGCCTCCATGAGACCCCTCCTGGCTTGATCAATTGACTTATACAAATCACCTTTACGCTCTTTCTCAACCTGCTCAACAATTTTTTTAACCCCCTCCTTCAACTTCTTTTTCAACCCCTGATCTCCTTCTATCCCCTCCTCCACTTTTTTATCCAACTCCCCAAACTCCTCATCCACCTTCCCACACACCTTCTTAAGCCCCTCGTGATCCTGCTTAGTGGAGTCCACGAAAGTGTCCACTCTGTCTTTAATAAGGGAGACATGTGGAGATAATGCTTTTTGGAGGTTTTGGTCGATGTAATCCAGATTTATAAAAGATCTACTGGAATAGTTCGGAATTTTCTCGACAGCATCCATCCACTTACGCAGTGTTGACACTGCAAAGTTATTATAATCCGTACTTTTTAAACCTTCAATACACTTTAAAATCATAGGTATATGATCATGTTTTAACAATTCATTTATATGCCTACTAACTTCATCATTTTTTGTCTTCACATCCCCCAACCACTGACCAATCCCCTCCTTGACACTGCCAATCACATCACGCAAACCTGTTTTGCCGTTATTAAGTTGCTTATTTAAATTAATTACAGCATCTTTTAATTTCTCTTTATAAGGCGAAAGGTTATTATTGGTATGAACTTCATTTAAAACACCATGAAGGAAAGACATCACCCCGTCACACAGCCTGTCAAGTTCGGAGTACACGATGCCGGTGCCATCGTAGCCTTTGGAGGTTGGATTGAAACCTAGAAACTTTTCTAATCCTTCTGTTAGATTTTTTAGTAAATTCTGTGTATTATTTTTATGAGTGTCAAGTTTCTGAGAATATTGTTCAAGCTCCTGTAGACTGTGGAGACTTTTAAGCTTGGACGTCAGTTCATCTAACGATTTAAGCTTGGATGGTTCAACAGGAGAATCTTTTTGCTGTCTTTTATGCTCTGCAATTTCATTTTCAAGCTGAGTTTTTTTCTCTTCAATTGACTTAATTTCCTTACTAAGCGTAGTAGACTCTACTAAATCATGAGGCTTGGGGGATGAAGGCTTAGAATTACTTTTAACTTCAGGATATTTGTTAATAATTATGTCAATACCACTTCTAATAGCCTCAGTAACTTCCTCTCCACCGCCAATAAATCCCGAAAGCTGTCCGGCAAGCTTACCAAGAGAGATACGGCGGGCATCAATGTCATCCAAGGCTTTTCCCCTGGCATCGTCAGTAAGGTAATGGACATCATTGTAATGGTTATTATAATTGGATTGAAGGTGGATTAGGGGGGAGTGAAAAGAGGTAATAGGGGATTATTAAGGACATTTTTAGGGCGATTTGGGGGAGTTTGGGGAATGGCGATTTTAGGTCAAGGAGGCAGTGAGGGAGCGAGGGAGGTGGGAGGACAAGGTGAGGGAAGTAAAGGGGCGAAAGAGGGCGATGAAGGAGGAAGACGGGTTGAGGTAAGGCGGTTTAGGAGGTCAAAGGAATTTTTTGGAAATTAAGTATTTTGGGTGAAGGACGCCGACGGAGGAGGTGATGGAGGGGGTGAGGCAGGGAGCGAAGCGACCAGTGAAAGAGGGAGGTGGGTGAGTGGTTGAGTGGGTGAGTGGTTGAGTGGTTGAGTGAGTATGTGAGTGGGTGGTTGAGTGAGTGAGTGGTTGAGTGGGTGAGTGAGTGATACACAGATCACACGTGAAGGCACGATTATGGTGAGAAGTACTTGACGTTGGCGAGTGCCTTGACGCGTGCGGCGGCGAGGAGTGACTGGGCGGCGATGCGGTGCGACGAGGGCGAGCGCAGGTGGGAGCGTATCCTCAAGACATCGAGGCGGACGACGGCGATGTGCAGCAGGTACAGGAGCGAGAGCGACCAGAGGGCTAGTAACGTTAGCATAAATGGCCATCTGATGGCGCATAGGAAATTGTCGCACTCTCTGAAAAGATCCTTGAAATATTCTGAATCAAGGACATTCCGTAACTGTGTACAGAAATCGGAACACTGCTTTGGTGATTTTTCATCATTCAACGTTAATGCGTCGCCGAATGTGAATCCACATTGGTATAGTGTTGAGGAGACACCTTTGCATTGGACCATGGAACCGCATTGACAATGAGGTTGTTTACTCTCTTCGTCGTTGAGGCCATGTTGTCCACGTTTGCATTTACCATGCAAGCACGTACGACATCCCCAGTCTTGGCAGAAAATTTCCTTGAAAGCATTGTATAGACATTCGAGGTAATTCCAAAATGTCCAAGGCAGGTAAACGGCCCACGATAAGTATGCGTCCGAATGCGTGGTGGCCAGGTTACTGTATTGATCGGTGCATAACGTATATAGGTAAGGAGCGCAGCGCACATCGGCAACGGTACATGGTGTTGGCATTGCCAGACTTGACACGTCAGCATATTGAGGAAGATGATTTTTATCTGGATGAGTGCTGTGTTTACTATTAAAAATATCACGAAGTGCGTCGGTGAATTTGGAGGGATTCTCATATAGGCTAATGGATCGATCTTTGACCGATGTCTCCAAGGAATCTTTTATGGAATGACGACGAGCATTATGCCAATCATTAACAAGAGACAACACAAAGCCAAAGTGCTCCGGTAAGGTGGAGGGCGGTTTGGCAACGAGACAGAGTACGGATCTAAGTTCAGCATCATCAAAGAATGTGGATAGGATTTTACATATATCTCTGCCTGTCTTTGTGGAGCCAGAGAAACTTCTGAATCCGAGAGGCGTGAGACAAGGCATACCTTTCACAGCCTTTGGACACGTTAAGCATACAGACGCACATCCTACACTGCTTAACTGATGCGGCAGATGCCCTGGCAGACAGTCATTTAGGTAAGACATTAACGGTGAAGTTGGCTGGCAGTTTGGTTCATCGGTTGGTCGGAGCGTTGCCTGGCAATTTGGTTCGCACTTAGGTTGGCAATTTGCTTTACCGCTTACATAATCGCTACACTGCGATTTAGTCGTAGGTATATTTTTACCGTACTTGCACTCGCGCCAACCGGAGTGCTTTGTGTTTATTTGGCACCGAGTTTGCAAATATCTAAGTGGCGGGAATAATTTACGTAATATATCAAGCAATGTATGTAAACACTCCTCTCCGGAGGTAGGATATTTCAGATTAATGGAGTTGTTAGCAAGGTCGGAAGCGTACATGGTGAATGCGTCACCGGTTCCGAGTACAGTGGTGAGGATGTTACGTGAGTTTCTGGATAAATCAGGCAATCCATGCTTTGCTAGCTTGCCCATTACGCCTCTCAAATAAATGTCTTTCTTCTCTTCAGTTTCTTTTGTTTTACCTTCTGATCGTTCCTTTTCTTCCATCTCTTGTTGTTTCTTAAGGAACGCTTGATAATGCAACTTCATTTTGTTGTAAACACCGTTGTACTGCAGACCGTAGCACCACGCAAGCATTTCGTAGACGGAACATGGTGACCTCTTCGCGGAGAAAGTACCTAGGTGACACACTTCGTTATACGTGGTGAGGTGGCTAGTGAGACATAAAAGTATATCCATGACATTGAAGTTCTGTGCTTTCCCATTTGGTTTACATTGTTGAAGATGCGGATTATTGGGAGCCTTTTCAATTTGTTCATTAAGCTTGTCAGATACAGTTGAACCTCTGCAGTTATCTTCATTTCGCAGTTCACCATTCTGCTTATCTCGCTTGGATACAACGTACCCATACGACTCGAATAATTCTCCCAGACCGGTCGACAAATCAATTTTACTTTTAGGCGACGGATGGTCACATCGTTGTTTCAAGGTTGTCAAATCGTCTTGCAGAGTGTTTAAAAGGGTGAGAAAGGCCTTGGCGCAATTCTTCCCATCAGCCTCCCGCGAAAAGTCAACTTTATACGGATGTCCCTCGTAGACGTTAACGTACGCCTTGCCAAGTTCCCCGAGGAAATCCTGGAGGCCGGATTTGAGGACATCTAGTAGGGGACTGCTGAGCTGCGCGAACTTCTCAGGACGCATGGAGTTGAGGAAGCTGGTGAATGCGTCACGATTAGTGGCAGATTGATTGCTGAAGCGGCCCATGGAAAGCGTACCGAAGAGTCTTTCGACATGAAGCTTGAGGTCCTCGAAGAACTTCTCAAGGGGATTCTTGGCGGACGGGGAGGGAGATGCTTGGTTGGTGGGAGGGGAGGGCTGAGATGTGATTTTAGGTGCCACTCCTACACGACCAGGAGGAACCTCATCAGTGTTATTTTTAGGATTAACCGTCGCCGCAGCCGGCCGCGCTCTGTAACCGCCGCCGGAGATTGGAGGTGGGACGTGAGGCTGAGGCTGGACATCAGTTGACGATGAATTAAGTTGATGTTGAATATACTTGTGAATATTAGTGGAGTAATCTTGGAATTGTGTAGATAACTTTTTGAAATCTTCTTCCGTTGGCTTGGTTTTTAGAGATTGCGCAGGTACAGCTTGTTTTACATGGTCCAGCAAATTATGCTGTGAAGACGCATCAAACCTGGGATATTCATTTGGTTTTACAATTAACTTAACACCATTTACGGCCTTTAAAAAACCTTTAATTCCCATTCTTTTATCCCTCTGGATGATGTGTTCCACTTTCTTCAATTGATTTTCCACCAAGGTTTTCAAAGCCTCCAGGTCCGCAATCTTCTGATATGCAAACATGGTTTGGACTTCAGTAGTGACCGATGCGAATGCAGTAGTGACGACGGTGCTGAGTTCTAATTGAAATTTGGTGATGGCATTTGTCAACGCTGACTTGGCTGCTGATAATGTTTTTTGTACGGCCACGATGAGCGCAGTCATATGCTTATCGGCGCTTTCAACCGCTTCCTCGATAGGATAAATCGCATTCCTGATTTTCTCAATTTCCTCCTTCAAGGCGTCCATTTTCTGTTTCGCTGTGTTCCTGGCTGTGTCTAACAAGCCGGGTAGCTTCTCCACTTGGTCGTCAATGACGGTATCAATTTCACCTTTGGCGGCGGTGTACCTGCCTTCCGTGTCAACATACGCGGGTATATGTTGAGTTTGAATTTCATTATTACCGTTTTCAAACTCCTGATTGAACTTTTGTTCTATCTTCTCGATCGAATTACAGATCTTATTTTCCCCGTCGACTGCGAAATTACTCATACCGCTAACTTCTTTAGCTGTCGTAATATTATTGAGGTTTTTCACTTTAGCGGTGAGCGTGCCGTGCGTCAGTTCCAATATTCCATAAAGCTTGTTAAATTTTCCATTTAGGTTAGTTAATGCCGTGTCAATCAGACTGCCAGGTTCATTCGCAATTTCACCTTTCATTCTATGGACATGGCCGATAGCTGTATAGACATTCTTTATGTGAGATGTGCTTCTGAATTTCTCGACTTGGCCAGCTACTTGCTTGGCAATAGATGATAAAGAGGCTAGTGTCTCGTGGATGGCGATTTGGAGTTCCGATTGATAATAAGGTGAGATCCTTTTTTTCTGTTGATTTACCACGACATCATCAATCGCTTTGACAATCGAAGTTTCTTGTTTTATCACCTGAGTGGCAAACGCATTGAGAAAACTGGAAACACCTGTCAATTTTTCCTCAACGTTTTGATGGGTTCTAACCTGTGTTGTTGGAAAGCTAGTCTTAAGCCCTAACAAGATTTTTTGTTTAACTTCTTTCGAAACCTTAGAAAAATCCCCTGTATCGCCTCCTGTAGCGTATCCTACGTTGAACATACCATGATTATCTGTGAGATACAAGCCTATATGCCCCTTCACAGGGTCCTTATCTACTATCTCATTAATCCACTCTTCCAAAATTTTCTTCCCAAAGCTCGACTGAGTGAACAATCCTACATACGCTTCCACGCCTTGGTAGAATTGAATTAGACCCTTACCATCACTGTTAATATCACCAACAAGTGCCTTTATTTTCTCCTTAAGCGTATCCCAGTTATGACGTATACTTTTCGTGTAATCATCATTAGAGACTCCTAAAACTCCCTTATTTATTTCTTCAAACGCCGTCCAAGCGCTGGTGAGAGACTCCATAAGTCCCTCAGTGGAGCCTTTTATCAACTCAGTTAGCTTCATGTACGCCGTCGACACTTTTTCATCGGCCTGTCTTATGAGTTGTGCACGGGTTCTATTCGCCGATAAAACATTCTTTTTTACATCCTTGCAGAGTTCTGTCAATTTCGCTTTGCACGCCTTGTCCATGGCTTCCGCTGCAGACGTCAGTGCAACTATTTGCGCCTTGAGGAATGAATTTTCCCCTCCATTCTTGTTTTTATCAAGATTGGCCAGTTTTAATTCGATGTCTAAAAGCTTGTTTTCAATCTCTTGCTTATATGTCGTGTCGAAAGCGTCGACCAATTGCTGTGCTTTTTTCCTGGCATCTGCTGTCAGACATTGGAGATTAGTAACCTGCGCTTCCCTTGTCTCATTCACACTCCGAATGTCAATACCCATTTTTGTAAACTCTTGCTCCAATTTGTCTTGCAGCACTTGCGATCCACTCCTAATTTTCGTCAACACATAGTCCTCATGCCACTTTAACTCTCTGCCCACCCTTTGCACCTGCTCCACCAAGAGTTGTTTTTTGGCTGAGTCATGGAACATCTTAACAGAAGCCTTTATCGCCTCAATCTCACTACGCAAGCTATGTTTAAGTGATTTGTCTAGGTTATGGACATTATTAATTAGGTTGTCATTGATGTGTGTTTCTATGATCTGGACCGCCTGAGTCCAGTCGTCCAGTTGCTCCTTGAGTGGCTTCGTAGCACTACCTGAAACAGATGAAATTGTAATAGGTATAATATTATTTTTCAACTCACCTAGTTGTCCAGTGATATTCTCCGTATACTTGGTAACCTGCGCAAAATATTTTACTAACCAGTCACTCACCATATCCATGGAAGTCTTGAAGTCTTCCGGTCCCTTACCTAAAGCATTATGTAATATAGAAATAACATTACTTACCTTAAGAGTATGATCATTATCATAAGTTGTAACGGAATCATCATCCTTAACACTCTCAAGAACTCCATGAAGGAAAGACATCACCCCGTCGCAGAGCCTGTCAAGGTCCGAGTACACGATGCCAGTGCCGTCGTAGCCTTTGGAAGTTTCTTGGTAACCAAGGAACTTCTCCAGGCCAGAGCACAGGTTATTTAATAATGTTTCACAAGGTTTATCTTGTGGACTTTTAAGTGAACTCAAGGAGTCATTAAGGCTCTTCAGCCTCTGAAGAGCATCCAACTTGGACTGATGAGAGGATAAAAGGCGAGAATCTTTCTCAGAAAAAGCATCTTTATTGGCTTTTTGTGAAGCTTCAAGGGACGCAATTTTATCTTCATAATGCTCAATTTTCTTTCTAAGCTCACCATCATTTATAAGCTCAGCAGGCACGGCAGCGGGAGGATGCACAGTCGAAGACGAAGGAATTTTAAGGCTTTTGAAGTCTTCATTACTGTCAATAATGATGTTAATAGCATTATTAATTGCGTCAGTAACAGCGTCACTTTTGCCAATAAACCCCGAAAGCTGTCCAGCAAGCTGACCAAGAGAGATGCGCCGTTCAGCAAGATCATCCAAGGCTTTTCCCCTGGCATCCTCAGTAAGGTAATGAACCTCGTTGTAATGGTCATTGTAGTTGGATTGAGGGTGGATTAGGGGAGGTTAAAAGAAGTAAAAGGAGGTGAAATGGCACATTTTCAGGGCGATTTGGGGGATTTTGGAGAAAGGCGATTTTAGGCCAAGGAGGCAGTGAGGGAGGTGGGTGGACAGGGCGAGGGAAGTGAAGGGGCGAAAGAGGGCGATGAAGGGGGAAGATGGGTGGAGGTAAGGCGATTTAGGGGGTGGAGGGGAAGGTGGAAAATGAGGATTTTGGGTGGACGACGCCGACGGAGGAGGTGATGGAGGAGGGGGGAGGGAGCGAAGCGACCAGTGATAGAGGAGGTGGGTGAGTGAGTGAGTGGGTGGTTAGGTGGGTGAGTGGGTGGTTGAGTGAGTATGTGGTTGAGTGGTTGAGTGGGTGGGTGGTTGGGTGAGTGGGTGAGTGAGTTGAGTGGGTGAGTGAGTTGAGTGGGTGAGTGGGTGAGTGAGTGGGTGAGTGGGTGGTTGAGTGGGTGGTTGAGTGAGTGAGTGGTTGAGTGGGTGGTTGAGTGGGTGGTTGAGTGAGTGAGTGGTTGAGTGGGTGATACACAGATCACACGTGAAGGCACGATTACGGTGAGAAGTACTTGACGTTGGCGAGTGCCTTGACGCGTGCGGCGGCGAGGAGGGACTGCGCGGCGATGCGGTGGCTTGAGGGTGATCTCAGGTGGGAGCGTATCCTCAGGACGTCGAGGCGGACGACGGCGATGTGCAGCAGGTACAGGAGCGAGAGCGACCAGAGGGCTAGTAAGAGGTAGTAGAATTTACTCCTGATGTCCCATAAGAATTTTGGAATAGTTTCATATATCAATTTGGCTAGTACATCATTCTTGTCCTTCACTTCGCTGAGGACTCTATCCAATGCGTCGCAGAAATCGTTACATGTCCGCTTAGTTCTAATATCTTCTGTGCCGTTTAGCTTTTGTGTGTTACCAAAATAGAACCCATATTTATACAAATTGGGTAATGTTGACTTGCATTTCACAATTGATTTGCAGCCTTGTTGGTGATTTTTATTCGGAGATGTAATGTCAGAGACAACTGTACGGCAATTTGTAACGCAGTTTGTCGTATGACACTTAGATTTGGGCAGCCCACAACTCTGACGGCACTCCTCCAATAGGTCCTTCAGCAACCTGGAAAATGTTTCAGTGGCATAAACAATCCAAGACAGGTAATAGTTTTTGAACGTGGAAGAATAAATACCGCGGTTGTCCATACAAAGCGGTCTGAGATACGGTCCGCAGGTGCCGACAGGGTCCAGAGTAGCGATTCCTCCATCGCAGGTGACGAGGCTGCACAGGTCTCCTTTCACATGGGTTGTTGAGGTACCTGTATGATCACTGCTCTGGAACATTGTACCAACATTAAGCGTTGTGTTTCTATTTTCGAAATCGGCATTTTGAACAGCCTGTTCAAATGCTACTTTCCTATTCGGGCCACTGCCATCCCACCCGTTAAGGAAACCGTAATAAAACGCGAACATATCACCAAGTGTTTGAGGCGGAATATGTAGCAAGCATTTCACGTAAGAGCAGAATAGGGTGAGCGGTTTGCTTGGTTGGCCACAGAATTTCTCAAGAACTTTCTTGAGATCTTCGCCTTTTTGCCTGTGCGATGCCACCGTGCCAATTTCGGAGAAACCCATGGGAATTAGGCATGGTAACCCCCTATGCTTACCGAGGGAACATTCCACTCCACAACCAAGCTTTTTAAGGTGGTGCGGTATGAAACCTGGAAGACCGTCTTCCAAGTATGATTGAAGCGGCGATTTGAGACCGCAGTCAGCATTTTGGTTACAGTTTTGGTCGCACTGTTGGTTATGCTTTTGGTTACCCTCTTGGTTGTATGGTTGGTCTGGACATTGCAAGTTATTGCACTGCCAGCTAGTACCAGCGACGCCGTTGCCATACCAGCAGTCTTGCCACCCACCGAGTTTACTTGGATGAGAACAATGCCTATAAAGGAAGTTAAGCTGATCATGTAGTTTAAGGCATATTTCGCATAGCAAATCGAAACATTTAGATGGGCTAGTTGTATAGTCCAGTTTATCTACGTTACTACTGTACTCACAGGCGTAGCGGCCAGCCGCGTGGCCGTGGCCCTGCAAGGCAATTAACACAGTTTCGGCCGTTTTGCAAACCCTGCGAAGTACAGCGCTTAAGTGGCCGGATCCGACAATGTTTTCGTTGGCACCGAGGTTTAGTCTGAACGGCTTAGTGATAGCTATGTGCGGATTGTCTAATCTATACGCTTTTTTCAGGCCTTGAAACATTGTGGTGAAATGTGAGTCGAGTTTTTCAAGCATGGGATTATACGTCAGTCCGGTAATCCACTGCAGCATATGAGATACTGTCGTTGGAGGCTTTGGTGAGTCAAAGTGCTCATGATGACGGACTTGGAAATAGAGGGGGAGGTATTTGCATACCTCCCTAAGTGTGCCGGGATCTTTCTTTTCATCATCGTTTCTGTACAGACGTTTTTCAATCTCTCTGTTGTCGACGAGGAGACCGTGGATACCATGTTTTGGATCCTGTATGATATTTAATTCGCCCTCCGGCTTTTCTGAATCTGACACCTTGTAACCGCGGGAGTCAAACCAGAGTCCGAGGGGATTATTTTTTAATTTAGTAATCTGCAGACCATTCCACGGACCCTTCGGATCCTTATCACAATGCCTCCTCAGCCAATCGAGATGTTTACCCCAACCAGGGAGACAGGTCATGAAAACCTTAGACAGCTTCTTGCCGTACTCAGTCAATTTGCGTTTGTCGTCTGACGTCTTAGGGGGATCCTGAGGATCCACTAACGCACCGTCAAACTTCTTACAGCAGTAAGCGCTCACATATGCGTAGCCGAGTTGCTTGGCCAGGGCGTCGATTCCGTCCTTGAGCGCTTGCAGGATGGGACTGGAGGAGTCAGTGAATTTGGCGGGGGAGAATGTAGATAGTGCGTTGTTGAGGGATTTTAAGTGGTCACTGAAATTGTGGTCGAAGTGTTCAGAATCATTAATATCCTGAAGCACAATTTTTAGGGGGTCATACAATTTTCCGTAAATAGAGGGCTCCGGGAACAATGCGTCAGGACGTATCACGTCGGCGTGTCGTTGTAATTCCTCTCCTACTTTTGCAACTTCTTCGAATAACGCATAAAAGCCTCCATATAATTTATCAGTTGCGTGGCTCAGCTTGGATTTATTTTGATTATTGCCGGATGGCGTACCTGTAGAACCTTGAATAATGGAATTCATACTCCCAACTTCAGGAACAAACTTTTCTTTAAATATTTTCATGAATCCTTTTAGTCCTGCCATTTTGTCTAAAGAGATAAGATATTCTATTTTTTCCTTTTCATCTTCCACCAGCTGCTTCAGCTGCTCGAGCGCGCGGGCCTTGGACTGGGCGAACTTGGAGAGGGCTTGGCGTTTGATTTGGGTTTGTGCGGTGGTGGCGAGGGATTTGAAGTGGCGTGCGGCGTCTATTATATATTTTGCAATTTGTTCTTTTGCGGCATTTACGGCACTCCATATCTCACTGATATGGTGAGTTAATTTGGCGTCTCTTACGGCGGTGAGAACGTCACGGAATTCGCGTTGGAGATCTGTAATCTTTTCTTCTATTTTGTTAATATCATTTGGAACGCCGGAATCAGCGTTTGCAATCTGTTTGGAAACGGCAATAACAGATTCCATGGTTGACCTAAGCGCATCCACACCAGATTTCAGAGGGTTATAATTTGCGTCGAATTCACTTTGAAGTCCATCAACCTTATCCTTCACCCTTTTAATGGCCTCATCAACCTTGCCGGCAAGGCTTTTCTCCTGTTTTGCGCCTTTAGGGACAACAACGCGTTTTGTAGTCGACGGCTCAATGCCGAGAGCCTTGTTCAATTTAGTCTCCAGTGAAGCGGCGGCATCGGCTGCCTGTTCGGCGTTAGACTTCGGTGGACTTGCCGGTGGTTGATGTACGGATTTAATCGGCGGTGTTGTTTTACTAACCGCCTCTTCGTAATCTAATTTAGCCATGTCCACCAGATTCTTTAGATTTCTGAAGTCAGCACGATAGAACTTGTTTATCAGGCTTTCCACTTTTTCAATGTTTCCACTCTCTAAAACTTCGGAGAGTTTTGCAATCGCCTGGGTAATTCCACTCACCAATCTACTGAGCTGATCTTGGATAATGTTTATGTCAACTGCCATCAACTTTTCCCATACTCGATAAACACTAGGATTCAACACCCCCTGTATTTTCGCATCAAGCACACTAACCTGCCAGGTATTATCTTTTGCGGTCTGCAAAACAGCCTCTGCCGTCCGCTTCAATTCCATCAACTTCTTTTTAGCATAGCGATATGCATTATCAAGGGCATTACTGTTCTCTCTGGCATCCTTCAAATGTTTTTCTATCTTCATAAACTTGCTAGCAATATCACCTGCTGCATTCTTTATGACCAAATCAGCATAATCCGTAATTTTCTTTACCTCCTTATCCACCTTCTCACATACCTTAACAAGCCCCTCGTGATCCTTCTTAGTGGAGTCCACGAAAGTGTCCACTCTGTCTTTAATTAGGGAGACGTGGGGATATAATTGTGTTCTAAGATTATTGTCAAGATACTTAAGACCGTCAGAAGCAAAACCAGAATACTTTTGAAAAACAGTAATGTCGGCGATCCACTCAGCCAATTTAATTTTTGCATCAAAATTATATTCCGCGTTTTTTATCATGCCATCAATTACATTTTTAGGTGCATCAATCAACTCATTAAGCGTGTGTATTGAGCCTGAAACGTTTTTGTTTTTTAATTCCACCTCCCCCAACCAATCGCGAATTCCCTCCTTGACACTGTCAATCACATCACGCAAACCTGCTTTGCCATTATTAAGTTGACCATGTAATTCATCTACAGCAGTATTTAACGCAAATTTATAGGGCGAAAGATTCTCATTATCACGAATATCTTTAAGCACGGAATGCAAAAACGCCATCACCCCGTCGCAGAGCCTGTCAAGGTCCGAGTACACGATGCCGGAGCCGTCGTAGCCTTTGGAAGTTTCTTGGTAACCAAGAAACTTCTCCAAGCCAGAGCACAGGTTATCTAAGATTGTTTTACATTTTTCTGATGTCTCATCATTTTTACCAATAAAAGCTTCAAGATTTTTTTGGAGTTCAGCAAGTTTATCCTGCCGGTCCTTAATATCATCTAAGGCTTTATTTCTGGCATCCTGAGTAAGGTAATGTACTTCATTGTAATGGTTATTGTAGTTGGATTGAAGGTGGATTAAGGGAGGGTAAAAAGGAGTAAAAGCGGATGAAATGGCACATTTTTAGGGCGATTTGGGGGAATTTGGGAAAGGCGATTTTAGGTCAAGGAGGCAGCGAGGCAGTGAGGGAGGTGAAGGGGCGAAAGAGGGCGATGAGGGAGGAAGAAGGGTTGAGGTAAGGGGCGGTTTGGGAGGTCGAGGGGGAAAGTGGAAAATGAGGATTTGGGTGTGGGACGCCGACGGAGGAGGTGATGGAGGAGGGAGGCAGGGAGCGAAGCGACCAGTGAAGGAGGGAGGTGAGTGAGTGGGTAGGTGGTTGAGTGGGTGAGTGGTTGAGTGAGTGGTTGAGTGGGTGGGTGGGTGGTTGAGTGAGTGGTTGAGTGGGTGGGTGAGTGGTTGAGTGAGTGGGTGAGTGGTTGAGTGGGTGAGTGATTAGGTGAGTGAGTATATGGGTGAGTGGTTGAGTGGTTGAGTGGTTGAGTGAGTGGTTGAGTGGGTGGGTGAGTTGGTGAGTAGGTGGGTGAGTGAATATGTGGTTGAGTGGTTGAGTGAGTGGTTGAGTGAGTGGGTGGTTGAGTGAGTGGTTGAGTGGGTGAGTGTGTGAGTGGGTGGGTGGGTGAGTGGGTGAGTGGGTGAGTGGGTGAGTGGTTGAGTGAGTGGGTGGGTGAGTGGGTGAGTGGGTGAGTGAGTGGGTGGGTGAGTGGTTGAGTGGTTGAGTGATTGAGTGGGTGGGTGGGTGAGTGGGTGGTTGAGTGGTTGAGTGGTTGAGTGAGTGGGTGAGTGAGTGAGTGGTTGAGTGGGTGAGTGAGTGGGTGGTTGAGTGCTTGAGTGGGTGAGTGGTTGAGTGGTTGAGTGGGTGGTTGGGTGGGTGGGTGAGTGAGTGGTTGAGTGGGTGGTTGAGTGGGTGAGTGATACACAGATCACACGTGAAGGCACGATTATGGTGAGAAGTACTTGACGTTGGCGAGTGCCCTGACGCGTGCGGCGGCGAGGAGGGACTGCGCGGCGATGCGGTGGCTTGAGGGCGATCGCAGGTGGGAGCGTATCCTCAGGACGTCGAGGCGGACGACGGCGATGTGCAGCAGGTACAGGAGCGAGAGCGACCAGAGGGCTAGTAACAGGTAGGAGAAGGGTGTACGAATTGCCCAGATGAAATCATCGATTTCGTCAAATAATTCTTTAAAATATCCTTTGTGCAGCACTTTGGTCAGCTGTTTGACAAAGTCGTCACATGACTTTTTGGTTGTGCTCTCCATTAACTCTCCAGGCACACGGAAAGTGAATCCGTATTTGTGGAACACGGAGAGGACGCCGTTGCAGTCAACGATTGTTGGACAATGACAGGCAGATTTGGTAGTTTCTTCTTCAGTGACTCCATGTTTATCAGATGCACAGTTACAAGAGCATCCGTACGCTTTACATGACATACTCTTAAACGCATCAAGTAACTTATTAAGCAATTGCCAGAAATCCCACGCCAAGTAAGTGAACCATGAGAGATGCACTGCAGCATTTTTCGGAGCATACGTATGATTGGAATGAAGACCGAAAGGTTGGAGGTAAGGAGCACAACATGAATTTTTATCAGGGCACGTGACTTGTGAATCATCATGTTGCGGTCTGCTGATGCTCCAAAGGTCACAATGCTTATCGTTGTGAGCACCCTTATGATCTACATCGGAGCAATATAAAGCTTTTAATTTATCGGTTAATAGATTAGCTTTGTAATAGTTGTGCAGCGATGTGTCGAATGGAAAGCATCGACTAATCGCGCCATCAACTGTCTTTCTGTATTCAGCGTCGTGGCCATATTTCGAACCATGTACGTTCTGCATAGCATTGCAGTAGAACGAAAACATGTCACCCAAAGTCTTAGGAGGGTTCGGTGATATTGTGAACAGGCAACGAAGCAAAGAGCACAGCGGTGACTCCGCATTGTTGCACAATGTTTTGAGAATGGCATGAAGCATACGGCCCCGACGGGTAATGGACGCCGCATTGGTCAAATCCCAGAAACCCATCGGAGTAATACACTGCTGACCAGGCGAGTTCTTAGGGCAACTCAAACATTTAGACGAGCAACCAACAGACGTTACTTTATGCGGTAGGCAGCCAGGTAACTGGTCCATCAGGTGAGATTGAAGGGGCGACTTGACGCCGCACTTAGGGTGTTGGTCACACGTTTGGTTGGCCTTTTGGGTAGCGCTTTGGTCAGCGTTTTGGTCAGCCTTTTGAGGACAGTTTTGGTTGGTACATTGGTTAGTGTTGCACTGGAATCCGGAGCCAGCAACACCACTACCATATGAACAGTCAGACCATCCATGGTATTTGGTTGGTGTACGGCATCGGCTATATAAAAAGTACAGCTGATATAACAACCGTGTACATATATCGCGTAACATATCGAATAAGCTAGGGACGTCTGAAGGGTAATGAAAGCCACGGGTGTTATCACAGAAATTAGTGGCATATGGGTAATCCGCCTGGTCGAAGCCACGGCCGTTGCCTGAGATTGTGACGAGCACATCGTATGAAATTTGGCACGTAATATTTAAGGTTTTCCGCAGTGTGGATTTAAGTATGTATAAAAGTACATTGTCACTTTTGTTTTTGTCATCTGCGAGCAACGTTTCACAATGCTTTTCAACGTTGGTGTACACGGCTGTATGAGGGAGGCCGGAAAGCCAAGCACACATGTCACGTACAGTGCAGGGGTATGTTTTTCTTTCGTGGAGTTTAAGGTGGCAGACATTCAGGTATTTTTCAAAGTAATTATACAATTGGACGATATTACCCTGGTACGCATCTTCGTCGGAGAATGGCCGGCTAATGAGACTGTTGCTTTCGATCAAAGCGAGAATGTTCTCACCCTTGAAGTCCGGCTTATTTTTCAAATGGCCCTCATGACCATTGTCATATTTGGACACCTGGAAGCCTCGGTTTTCTAACCATGCTCCAAGCTTGTTTTCAACTGGCTTTCGATTTTTAGGCACTGGCTCATAGAGGTATATACGCTTCTCATTACACAGGCCGTGCTTCGCGCAACTATCCCGCAACTCATGCAGATCATGGAACAGAGTCTTGAAAACCGTGAGACACGCACTTGCGCATTTTTTGCCTTCTTCGGTAAGGACTTGTTCTTCGTTTGCGGCATCTTTCAGTTGGGGAGACACTTTATCTTTTTTAGGTTCTACCCAACCATCTACAGGTTTTTCACGCGAATATGTATTGACGTAAGCGTTTCGCAGTTCACCGACAAAGTCTTGTAAGCCGCGCTTCAGAGGAGACAAGACAGCCTTTGGGGCGTCTTTGAAGGTGTCAGTCGAAAATGAAGCAAGTGCGTTTTCGAAATCTTGCCGCTTGGATATGACGTAGGAGTCGAAGTGCTCCGACTCGAATAACTGTTTGACCAATTTTGCTAGCATTTTATAGATCGTGTCAATTTTCGTTGACTGCGATACTAAGTCGCTTTGTTTTTCAAACTCCGGAAAGAATCTGTTAATTGCGTGATAGAGGTGCTGAGTGCCATCTTTGAATTTGCAGTCTGAGTCAATTTTCTCTGCTTGAGGAACAAAGTTCACATGAAGCTTATTTAATAAACCCTTAATTCCGCTTATCTTATTTTCATTCATTAGCTTCCTAATAGCTTCCGCTTGCGTCTCCAGCAATTTGTGTAGAGCTGTTAAGTCCGCCTTATGCTGCTCGCAGAACATGGATTGCACTGCTTTTTTGACGGTTGTGAAGGCTTGTTCGGCGGTTTGGGTGAGCTCACTTTGTGTAGTAATAATTTGAGTGTGCAGAGTACGTCGAGCAGTTTCAACTGCATCAGTGGCGTCTTGGATGGCCTTTTGAAGAGAATTATCAAAGGCTTTGATTTTATCATTAATACCTTCTATGCTCAACTTGAGTTTGCTAACGCGGTCTCTGAGTGAATCAACTTGCTGTTTTATATTGCCTTCCGCAATTGCCTTTGTTTTGGCGACCAGTTTCTGAGTTTCAGCAATTTGTTCCTGAAGGCCGTCGACAATTTGTTGAACGTTACCCAAATGTTTACCTGGAACCTTATTGAGTCTATTAATTTGTTGCCCAATTGTCGCGTGAACACGGCGAAGTTGTTGGTTAATGATGCTGTTGACTTCAGTGTCTAGCATGCTGATACCCTTTTTGGCGGCATTTCGGAGCAGCGGGTGGAGCTTGGTGTCGAAGTTGACAAATGTAGCTTTGTCTCCGAGCTCAATTTTAATAATGTTGCCAATCTTACGTGGATCTGAGTCGTCAGGTGTAAGCGCTCTCTCAAGATGACCGCCGAGCCCTTTGACTGCTTTTATAGCACTGTGTACGCTGGAACTAAGGTCGGAGCTATCGGTGAATCGCTTAAGTTCCCCAGCGGTCTCCTTTGCAGTGGATACGAGAGCGGATAGAATGGATTGGACGGCGAGTTCGAGATCAGAAATTTTGGGAGACGTAGAATCACTGCCCATGCCTAAATCCCCCTTCAACCCATTCTCAATCTGCTTGGCTATATCACACGCAAGTGGGACGATGCCTTTTCCCGTACCCCCTGTAGTACTGCTATAATTCTTCAGCTTGATTTCAAGTTTCTCGGCGAAGTCCTTACAACCTAGCTGAACAGCAGTGACATATTCCTCAATATTTTTGCTGGAACCGGTGTCGGGTCCGATATGACTTGCAACCGTTGCACCGGCTGACTTAATAATATTATTGCTGTCACCTTTCAATTTCGCAACGACCTGATTCGCTATTTTCGTTGAAAGAATCGGATTAATTTTTTCACCCGTCACACTATATGCAGATTTCAAAGTACTAGTCTCAATCCAAGCCTTAACCTTTTCCTTTAACATACCATTCTTGACGCCCAAAATGTCTTTCACCCAACTCTCCACTATATTGCCAAATTCGTCCTTAGAATCATTTGTGATGAACTTCGCAGCATACTTCTTAACTCCGGTGACAACATCATATAGAGCACCGTCATTTTTTTCAACACCCGCGATCTCTTTAGTCAGCAGAGCAACCACCCCTTTAATTTTATTACCCAACTCATCTCTCATATATGACCCTATTTGTCCTCTAATATCCATCTTAAGCGATTCTTTCGCCCGATCCAAATCGTCCATAATTTGATCCAAACCGCTATTTACCTTTTGCTGAACACTGATAGAAAGCCTTCCAATCTCATCTAACTTTGCTTTCAGCCTCTCCAACTCTACACTCACAGTTGAGAATACGTTACCAAGACCGCCGGAAATATCCCCCGTTGCAAGGTTACTTACCTTCCCACTTATTGTCTGTAACCCATTGAGAATGTCTCTATCATAATGCTGCGCCAAGGCTTGCGCGCTCTTTTCCGCGTGGCCAACATCCGTAACCAGCTGTTTGACAGACTGCAACAAAGGTCCCAACTGCTCGGCACGCTCTGTTCCGAATTTCCTGGTTTTCTCTTCAATGAGGTCAAATCTCTCTGTCAAGGCTTTCAGGAGCTGTTGGCATTTTTCAGTAATTAGCTGAGTGACCTCATTTTCCTTTGCAGCAATTTCATCGTCTACGTGCTTCACCTTGTTGCCGTCTGTCATATTTTTGGCCACACCCTTAAGGTGCTCCACTACTTTCTTAACTGGAGCTATTTCGTGCGCTAATTGTATTCTAAGTGTGCTATCTAATATATTACTGTGGTTGTCGCTAATGTCTCTAATGTCCCAGTCGACGGACTCGACGGTTCTCATCCAAGCCTCTAACTGGTACGCAAGTGGGAAAAGGTCCGACCCTTGAACTTCCTTGTAGTAATCACCTGCACCAGATGATAATTTATCAATCAACTTACCTAATTCCGCAGTCACTTTATTAGTCCTCTCCCCCACCTGCTCACCATGTTTTTTCAACCACTCACTTACCTTAGTCACGGCGTTCCCGAAGGCCTCACGGCCTTTACCTACATTATTATGTAAAGTGCTAATAACATTGTTAATATCATTAATGTCACTATATTTTGTAACGTTATCATCATCCTTCACTCCACTGAGAACACCATGAAGGAAAGACATCACCCCGTCGCAGAGCCTGTCAAGGTCCGAGTACACAATTCCCTCGCCGGTGTAATTACCATCCTTGAAGCCGAGAAATTTTTCGAGGCCTCCACAAAGGTTATTTAATAATGTTGTTGTAGGATTATTTTAGGCACATTTTCAGGGCGATTTGGGGGAATTTGGGGAAAGGCGATTTTAGGTCAAGGAGGCAGTGAGGGAGGTGGGTGGACAGGGTGAGGGAAGTGAAAGGGCGAAAGAGGGCGATGAAAGGGGAAGATGGGTTGAGGTAAGGCGATTTGGGAGGTCGAGGGAAAAAGTGGAAAATGAGGATTGGGGTGGAGGACGCCGACGGAGGAGGTGATGGAAGGGGTGATGGAGGAGGGAGCGAAGCGACCAGTGGAAGAGGGAGGTGAGTGGGTGAGTGGGTGAGTGGGTGGTTGAGTGGTTGAGTATGTGAGTGGTTGAGTGGGTGGGTGGGTGGTTGCGTGAGTGGGTGAGTGAGTGAGTGGGTGAGTGAGTGAGTGGGTGAGTGAGTATGTGAGTGGTTGAGTGGGTGGGTGGTTGAGTGGGTGGGTGAAGGCACGGTTATGGTGAGAAGTACTTGATGTTGGCGAGTGCCTTGACGCGTGCGGCGGCGAGGAGGGACTGTGCGGCGACGCGGTGCGACGAGGGTGATCTCAGGTGGGAGCGTATCCTCAGCACGTCGAGGCGGACAACGAGGATGTGCAGCAGGTAGAGGAGCGAGAGCGACCAGAGGGTTAACAACGTTAGTATAAACGGCCATCTGATTTCTTTCAGGAAATTGTCGCATGCTTTGAATAATTTATCAAAATATTCTGATTTGATAACCATTTCTAATTGCGTGTAGAAGTGGTTGCAAATTTTCCTGTTCGTACCATCCAGCAAGGTTTTAGGATCCTTGAATGTAAACCCATATTGGTAAAACGTTGGCAACACAGCGCGGCAACATACTATAGCCCTGCAACTACACTTGTGTTTAGATCCATGTGATGCTGGTTTACACGAACATCCTGGACAACCAAAGCTTCTGCAGTCAATGCTTTGAAAGGCGTCAAGTAAAGAACGAAGATAATCCCATAAGTTCCATGGAAGGTATATAGCCCACGATAGGTAAAGCTTCGTGTGTTTCTGGGCCACGTATTTATAGGACTCTGCAGAAAGGCACTCGATAAAGGGGGCGCAGTGAACATCTTGATCGGAGCATGGTATAGTTTTCGAAAGGGCTGACATCTCAGCATAGACACCAAGATGACTCTTGGCGCCGTGGTCGCTCACGCTGCTACCATACGCACTAGCAAGAGCATTAGTCAAGTCCGATGGGTTTTTATATAAATCAATAGACTGTTCGGATGCAGATTTTGCGAAAGCATCTGCAAATATTCTATGGTTACTATGTTTTGGTGACGATGGCGCGTTAATGGCCGTAACCAAGGAGCAAGCGAAAGCGAAGTGTTCGGGCAACGTACTTGGAGGTTTGGGGACCACTGTGAGAAGGCATGTAACATAGTCGTTACTTAGGAATTTGGTCAGCACATTACATAGGTCTTTGCCTGACCTTTTGCTTCCAGAGAAACCTCTGAAGCCGAGTGGCGTTAAACAGGGCATTCCAGGCTGCCCTTTACTACACGTGTTGCACGATGATTTACATCCCACACTGGTTAGTTGATGAGGCAACATGCCTCTTAGGCTGTCAGTTAGGTACAGGTGAAGAGGCGATGTACCGGAACATGCGTGGTCGGATGGTGGATAAATACTGGAATGTTGGCCGCACTGCCAACACGCTGTCTGAACGCCACTGCCGTAACTACACTGCAGCCAACCGTAATATTTAGTCTCCAGGTTGCACTGCTTTTTCAAAAATCTCAGTGGTTGCAACAACTTTCGAAGAATGTATATCACCATGTGAAGACACTCCTCACTCCTAGAAGGATAATACAAGTTATGTGAGTTGTTTGAAAATTCAACGGCGTAGGTGGTCAATGCGTCACCAGTGCCGAGCACAGTGATCAACATTTCTTCGGCGTAGTGGCATACTTCCGTAAGTGCGTCCGTCAGTTTTGCAGCAGTGATAGTTTGTGGATACGCCTGCAACGATTTCGCAGTTTGGTATTCAAATGATATACCGTCTACCACATGGCTATTGTCTCCTGCATTTTCCGGCTTATCAAACAAGTCACTGAAAGCGTCGAATGACAACTGCTGGTATATTGCATTGTGAGTGAGGCCAGTGAACCAACACAGCATTTCGTAGACATTACACGGTGATTTGGGCTTGGGGCGGATAGTGAGATGGCAGACACGTAAATAGGTCTGTAAGTAAGTATAAATGTTTTTTAAAGTTCCGGCATAATATTTGTTGAAGACCTTACCGTCAGTGATGAGAGGTATGATGTGACGCCCCTTGCATTCGGCATTATTCCTCAACTCACCGTCCCGATTTGCGTCACCCGTGGAAACACGGAAGCCACACTTATGGAACCATTTGCCGAGTTTTGTATTCGAATCAATTTGATCAGATGTGCACGCATTCCCGCAATGATTTATCAGCGTGCTAAGGTTTTCAAACAAAGTTGACAAGCAGGTGAGAAAAAGCATAGCGCAACGGTCGGCATCATCAGTCAACTCAGGTTTATTATTAATTGTCTTCGTCCAATCAACGGTCAGCCCCGAATATTCGTTAACATAAACATGGCCAAGTTGCGTGCAGAAATCTGTCAACCCGGCTCTCAAGGCGTCAATCAACGGAGCGTTGAAAATACCGGAGAGCTTGGCAGGGGTGAAATGGTTAAGTGCGTTGGTAATTGAATCATGTAATTTTATGAAGTCATGGTCGAAACTATATTTACGGTTGTCGTTATTTGTCAGGTGGGTGAGTAATGTGGTGAGATGGTCGTGGATTTTGTTGACTGCATAGGACATGTCGTTTTCCTCCTTACCTGAAGGTGGGACTGGAGTCATGGATTGATCTTTGATGTACTTCATAAGTGGATCACAATAATGCTTTACATATTTCGCCGCCTCTTTCGTGTCGTTTTGAACGGGGATCTGATAAAGTGTTTCATGGTTAATTTTCAACCTTGCAAGCAAACCTTTAACGCCGTTTGCCGAGTCGATATCCATGATATTCCCAATGGCGGATTTTTGCTCGGTTACTAATTTGTGCAGGGCTGTTATGTCCGCTTCATGTTGTTTGCAGAAAAGTTTTTGGATTTCGGTGGTGACTTTTTCGAAGGCTTTTTTTACTTCATCAAGGAGCTTTTTTTGGAGGTTGGATAGCGCATTGCGGGCGTTTTTACGAGCTTCATTGTACGCGTTAACTAGTTCACTGATGACCATTGTCAATGCATCAGCGGTTTCCTTAACCATTTGATCAATGTAATTAATCCGATCGCGAACACCTTCAATGTCATTTTTCAATTTCACCATGAGTTCATCTATGTCTGCCTTCTTTTCCACAGCAAATTGCGGAGTCTTTTCAAGCGTCGTTATTATGTCAAGAGCAGACTTTATGACGTCCATAATGGCTTTATTGGCCACGGCGTAGCCATTAATCGCAGAGGTTACTACCTGATAGCCACCTGTATCGAACGCCTTTAGCGTTTCGCCAAAAGCGTGCTTAATGCGAGACCATTTGTTATTAACGTTGCCTATTTTTTGGTCCACATAATTTTTCATGTGAGTTGCAAACGTCGAACTCTTCTCAATCTCGATATCCTTCAATGCGTCACTCACTTCCTCATTAATGTCCGACGTCACCGTGTCGACGAAAGTTTTAGGCCCGTTAATTGAAGAGTCCGAATATGTGAATTTCCCTAGTATGGTTTTAAAACATTCATTCAACTGGCCGAGATCAATGTCAAAGGATTCGTCGTCCGAATTCTGCACTTGAAGTTTGCTTTTTTGAGCAGCTTCCGCCAATTTTTTAAGCGCCTGAAGCTTCAAGTTAGCCAACTCGCCATTTAATGCGCCATGTGTTGAGGCAGCTTTTGCGATTATTTCTACGTCGCTCCTCAACTTGCCGGTAAATCCACTTATTGCGTTCTTAATAGTCTCCGTTTTAAGCTTCTTCAAGTCTTCTTTAATCTTGTCAGTAAATTTATTCACTTGCGTCTTAGTTAAATCAACCAATCCATCCACCTTTGCTTTAATATTTTTCAACTCCGCATGATATACACGTTCCAACTCAATAACCTTATTGGTCAGTGAATTAACTTCCTGGTTAAGTCGCGACTTGCCATCTTTCGCGCCAACTGCATACTCATCTTTATTAACATCTCTAAGTTTAGACGCTATTTCGTTAAGTCGATTGCCGATCTCATACTTATACGTTCCGTCAAACTTCGCTAATAAATTATTTATATGCAGCTTCGCGGGATTCACTGCATTCCTAATATGGGCAAACTGCTCATTCCTCTTATCGTTCATTCTGGTAATACCTTTCCAGATCTTTCCGAATCCATCATCTAGCCACATTTGAAGCACTTCACATTCCTCTATTATGCTCTTCTCACAGCGTTCCCGCTGTTCAACCAGCATCTGATCCACGCCTGTAACCTGCAGCCTGAAGACCTCATCATTGGCAGAATCAGTCAACATCTTAACTGCCGTGCTGACGGGCTTCATCTCTACTTCTATTCTACCTCTAAGTGCGCTATCTAATTTATCAATTTCTATTTGTACACTGTCTCTAAGTGCGCTAGAAATTTTATTAAGTGTATCCTTCCACGCCGCCAGTTGGTCGGCAAGCGGCTGGCCGGCTTGGTTCTCCACTTCCTTGTAATACTCATTATTATTTTTACCTGCATCAGATGATAATTTAGTAATCAACTCACCTAATTTGTTCTTCACTTCTCCCGTTGCCTTGTCCACCTGCTCACCATGTTTTTTCAACCACCCACTTACCTGAGACACGGCGGCCTGGAAGGCCTCACGGCCTTTACCTACATTAGTGTTAAGAGTGTTAATAACTTTATCAATCTTCTTACCATCTGTAATATCATAAGTCTTCACACTCTCATCATCCTTCACACTCTCAAGAACTCCATGAAGGAACGCCATCACCCCGTCGCAGAGCCTGTCAAGGTCCGAGTACACGATGCCAGTGCCGTCGTAGCCTTTGGAAGTTTCTTGGTAACCAAGAAACTTCTCCAAGCCAGTGCACAGGTTATTTAAAAGGTTTTTACAGTTATCACTTTGTGTAGTACTAAGAGATTTAAAAGACTCATTAAGGCTCTTCAGCTTCTGAAGAGCATCCAACTTGGACTCATAAGAGGATAAAAGGCGAGACTCTTCAGCGGAGAGGGGAGGATTTTGGGAATTTTTATTAGATTCAAGAAGCTCAATTTCTTTCTCATAATGCTGAATTTTCTCATCAAGCATATTAGTATCTATGGACACAGCAGACACGGGAGCGGAAGGCTGCCCAGTCGAAGACGAAGACTTTCTAAGGCTTTTGAAGTCTTCATTGCTGTTAATAATAGTGTTAATAGCATTTTCAATGGCCTTTGTAACAGCCTTTTCAGGGCCAATAAATTGGCCAAGCTTCCCACTGAGCTCAGCAAGAGACAGCAACCTGGAGTGGATGTCCTTCAACGCACCGTCCCTTTTGGACGCATTACTATGCACTTCACTTTTGTGGCTGCTTAAGTCGGATTGAAGTTTACTCAGCTTATTTTCATTACGGATGTTAGAATTTTTAAGGTTGTTAATTTGGTTAGTCAAGTGATCACAGTAGTTAAGAGGCTGACCAGAGGAGGCCGACGAAGGAGGCCATGGAGGGAGGTCAAAAGAGGTGAGAGAAGAAGGTGGGAAAAAGGTTAGAGGATAATTAGAGGAGGTGAAATGGGACACTTTTGGAGAAAATTAGAATTTTTTGAGAAAGGTGTATTAGGTCAAGGAGGCAGCGAGGCAGCGAGGGAGGTGGGTGGACAAGGTGAGAGGGAGACGTACAGGGCGAAAACAACGATGAAGGGGAAGATAAAGTTTCAAAGGTGGAAGGGAGAAAAAATGGAATTAAACAGTGGACTCAACTGAGGATGTCTGAAAGGAAAGGCAACAGCAAGTAATCAAAAAAGGGATCGTAATGAAGTAAATGAGTGATAAATAAGTAAGTAAATGGGTAAAGAAATGAGTGGGTGATTGGAGTAAATGGATAAGTAAGTATATATGAGTAAGTGGGTGGGTAAGAAATGGAGTAAGTGGATGAATTAAATGATTAAATGGGTGAGTAAATTAAATGGGTAAGTGGTTGAGTGAATTGGGTGGTATATAAGTAAGTAGGTGAAATAAATTGAGTAGGTGAGTAGAGTGGGTGAGTGAGTAAGGTAAGTAGAGTAAGTGGATGAATGGTTGAGTAAGTGAGTGAGTAAGTGGGTGGTTGAGTAGAGTAGGATCAGGGTTAGATGGGTGAGTGGGTAGTTAAATGGTGGTTTTGCGTGGATTGAAGTTAAGTGAATTGAGTGAAGTAAGTAAGTGGGTAGTGGAGTAAATGAGTGTGAAGGAGGGTAGTGAGTGAGTGGTTAGGTGGTTGAGTGGTTGAGTGGTTGAGTGGGTGAGTGGGTGAGTGGGTGAGTGGTTGAGTGGGTGGTTGAGTGAGTGGGTGAGTGGGTGAGTGGGTGAGTGGTTGAGTGGGTGGTTGAGTGAGTGAGTGGGTGGTTGAGTGAGTATGTGAGTGGGTGAGTGAGTGGGTGGGTGAGTGGGTGATACACAGATCACACGTGAAGGCACGATTATGGTGAGAAGTACTTGACGTTGGCGATTTTCCCAACCTTTGCAACGGCGAGGAGGGACTGCGCGGCGATGCGGTGGCTTGAGGGTGAGCGCAGGTGTGAGCGTATCCTCAGGACGTCGAGGCGGACGACGGCGATGTGCAGCAGGTACAGGAGCGACAGCGACCAGAGGGCTAACAATGTTATAGTGAAATTCTCTCTTATCTTCCAAATGAATTCATCGATCTGCTTAATTAGTTGAATGAGTGCAGATTCTTCTTCTAGAATCTTTTTCAATGCACTGCAGAAATCCTTGCACGTTCTTCTAGCTGCTGTTGATTTTCCTGTGCCGCATAATCCCAATGGGTTTCCGAAACTGAAACCATACATATATAGTGTGGGCAGTGCGTTTTGGCATCTGACAATGGAACTGCAATTTTCAGTGTGATTTTTGCCGTCGAGTGTCTTGCTCTCTGACGCTGCATCATCAGCTGTTTGAGCTTCATATGCCTGTTTTACTTGACATTCCTTAGCACATCTCGTACCATGACATTTGGCTCCCGGAGACGTGCAGTTATTACAGCACTGTTTATATAATCTGTCCAGCAAACTATACAAGGTCTCAGCCGAGTACAGGAACCACGACAGGTATTGCTTATTATGGTACGACGAGAAAACGCTATACGTGCTGGATGATAGTGATTCGACGTAGAGACCACATGTATCTACTGCGCTACCCTCACATTCGGATATGGTGAACAGATCACCTTTGGAATGGTTTGACTTGTTCCCCGATTGATGTACACGGGTGGTGAACAATATAGTCGGACACAACTCTAGATATTCCCGGCCGAAATATGCTTCCTTAATGGCATTCTTAAAGGCCACGCTCTTATGTGTGATGGCCTCTTTATTCACTGGAGGGAGGCTGTTCCAGTTTGCCAGGTAGCCACGGAAGAAACCGAAAATATCGTCAAGCGTCTGAGGTGCTCGGCGGAGTACGCAGTTCAGCATGTTACAGAGTTTACTGAGGGCAGAATACGGACCGCATAGATTGTAAAGTGCAGCTTCGAGATAGGCCCCTGTTTTCGTATGGGAAGCAAGGACACCTATATCGGCAAAGCCCATTGGCGTCTTACAGGGGAGTCCCCTATGATTGGAAACCGTGCACGTTAGTTTGCAGCCGGGACTGCTAAACGAATGAGGCAGGAACCCTTGCAATCCGTCCTCTAAGAAAGACTGCAAAGGGGATTTCATGCCACAATCGGGATGTTGGCCACAGCGTTTGTCAGCCTTTTGGGTAACTGTTTGGTCAGCCTTTTGGTTGGCACTTAGGTTCCCCTTTTGGTTAGGTCTTAGGTTACACTCTAGGTTAGCACATTGTCTCTCGTTACACTGCCAATGTGACCCACCGACGTACCTGCCGTACGAGCAATCACGCCACCCGCTGTGACTTTTGCCACCGAGGCACTGCTTACATAGGAACCACAGTTGCTGATACAGTCTAAATAACACATCTGCTAACATGTCCAAGCACGCACCACCGCTACCAGGATACAATAAATTACTTGAGTTAGTGAGGTGATCAGAGGCATACACACCGTCAGCGTGGCCGTGGCCGAGCACGGCGACTAATGTTTCTCCGGCGTAGTAGCAGACGTTATCAAGTGCTTTAGTTAATTGTGTAGAGTCTAGAGGTGTATTAATTAAGCCTCGCATATCCGATTGCACGGCTACTGGTAAAGCTTCTGTTTCTAATTTATGCTCATTTTGTAGGCCCTTAAGCACATTGCCAAGCTGGCTCTTGACTTCACCGTACATGTGGTTGTACTTGAGGCCGGCAGTCCACTGGAGCATGAGATAGATGTTGGACGGGGCTCTGGGTTTTGGAGGGATGTTGTAGTGGCAGACGCTGCGGTAGTCATCTAGTGTACCGCTGACGTAACGCAGTAGGTAGGGAAGTGTTGTGTATTGGCCATTACTCAATTTCAGAGATTGTAAATGAGTGAGTAATTTGGAATCTAATTTGTTCAGTTTATGGCCAAGTAATATCCTAATTTGTTCACCCGTAAAATCTATCTTATTCTTCAACTCCCCGTCGTGTCCATTATCTTCCTTAGAGACACGGTAACCGCGGGAGTCAAACCAATCTCCGAGACTTTTGTGTTTCCCAAGCTTATTAATTTGTAGACTATTCCACGGGCCCTGCGGATTGTTATGACATCTAACCCGCAGATCGTACAGATATCTTGTCCAACCAGGCAGACAGGTCATGAAAACCTTAGACAGCTGCTTGCCGTACTCAGTCAATTTACGCTTGTCGTCTGACGTAGTGGGATCCTGAGGATCAAGCAACGCACCATCAAACTTCTTACAGCAGTACGTGCTCACATATGCGTAGCCGAGTTGCTTGGCCAGGGCGCCGATTCCGTCCTTGAGCGCTTGCAGGATGGGACTGGAGGGAGAAGTGAAATTGGCGGGGGTGAATTTCTCCGCCATTTCGGCGGTCTTTTTAATCAAATCGGAGACCTCATGGCTGAAATGGTTTTCTTTTATCATTTTCTGGAGTAAGTCAGTTAACGCTTCGTTGGCTTTTGACGCTTTCTCCTTGGAGGGATGGTCGGCAATTTGACCAATGATGTATGTCCAAATGCCGTTATAAAATTCCTTGAATCTTGGAGTTCCGATTTTTAATTCTTTTTCGTTTTTAATTGGTCCGAGAATGTTATGAGTTTTGTGTATTTTGTCCAATAAGCCTTTGACGCCGTTCGCCAAGTCCTTTGTGATTATCCCTTCGATCGCTGTTTTTTGTGCGTCGACTAGGGATTTTAGGGCGGTTAGGTCGGCCGTTCGGGAGTGCGAGAATAGAAGTCTGCCTTGGACGGTGATCTCTTCGAAGGCATCTTCGACGTGTCTTATGAGTTCTCTTTTGGATTTGTCAATGGTTCTGGTCATCATGTCCTGTGCTGAGAAGACAACATCACTTACCGATTGTATGGACCTTTCCAGAACATTATCAGCATCCGTCAGAATGCTGTGAATGATGTCAATTTCTCTTTTAATTTGTTGAAAGTTGTGTTTCAATTCAGCCATGAATTTATCTATATCCTTCTTCTTTTTCTCCACCTCACCCGGCACAGCTTGCAGTGTCTCAACTTTGAGTATAACGGTTTTGATGGCCTGTTGAATTGTGCTGGTCATTTCGGTTAGGCTCTTGGTTGACTCGTCAGTGAACTCTCTGGTTTTAAGATCTTCAATGTTCTTGTGAAGACCTCCAATACTCTCAGTACCTTTCGGATCTGCAATTCCAATTTTCTTCTTCAGCTCCTGCAACTTGTCCACCACGCCGTTGGTGCTATTTTTGAGAAAAGGTTCGAGTGCACCGGTGAACGATGACAGGGCGGAGGTGATGGCGGAGTGCATACGGTCTATTTCTTTTTGGACAGTCAGGTTGAGAGTATGCGACAGTCCCGCCCTGTAGTTGCGTTTCGAGCCATCAAGATCTTCAACATTTATCTCATTAATCTGCCTTTCAAGCTTCATTTTACCACTTCCATCTGTTCCAGAGCCTTTTTCTCCCTGATAATTTTTCATGACACTTTCAACGTTACCAGACAGCATGTGAGCCTCCTTGAAGGCGGATCCAGCATGTCTCGAAATATCCCTGCAGATTGGTTTAATTACATCATACGTCCCGAATCTGGCGCCATCTGTACCCAACTTTCCAAACACCTTCATTGCATCCAACGCCCCTTCTATAGCTCTTCGAATGTCAATCGTCTTTGCAGCTGTCAACATCTTACTTCCCAATGCACCTTCGAAACCATTATTACCATTCAAGTAGTCAAATCCGGGAGTGATAGCACCATCTGGGCGATACATATTCTTCGTATCAGCCTTCGTCGCAGCTTCCATCACCTTCTGAACTACGTCCTTGACGTGTTTCCAGATCTCCGTATTAATCTGTTCTTTCAAATCTCCTAAGTCTGTTTTAATAAGACCATCCAACTGTCCGAGCGTTTGCAACGCTGCGTCCTTCGCCTTGCTAACCTCCGCTCTAGCGGAGTCATACGTAGTCTTAAGCCACTCAATTTTTGTCTTCAAAACATTGGCGGCATTTTCAATTTTGGTTGGATACTTGTTTTCATCTTGATCCTTAACCATTTCCAAAGCCTTACTAGCCTGGTTGTGAGCTTCACTACGCATCTGCTCTGCCTCCTTATTTTTGTTTCCCAAACTCTCAACATATCCCTGCAACTCTTTACCAACAGTTATAAGATTGCTCTTGATTTGCTCAACATCGTCATGAAGCTGCGAATGCTGGCTACCAGGATTTTTCTTAGACGGATCAACAGTCTGCAACAACGTTCTGATAGATTCAAAATGTTCCGAAATCCTATGATTATAAGTCTTGTCATAATTCTTAACAACATGACCAACGGCATCATTAAGGAAGTTGACAAGGTCTTTTATGCGCGCAAATTGCTCAGATCGTGCGCCTTGCAGGTCGTTAATTTTCTCGAATACATTCGTAAACCGCTCATATAAAACCTCTAATAAGCCTTCACAATATTCTGTGATCTGGTCTGTAACTTTCTTCTGCTGCTCCGTGAGCCTATCGTCTACAGCCTGGCACGCCGCCATGACCTCATCGCTAGCTGAGTTCTGCAAGTGCTCGATAACGCTAGTTATCGGATCTATTTTGTGAGTTATTTGTGATTGTAATGTGTTATCTAAAGCCTTAATCTGCGTGTTTCTAATGCCGTCAACCTCATTTTTGAGGCTTACTAAGGTGGACTTCCAAGACTTCAATTGGTCTTGAAGCTTGTGCTCCTCTTGCTCCTTGACATTCTTGTAATACACATTCTCATTTTCACCTGCACCAGATGACAAATTACCAATCAACTCACCTAATTTGTTCTTCACTTCTCCAGTCCTCTCCTCCACCTGCGCAGCATGTTTTTTCAACCACTCACTTACCTTATGCACGGCAGACGGGAAGGCCTGACGGCCTTTACCTACATTAGAGTTAAGAAAGGCAATAACTGAAGTAATATCTTTTGAAGGTTCTTTAACATCATATATTGTAACACTCTCATCATCCTTCACACTCTCAAGAACTCCATGAAGGAACGCCATCACCCCGTCGCAGAGCCTGTCAAGGTCCGAGTACACGATTCCTTTCCCGGTGTAATTACCATCCTGGTAGCCGAGAAAATTTTCGAGGCCTGTACAAAGATGTTCTAAAAGGTTTTTACAATTGTTATCATTATTTTTACTAAGAGAATTCAAAGACTCATTAAGGCTCTTCAGCGTCTGAAGAGCATCCAACTTGGACTGATGAGAGGATAAAAGGCGAGAATCTTCAGAGGAGAGGGGAGAAATTTTGTCATTTTGACGTTCTTCAAGAGGCTTTTTAAGAGCTTCATAACTCTTAATTTTCTGCTCAAGCTCAGCATCATTTATAAGCCCAGCAGGCACGGCAGCGGAAGGCTGCGCAGGCGAAGACTGAGAGTTTTTAAGGCTTTTGAACTCATTGTCACTGTCAATAATTGCGTCAATACCATCATTAATTGCTTTGGTAACAGCGTCACTTTGGCCAATAAATTGGCCAAGCTTCCCACTGAGCTCAGCAAGAGACAGCATCCTGGACTGGATGTCCTTAAGCTGGGCAGTCCTGTCAGACTCAGAAAGGGAGTGATACTTGGCAACATGATCTTTCAATTGTGATTTAAGGTCGGCAATTTTAGAGTCATTTTGTGAGTTATCAGTGGATTTATCAGAATTTTTAAGCAAGTCAATTTTGTCGTTAAGAGACTGACAGTGGGACTTAGGAGAGTTATCAAAGGAGTAATGTCCGAGACAATTAAGGTGACAAAAGCAAAGTGGAAAAAAGGTTAGAAGATAATTAGAGGAGGTGAAATGGCACATTTTTAGGGCGATTTGGGAGAATTTGGGGAAAGGCGATTTTAGGTCAAGGAGGCAGCGAGGGAGCGAGGGAGGTGGGTGGACAGGGCGAGGGAAGTGAAGGGGCGAAAGAGGGCGATGAAGGAGGAAGACGGGTTGAGGTAAGGCGGTTTAGGAGGTCAAAGGAATTTTTTGGAAATTAAGTATTTTGGGTGAAGGACGCCGACGGAGGAGGTGATGGAGGGGGTGAGGCAGGGAGCGAAGCGACCAGTGAAAGAGGGAGGTGGGTGAGTGGTTGAGTGGGTGAGTGGTTGAGTGGTTGAGTGAGTATGTGAGTGGGTGGTTGAGTGGGTGGGTGGTTGAGTGGTTGAGTGAGTGGGTGATACACAGATCACACGTGAAGGCACGATTATGGTGAGAAGTACTTGACGTTGGCGAGTGCCTTGACGCGTGCGGCGGCGAGGAGGGACTGCGCGGCGATGCGGTGGCTTGAGGGTGAGCGCAGGTGGGAGCGTATCCTCAGCACGTCGAGGCGGACGACGGCGATGTGCAGCAGGTAGAGGAGCGACAGCGACCAGAGGGCTAATAAGAGGTAGGAGAATGGTGTACGGATGGTCCACAGGAAGTTGGGAATTGTCTCGTATATTAGCTTTGCTAGCGGCGCTGCGTCCGATTTGTTCTTGCTAAGCACTCTGTCCAATGCGTTGCATAGGTCTCTACATGTGCGCTTCTTGTTCGCGTCGAACCTATTATTAATATCCACAGCACTGCCAAAATTAAACCCATATTTATATAACGTTGGCCTGGTGTTCTTACACTTAACGATAGAACTGCACTCTTTAGTGTGATTGGATGTCTGATATCTTTCAAACTCTGTCTTATATTCTGCAGTGTCCCTCTTAGATGCGTCAGGGTATATAACCGGGCATCCATTAACAGAACATTTCTCATAGCATTTCGTGCCCCTTTTGTCGCACGTTGCACAGCAATCGTCGTACAACATTTTAAGTATTTCATAAAATGTTTCAGTCAGATAAACGATCCAAGAAAGGTATTTATCGGCACGCTTGTTTGAAAAAACTGTCCATGTATTCTGACATAAAGGTTGCAAATATGGGCCGCACGTGAGTGTTGTGGCAGTGTTCCTGCAACTAGTGAGACACAGCAAGTTTCCACTGCCATGTACACTAGTAGGCTGCTCACTGCTCTTAAACATTGGAGTAATGTCCAGACCGTCATATCGTTCGTTGAAATACGCCTTATTCACGGCATCATTGAAGGCATGCCTCTTATGCTTCATACGTTGCTTGTCCTTATCATTCCACCCATTGAGCAAGCCGTAATAAAACGCAAACATCTCATCCAGTGTTTGTGGAGTGCGCTGTAACAAACATTGGAGGAAGCTGCAAAGCTGGCCAAGCACAGAATGTTCCTTGCCACAGAATCTGCTAAGCACACTCATTATGTGATCACCAGTTTTACAATGCGAAGCGGCAATGCTGATATCAGCAAAACCCATTGGCGTTTTGCACGGCAGCCCGAAGTGTTTGGACATCTGACAAGTGATCTTACAATTAGGTGTGGTAAAGGAGTGTGGCAAGAAGCCAGGGAGGCCGTCTTCTAAAAAGGACTGAAGCGGAGATTTAAGACCACAACTGACATTTTGGTCGCAGTTTTGGTCGTGCTTTAGGGTACACATTTGGTTGCCTTTTTGGTCAGCGTTTTGGTTGGCCGGTTGGTTAGGACACTGCATTGAGTTGCAGTCCCACGCTGACCCGGCAACTCCCTTGCCGTACCAACAGCTGTTCCACCCACCATATACTTGACCGTGCCGACACTGCTCATAGACAAAGTTAAGCTGGTGATACACCCGGCACAGTATCTCGAAGAGCAAATCTAAACAGTGTGACGGACTACTTGGATACAATAATTTATGTGAGTTGTCGGTGAACTCAACGGCATATTCACCGTCCGCGTGGCCGAAGCCAAGTATAGCGACCAGCGTTTTTTCCGCGTGGTCACATACATCGCTAAGTGTATCTGTAATGGTCGTGGCACTCAATAGCGTAGTGGCTTCTAGCACGTAGCTTGAAGCGTCTTGCAATTTTGACTCCTCTTTTGGCTTGTCGAACAGATCTCTAACGTATACACAAACCTTGTCGTACATCGGATTGTACCAGAAACCACTGAGCCAAACAAGCATCTTGTATACGCTCGTCGGCGTTGCCGGGGTGGGAATGTGGTTGAGGTGGCAAGTGCTGTAGTAATTGTGGAGGAGAGCGTGGAGTATATCAAGGACGTCGGATTCAAAAGCGTTCTTGACTTCTTTAAACAGCCCTGTCTTGCTGTCTTTAAGAAGACCGAAAACATTTTCACCTTTCCAGTTATCTTTATATTTCAGCTCACCGCCCTGTTTTGAACCTTCGCCGGGTGGAACTTTGAAACCGGAGTTCTCGAAGAATACGCCGAGGGGATTTTTACGATCTGTTTCCATCTCACATACTTTCTTATCTTTCCAGTCACCGTTAGTATTACACTTCTCGTTTACTTTCTCCAAGCTGACGATGAGCGTTCGTAATATGGTCATGAAAACCTTGGCGTATTTGGTGTCGTCGGACGTATCGTATTCTCGATCACAATACCTGTTGACGTAGGCAGTTTGTAATTCCGCGCAGAATTGTGACATCCCTATTTTCAGGACGTCGAGAACGTTGCAGGATGTTGCGCCGAATTTGTCTGGTGACAGGCCGTTAACTGCGTCGGTTAGGGTGGCGAGGAGTTTTTGGAATTCGTGGTCGAAATGGTAAATGTTTTTGTTGTTCTCACAATGGTAAAGTAAGTCGTCTACTGCTTCTTCAACTTTTGTAACGTCAGACCTATACTTATGCGGAGTCATAGGTTGTCCTGGACCAAGGCGTACGGCAGGGAATATTTTCTCGGTGTCCTTGGTAATATAGTCCAGTGTGTGTTTCAAATAATCTTTCCATGTCGCTGAGAGTGTATTGAATTCTTTTTTAGGATCGGAATTTTGACGATCCTTCAGAGCTTCGAGCAAATTAGTCCCTTGATGAGCGGAAGCCTCCGGCGTGCCTTGCAGTTTGCTCATTAGACCCTTAATTCCAGTCCCCGAGTCGACATATATTACGCTTTCAATCTGAGTTTTAAGATGGGTGATAACGCCTTTTAAGCCCTCGAGCTCTGTTCGCATTCGTCCGGCATACGATCGTTGTGCGTCAGATTTAATGCGTCCTGTAGCCTTATCAAGCATATTCATGATAGCGTACGAAATATCATCAATATATGCTTGCACTCGGCGTTTTGATTCCTTAACAGCTCCAGTGAGTCGTTCATTTACGTACTTCTTAGCCGCTTCATTGGCTTCTTTGCAGGTCTTTATTTTGTTTGTGAGACTGTCACTATTAGTTTCGAGTCCCGCAATAATTGCGCCCAAATCTGTCACTGTTTTCTGCACGGCATTTGTCACGCTGTTAAGCGCTGCCGAACGTTTTTTTACCTCATACAAAATAGGACCGATTTCCTCCACCGAAGCCTCAAGGTGATGCTTGACTTCTGATGAAAAGGTATTTACAAGGTTGGCGACATATTCTTGCGCATCCTGAACGGCCGCATCAACATGATTCGCAAAGTTTTTACTTTTGACGCACACCTTCTTGTCTCTTACCAGATTGATACCAAGTGCCTTTTCGATAGTGGCTTCGAGCGCAGCGGCCGCATCAGCTGCTTGCTCAGCGCTACTTTTCGGTAGATTTGGTGGTGGAACTGGAGCTGCGATCCTTGCAGGTGGGAGCTTTTTAAGCGCTTCTTCGTAATCCAATTTAGTCATGTCTACTAGATTCTTCAGATTCCTGAACTCAGTACGATAAAGCTTATCGAGCAGACCTTCTATAGTTTTTTTTGAATTTTCTCCAACAGCTTCGGAAAGATTTCCTACTGTAGTCAGTATTTGAGATACCGAATTGTCAAGCGGAGTTTGTATCTGGGAGATAAGCAACGCTTCAAGTTCCTCCGTCTTTGCCTTTATATCGTTAACTCTCTTAGTCAACTCATCCTTGACTAAATTATCCAGCGCTCCCATTTTCCTATTATTCTCTTGCGCAGTCTGCAATGCGTTCTTCGCTACCCCAATCAATTGTGTCGATTTTTCCTCAGCGCCTTTTATTGCCTTTTCAACTTTCCCAATTAAAAACCTCAACATGCCAATATTTTCTTCTACAGGATCGAACGCCGTAATCACAGCCTCATCCGCTGTTCTTTTTACCTCCTCAACATACTCCTTTACTTTTCTATGTTCTTCCTCAACACTCTTCAACATACTCTCCAAATCATTATTCTCACAAGATTTTTGAAACCCTTCCACCGGCTGCTTTATTAATTTCATCGGGGTCTCCAACTTTTTCTTTAGCTCGGGATCCAGTTTTTCTCTGGCCTCTTCGGCTTGTACAACCTTGCTGACATACCCTCCAGCCCTTGTGCTCCACTCCCTGAATTGGTCTTGAAGGGTCTTTTCTTTTTCGTCCTCCAATCTTAATTTCTCATCCTTAATGATATTGTCTTCTAGATCACCTAAAGGGCCTTTTACGCCTCCACTTTTCCCCTTAACCATTTCCAACCACTGCTCAATCCCCCTCTTGACATCGTCAATCACATCACGCAAACCTGTTTTGCCGTTATTACGATGAGTTTCTAAAAGTGGTACAGCTTCAGTTAATTTCTCTTTATAAGGAGAAAGATAATTATTATCACGGACATCTCTAAGCACCCCGTGCAAGAACGCCATCACCCCGTCGCAGAGCCTGTCAAGGTCCGAGTACACGATGCCGGAGCCGTCGTAGCCTTTGGAAGTTTCTTGGTAACCAAGGAACTTCTCCAAGCCAGAGCACAGGTTAGTAAGTAAATTATAGGTATTATTAAGGACATTTTCAGGGCGATTTGGCGGAATTTGGAGAAAGGCAATTTTAGGCCAAGGAGGCAGCGAGGGGTGAGGGAGGTGGGTGGACAGGGTGAGGGAGGTGAAGGGGCGAAAGGGGGCGACGAAGGGGAAGATGGGTTGAGAGGAGGCGGTTTAAGGGGTAGAGGGGGAAAGTGGAAATTGAGGATTTGGGTGGAGGACGCCGACGGAGGAGGTGATGGAGGGGGGAAGGAGGAGGGAGCGAAGCGACCAGTGAAAGGGGAGGTGAGTGGGTGGTTGAGTGAGTGGGTGAGTGAGTGAGTGGGTGGTTGAGTGAGTGGTTGAGTTGGTGAGTGGTTGAGTTGGTGAGTGGTTGAGTGGGTGGTTGAGTGGGTGGGTGGTTGAGTGAGTGAGTGGTTGAGTGGGTGGGTGGTTGAGTGAGTGAGTGGTTGAGTGGGTGGTTGAGTGGGTGAGTGAGTGGGTGAGTATGTGAGTGATTATGTGTGTGGTTGAGTGAGTGGGTGATTAGGTGAGTGGGTGAGTGGGTGGGTGGTTGAGTATGTGAGTGGGTGGTGAGTGGGTGAGTGAGTGGGTGAGTGGGTGATTAGGTGAGTGATGCACAGATCACACGTGAAGGCACGATTATGGTGAGAAGTACTTGATGTTGGCGAGTGCCTTGAGGCGTGCGGCGGCGAGGAGGGACTGGGCGGCGATGCGGTGGCTTGAAGGTGATCTCAGGTGGGAGCGTATCCTCAGGACGTCGAGGCGGAGGACGGCGATGTGCAGCAGGTACAGGAGCGACAGCGACCAGAGGGTGAGTAACGTTAACATAAATGGTGATCTAATGCAGTAGAAAAACTTGTCAATTTCATCAAATAATGTGATGAAGTATTGTGAATTCAGCACTTTGGTCAGTTGATTGACAAAATCATCACATGTCTTCTTGGTTGGACTCTTCATCAGCTCCTTGGGTACGCGGTAGGTGAGTCCGTATTTGTAAAATGTATTCAGAGATCCCTGGCAGTCAACGATGGAATCACAGTGACAGCTTTCTTTCGATTTCTCCGTGTCATAAATACCATGCTTACCGGGTGCGCAGTTACATGAAGAACACCCGAGAGATTTACAAGAAATATTTTTGAATGAATTGAGTAACTCATTGAGTAGGATCCAGAAATTCCATGTTAAATATGCGATCCAAGAGAGATACATTCCGGCATGTTTAGGGGCGAATGTATGATATGAATGAAACGATAGAGGCTGGAGGTAAGGACCACACGTAGAACCTTTGACGGAGCACTGCATGGAATCCTTGGTATTAGGCATTGTTGACAAACTTTGGAGACCGCAGTGATTATTGTCATTTGGGTCGCCGTTGTGATCACCATTAGCGCAATGCAAGTTATACAGAGCATCGGTCAGACTTTCAGCACTGTAGTCGTTGTGCAGGGATGTCTCAAATGGGAACGAGTTTCCAATGGAACCGTTTATTTTACTCTTGTGTAGTGCTGAATGACCATATTCGGTACTGTGCCAGGCCTGCATAGCATTACAGTAGAGAGCAAACATATCGCCCAAACTGCTAGGAGGATATGGATTAAGGCATAGAAGACACCAAAGCAAGGCACAAAGCGGTGAGTTTGCATTGTGGCAGAACGTAGCAAGGACATTGTATAGGTCACTGCCCTTTCTGGTAACCGACCCCGCATTGCTCAAGTCCCAAAAACCCATTGGGGTAATACACTGTTGACCTGGCGATCCTTTTGGGCAGCTCAAACATTTAGATGAACAACCAACGGACGTTAATTTATGTGGTAGACAACCGGGTAGACTGTCTGTTAGGTGAGCTTGAAGCGGTGATTTCACACCGCACTTAGGGTGTTGCTCACATATTTGGTTAGTGCTTTGGTTGGCACGTTGGTTACCCTTTTGGTTAGGGCTTAGGGGACACGCTAGGTTTGCACATTGCCTGTCATTGCAGTCCCATGATGAACCACCAACATCACGGCCGTAGTGGCATTCACGCCACCCACGCATCTGTGAGTTCGCCCGGCACCGACCACGCAAAAATGTGAACTGCCTGAGAACACGTCTACATATGTCTTTTAATATATGTAATAGTTCGGGAACCTTTTGCGGATAGTAAAAGCCACGTGAGTTGTCCCGGAAGTTACACGCATATGGGTAGTCGGCCTGGTCAAAGCCGTGACCGTGGCCTTGTATCGCAACAAGTGATGTGTAAGCATATTTACAAGTTAAGGATAAACTGTCACGCAAATTAGAGTCGAGTATTCTATTGATTACTTCATCATCCCTATTAGGGAATCTGCCAGTTGCCTTGTCCTTCTCGTTGAGCGTGTCTGTGCAGTACTTTTCAATTTGAGTGTACACATTAGTATGAGGAAGTCCACAGAAATATGAAAGCATGTCCCGAATAGAACACGGATACTTAGGGGAGCCATTGTGCTTAAGATGACATACTTCGTAATATGTGTTAAGTTGATTAAAAAGTTTAACTAAAGGACCGTCCTGTTTTCTGAAATCCTCAACGCAATCGTCGAGAGATTCAGCCTTTTCTGGGTCTTTGTTAAACTCACCATATTTGTTGAAGCCGTCAAATAATTTTCCGGTGACACGTATTCCAGTGTCATCTTTATTGATAAGGTTCTCAATGAGGTAACCCGATTTTTCCATGAAATCCCTCAGAGCGTTGTTACCTTTCTCGGCTTGTATTTTATAAGTCTTCCAATCCTTACCGCCGTGGAAAACACGTGGTACAATTTTTCGAAAAGCGTTGGCAGACAAGTCAAAAATATGTTGGCGCAGTTTTTGCCGTCAGATGATAATTCCTCTTTTGTATCACCCTGTTTGGCAGATGTCGAAGCTTTTATAGTTTTCACTAGATTTTCAAAATCAATTTTGTCCGTATGCCCTTCATAAGCATTTATGTAAGCCTTATCTAATTGTTCCGTAAACCTCTCTAATCCGTCCTTGAGACAATCTAAGGCCGGATAGGAGATTGCACCAAATTTCAGAGGTGACAGGCTTCTAAGTGAAGTTTTAAGTGCGGCAAGTGATTTAACAAATTCATTATCGAAACTGTATTTTCTATCGGTTTTACCTAGGTGAGTAAGCAAGTCGCGAAGCTTGTCGAAAATGTCTCTAAGTTTGTCATAATACGTTTCCACGCTTGGATCCTTGGACACCCTCTTCATGTCCTTTCCGGCATATTGCAAAATCTGAATCACGTATTCTCTGAAATTGTCAGCTAAGTTTGAGAATCTCTTTTCCTTCGCCGACTGATGCAGAGTACTAATCAGCGCACCAAGCTTAGTGGAAAATGTATCAAGTGTACCATCCGCCGCCACACCACTCACCGTCTTCAGGAAGCCCTTGATTCCCGTCCTTTTGTTGGTGTCGATGATGTCTGAGATCTTTGTATTGGTTTCCGTAATTAGTGTTTTTAAGGCCCGTAAATCGGCTCTGTGACCTTCGGCAAAAAGTCTTTGAATGTCGTCGGTGAGGATGCTGAAGGATGAATTGACTTGGGAGAGGAGGGAATTTCTGAGTTCGGCGACGGCCTTCGATGATGCTGTATACACCTTGTGAACCGAATTTATGGCGGCTTTTATGGCATTTATAAAATCAATCTCGGCTGCGGTGAGAGCTGACGAAATGGCATTGAGGTTTTTGTCAAGATTCGTTTTTAAATTGTCCATAAGATACGCTGCTGCCTCTTTCTTGGCATTAACCAGTTGTGGAAGCTTCTCCAGATCAGCGATTATGTTGCCGATTTCGGTGGATGCTGTAGTGACTACCGCTTTTAAGCTTTCCTTTTGCTTTTTGGTCTCCTTTTCACCAATGAGTTTTTCAATGTCGTCCTTAATTTTCTCTAGACCGGGTACTTTCGAAGGGGGGGCAGGTAAATACGCCCCTTCGAGGTGGACATTTTTAATGTGGCTTCTAATCATACCTCTCAAGTCCGTCAGGTAGGTATCAACGGTATTATTGCCGCCATCTTTGACAAGCTTCCCTACGGCTTTGGTGAAGGCTTCAAGCGCTCTTGTCACATTGTCGTACAAGTTTGTAAATGTTTTCCTGTGAAAATGTGATGACTTACCATCAGTGTCTTTATAATCAATGTCTTTAAGACCGTTAATGGCGTGAGTTTCGAATTTTTCTATGTGTTTTTTAATGGCGTTTCCTTGATCTGTGTTGAATCGAGGCATGAGTTGTGAGTCCTCCCCTTCAATCAGTTTATACGCCGTGTCAATCTTTGTTCCGGCGTCCTCTCCGATGGCTTGAAAGGCAGTCGCTAGCTTTGACTTTAGAGTCTTATACGTGTACTTGAGATTCTTAAAGGCTTTTATTGTGTCTCTGAATTCAGCATTATATGTGTTGTGAGTGCTAAAATCTTTAATCCATGCCTGCAATTGCGCACTAACTGAGTCAAGAGCATCAACGCTCACTGTACCACCTGTATTTATCTTAACATTCTCCCACTTAACAGTTCCCAACCCAGTAAAATACTGCATAACCCACTGCTTACACTTGTTTTTCACCTCCTGTAGATCCTGCGCTATGAGCTCGCGCACCTGTTTCGCAATAGTCGTAGGCACCGATTTAACTAAATCATCCAGTTGCCTCTTGGCCTCCGACGCATTACTATACAGGTCATGCGCTGTTATTTGCAGACTCCTTGCCGCCTCAGTAACATTCTTTTTCTCACCTTTTGCACCCTTGTCGCCAGTTCCATTCAACTTATCCACAATATCTTCACACCTGGTCATTGCATTCTCCACTACTCTCTCCGCCGCCTCCTTCCACTCTCCCAATTTGTCCGCTTCACCATCAAGATCTCTGCCAATTTTTTCTACAGTCGCCGTCAACTCACTGAATTTCTTTTTGAGCTCCGACCGATTTGGTCCAGGCTTATTCGGATTAATTTGGGTCATCTGACCATCGATAATTGTAAATTGCGTTTCAACCTCAGCCTTATAGGTTGTGTCGAAGTAGTCGAAGAGAGCAACTCGAGTATCCTTCAGTCGCTGACTAATGTTCTCAAAATGCTCTTTCCTTTTGTCACTCAGACGATGCGTTTCGTTCAAAATATCATTAAACCCACCCTCCAGCATCTTTTCTAATCGATCACAACCATCGGTTATCGTACCCACGATATGGGTTTGCTGAACCTCCAGCTCGGTGTCAAATTTTTTGGCCTGCCCCTGGACAAACTCGTCCCTAGCCGCCCTAACCAACACCCCAACCGCAGCGCTAAGTGGTCTATATTCGTGTGCTATCTGTGCCTTAAGTGAGTCATCTAAAGCATTAATGTCAGTGTCTGTTATACGCCGGACTTCAGCGTTCAGCCTCTCGACCGTAGACTTCCACGTCTCCCACTGCTCCTGGAGTTTCTTGCCTTTTTGACCTGAAACAAAATTATCTATTTCTACATCACTTACGCTGTTATAGAGTATCTTGAGGTACCTATTTACTTCTTCCGTCTTCTCCCTTAATCCACTCTCATACCCCTGCAGCCCATCCCGCACAATCCCAATGGCCTGCGCAAATCCTGTAACACCAAGGCCCTTACCTATTTTATTTTCCAAGTCACTAATTGTACTTGTAATATCAGGATAATAATGATGTAAAAGTGTTTGACTGCCTTTAAGACATTGGAGGAGAAAGGACATCACCCCGTCGCAGAGCCTGTCAAGGTCGGAGTACACGATGCCAGTGCCCGAGTAGCCTTTGGATGTTTCTTGGTAACCAAGGAACTTCTCCAAGCCAGAGCACAGGTTAGTAAGTAAATTATGGAAATTATTAAGGACATTTTCAGGGCGATTTGGGGGAGTTTGGGGAAAGGCGATTATAGGTGGAGGAGGCAGCGAGGGGGTGAGGGAGGTGGGTGGACAGGGTGAGGGAGGTGAAGGGGCGAGAGAGGGCGATGAGGGAGGAAGATGGGCTGTAAAACGATTTTAAAGTGAGAGTGAAAATGAGTTTTAGGCGAAGACGCCGGAGGAAGTGAAGGAAAGGAAAGGAGCAAAACGATAGTGAAGATGAAGAAATGATGAAATGGGTGATGAGTATGAAGTAAATGGGTGAGTGAGTGGGTGGTTGAGTGGGTGAGTGGTTGAGTGGGTGGGTGGTTGAGTGGGTTAGTGGGTGAGTGGGTGAGTATGTGGTTGAGTGGGTGGTTGAGTGGTTGAGTGAGTGAGTAGGTGAGTGGGTGAGTATGTGGTTGAGTGGGTGGTTGAGTGGGTGAGTATGTGAGTGGGTGAGTATGTGGGTGGGTGAGTGGGTGATTAGGTGATTAGGTGAGTGAGTGATTAGGTGATTAGGTGAGTGGTGGAGTGGGTGGTTGGGTGAGTGGTGGAGTGGTGGAGTGATACACAGATCACACGTGAAGGCACGATTATGGTGAGAAGTACTTGACGTTGGCGAGTGCCTTTACGCGTGCGGCGGCGAGTAGCGACTGCGCGGCGATGCGGTGGCTTGAGGGTGATCTCAGGTGGGAGCGGATGCGCAGGACGTCGAGGCGGACGACGGCGATGTGCAGCAGGTAGAGGAGCGACAGCGACCAGAGGGCGACAAGAGTCCAGACGAATTTGAAACGTATTGCAAACAAATAATCTGGAATTACCTTATGCACTAGGTTGTAGAGTACATTGCCTTCTTTAATTACAATGCCTAATGTTATACAGAAATCCTTGCACGTTCTTTTGTGATGCTCCACTGTCTTGTCCTCACCGCTGAGTTTGTGTGGACTACCAAAGGTGAAACCGTACTTATAAAGTGTAGGATGCATATTTCGACATGTTACGATGGAGTGGCATTTACTTTGATGACTGGTACTCTGGGACGGAGATGATTGTTTTGCTTGCTCACCAGCTTTCTCGGCATCGTAGGCTAATTTTATGGCACATTTTCCTGCACAGCTTCTGTCATAGCACCTGGTGCCTGCCTTGTTGCAGTTACTGCAGCAGTCATCGTACAGTTTTTTAAGGAGGTCATAGAATGTCTCTGTGATATATACCACCCATGAAAGATAGTTACCAGCGCGCTTTTCGGAGAATGTTCGGCGGATGTCATTACTAATTGACTCCAAATATGGACCGCAGGAACCGACGGGAGTATTCACTGTTGGAGATGTATGACAGTCCACCAAACTAAATAGATCACCTTGGGAATGTTTCTCAGTGTGCGTTCTGCCGGATTGTATGGATACAACGTCCAACTTTCCATACTGTTCGCCAAAAATTGCGTCATTAACGGCCTGCAAGAATGCATCCTGCCTGTGCATACGACCCTGTCCGTTCCATTCATATAGGAATTTGTGGTAAAAGGCAAGCATATCACCAAGAGTTTGCGGCGCTCTACGAAGGAGGCAATTCAGCTTACGACACAACCTACTTAGGTGGGATGTAGGACCGCAGAAACTGTCAAGAACCCCGGCAAGATGAGCCCCTTTTTGACATGAGAGGCCGTTACGCTTATGTCCGAGAAGCCCATCGGCGTTTTGCACGGTTGACCTCTGTGGCTGCCGACGGAGCACTTAACTCCGCAGCCAACTTTCGTCATAGGGTGCGGCAAGAACCCCTGCAAACCGTCCTCCAAAAACGATTGGAGCGGCGACTTAAGGCCACAACTAACAGTTTGGTCACACTTTTGGGTACATGTTTGCTTATGTGTTTGGTTATGTGTTTGGTCAGTGTTTTGGTTAGGGCATTGGAGCCGATTGCATTGCCATCCAGAGCCACCAACTCCGTTGCCGTATACACAGTCACTCCAACCGCTGAGTGCTGTTGCATCGCAACACTGCTTATATACAAAATGAAGTTGATGTTGCACTTTAAATACTATGTCTATGAGCATGTCAAAGCATGAACCAACGCTGCTAGGATAGGATAATTTATGTGTATTTGTGAAAAAGTTACAGGCATATACACCGTCAGCGTGCCCGTGGCCCAGTATGCCGATCAACGCATCTTGAGCGTATATGCAAACACTTTGCAGCAGTTCATCGCTCAAGTCGTCATACGTGATTGTCTTAGGATACGCTTCCAGTTGCAAGTCCTTTGCGGGAATCTCCTTGTAATCCCTGGAATCATCCTTCAAAGGCTTGGGGAACAATGTCCTAAGGTGCTCCTTCAGTTTGCTGTACATCGGATTCCACCGCAGGCCACCAAGCCACTGAAGCATATCGTAGATGTTACTTGGTGCTCTAGGCGAATCGACATGCTCATGGTGGCATACTTCATAGTATTTCCTGAAAAGGTCGCGGAGGCAGTGGGCAATGTCGAAGACATCGATTCCCGTGGCACTCTTTTTGCTGCCCGGAGAAGCATTTTTCCTCTCCTCAGTCACCCAGTTAAGTAGGGATCGAACCTGCGAAGCGCCGGGAATATTGTGGTCAAGCAGTGTAGTTTTCATTTTATGCCCGGTGAAGCCAAGGTTATTTCGCAATTCGCCATCTTGCTTTCCCTCCTCGGACGGCACTCGGAAGCCGTGGTCCCTCAGCCATGTGCCAAGCGGGTTATCAGTTTTCCTGCCATTTGTATGGTCATACAAACGAATACTATTATGGCGCCACCTGCCACCAGAGTTACATTCTCTTTCCAAAACAAACAGATGATTTTTCACTCGCTCCATAATGGTGACACAGACCTTTGCGCAGTCGCGGCCCTCGGGGTTAACTCATACTCTGTCTCGGCCTTTTGGCCAGAGACGGGGGGAGCTGTTGGCTGAGTGCTGGGAACAGGACTGCTGGCGGCGGGAGCGGAACGCCTTGTTCGGCTGGGATCAGACAGTTGACCGGAGGTGGAAACAACATTTGAGGCGTGACGTTGTGGATCGGGAACATTTTCCGACTCATCTACTTTTTTAGGTGCTAACAATCTAGTGAATTTCATACCGCTGTAGGCGTTCACGTACGCGTGCTCCAGCTTTGTGAATAATGCCGCGAAGCCTTTTCTAAAGGCCTCGAGAATATAAGGATACTTTCCCTCACCGTATGTCTTAGGATTGAATGTAGCCAACGTATCATTCAGTGCATCCAAATTATTAGAAAATTTGTTGTCGAAATGATTGGATGCCCAGAGGCCTGTAAGCACTCTGTCAAGAGCCTTTTGTGTAGGCTTCATTATGCCGAAGTCTGACTTTAAATCTGCAACCTTTTGGCAATTGCTGAATAACGCACTTATTGCGCCACTTAACCTTCTTGCCGCTTGGTGCAGTGGAGGCTCTGCTTTCGTAAACTTATTCGGATCAACATCTTCAATTCTTTTGACTCTCGTCACAAAAGGCTCATACATTATTTGCATGAATTTTTTGTGCCCCTGCTCCAAATCTTTTCGATTTCTTCGGGTACTCCTTCCAGCTCCTCCTCAACCTTCTTGGAGAATTCGGTGAGCAGTGATTTGATAGAAGAAATGTACTGCTTGCGGGCTAGGGTACTCAGCTCGGAGATTGCGGATGAGACTTGTTGGTCAACTTTGTTTTTCAGAGGCCTCAGTGTATTGGCTGTCACTTCTTCTGCTTTTTCAGAATATCGTTGGCTTCATTCAGGGCCTTGGTCACCGGGCCTTGTTGGAGCTTCTCAAGTTGCTGTCTGATGTTCTTAAGCTTTTTCCCAATCTGCTCGTCTTTCAGTATGCCTAAATTCCATTTGACCTGTTCGCCGGCCTTGGAGAATTCTTGCAACAGCTGGGTGAGATGCTTTGTTATTTTCTCGCCCCAATCACCGAGGGCGTCACTGGTGGCTTTTACAGTGAGTAGACTTGCTTCGCTGCTTATGCCCTGGATCGCTTGCTCGAGGGGGTTGTAAGCGGCGTCGCGTTCGGAGTTGATGGAGCTGTCGCCTAGATTTACGTTGTCTGCTGGGCCGGAAATATGCTGAACCTGCGTCTGCACCTGCGCGATCGCGGTGTCGACGGCTTGGGCGTGGTTGGTGCCGGCGACCGCCTGATTAAGATGCTTAAAAAGCGGTTCGGCCTCACTAAGAGCAGTGTCGATGTTGGTGTCCAAATTTGTATTTTTTGTGCTAACGAAGGATTCAAATTCCGTGGCGAGGTTTGATGCTGATGTATAGACATGCCGCAGAATGGTTTGCACGGCATATTCGAAGCCCATTTTAAAAGTGGGACTCTTGGACGTTGATTTTAACTCCGGCTCGTCTTCGACCTCTTTGGCAATGTTACAAACCTCCTTCCACGCAAGCTTTTCTCTAACCGCCTCAGCAACGGCTTGATGATATTTATGAATGCTTGCCAGTATAGACTTTACGTCGCCTTGATCGCTGGGTTTCTTGCCAACTTTCGATACAATCCCTTTAATTTTATTTGTTATCGCCTTGATCGCTTTCTGCAGGTCGCCGCTCTTTTTGAAGTAGTAACCAATATCCCTATTCACAGTTTCATTATTTTTCGCTATTTCCGATACCCACGTAACGATCGTCGCATCCTCCATATTCCTGGCAACGCCCATCGCATACGTCACAACTCCATTTTTTATTCCTTGCAGCCCTTTTATGCCCTGAATACCCTCCACCTTCCCTTTAACATGGTTCACAATACTTTTGATATTTTTACCTTTTCCTACGTCCGCATCGCCATTTTCAATAACACCTCCAAGCTTCTCAATGGCCGGCTCAACTTGTTTGACAGCCTCCGCAATGCTCCACAATTTATTCTTATAAACCTTATCCAGCTTTTCAAGATTCTGCCTAGCTTCCTGAACTTTACTCTGCAATTGATCTCTCACGCCGCTAATATATATTTCGAGGGGATTCTCTCCAAACTTTTTCATTTCATCCGGCAGCTTCTCAAGTTTTTGTCGATACTCCCACCCAGGCTTTTTATCTATAATGAAACCAGTCTGGCTGGTGTTCTCATCAACAATCCTATCCGCCTCTGACATCCACTGGTCAATATCTTTCAGGTACTCCTTCAGACTCTTGTTAACATCTTCAAGCTGAAGCTTAATGAGCTGAACCCGTCCTTTCAAGTGCTCAACAAGGTCTCTCACCTGCTTGCAAATTTCGTCTTTGACCTCCACTCCGAGGCCGTTCAACTTAGTTCCGATCAACTTAATCATGGCCGCCAAGTCGCCATGCTCCCTACTGGACAGCTGCTCCAGTCGCTTAATCTCATACTTCACATTCTTATGTGAGCTATTTACACTAGTTTTACACTGTGCATTAAGATCATTAATGTCCTTAGTTAGTTTGCTAAGTGCGCTATCAAAGACATTAGAGTGTCGAAGACACGACTCCACAAGGCTCTTGGCCTTGGACGCCTCCTGCTCCGCTTGCCTTGGCACATCAGACACCTGCAAAGCATTAATTTGTTTCATTAGCTCACCTTTATCTTTTTTGAAGGGTTGTAAGAATGTCCATATTGGCGATTTTATAGAGGTATTAGACTTTACAACACCCTCATTATACTCCCTCACCCCCGACACCACCTTGACAATCGCAGCATTAAAACCTTCTTTGCCAAGATGTTTATTGGTGTTAAGAGACTCAATTGCCTCTCTAATCTTATCACTATGTAAGCCTAAATGGCCTTGAATGTTACAAAGAACACCATGAAGGAAAGACATCACCCCGTCGCAGAGCCTGTCGAGGTCAGAGTACACAATCCCTTCTCCGGTGTAATTACCATCATGGTAGCCGAGAAATTTTTCGAGGCCTGTGCAGAGGTTTTTAAGAATTTCTGCACAATTACCATCATTATTTTGAGTTTTAGAATTTTCATGAATTTTCTCAGCATATCCACAAAGCTCTTTCAGTGTCTTAAGAGACTTCTTGGAAGCACTATGAGAGTCAAGAGATTTAGACTCTTTTTCAGGGAAATCATTTTGTGCTGCTTCAAGTTGATTTTTAAGGTTTTTAAGTTGATCAACATTATTTGGCTTAGCATCAATTTCCTTTTTAAGCTCATTCACTTTACGTTGAAGGCTATCAACTTTATTTTTCTTAGGTTCAAGTTCCTTAATTTTCTTTTCAACAAGCTCAATTACAATGTTAATTTGATTTTTAAGCTCAGAACTTTGTTGGAAAATTTTTTCTTTAAGGTCATTAATTTTCTCATTAAGCTTCTGAATCTCAGACTGACCGTCGGACGGCGTCCTTCCGGACGCCTTACCTTTTTCAGCAACATCTTTTTTAAGGCCATTAATTTCTGTTGCAATTTTATCAATGTTATCAAATGTCTTTTGAAGACTTTTAAGATGATCATCACTGAAATTCTTAATATCACAACACCCCTTATCTCCGCAAGATGCTTGTAAAAGCTTTTCAAGCTGATTTACATTACTGTGCAAACCATTTACAAGTGCATTTTTTACTTCCTCACTTTTGCCAATAAAACCCGAAAGCTGTCCAGCAAGCTGACCAAGAGAGATGCGGCGCTCAAAAAGATCCTTTTCACCGCTCTTTCTTTTAGAGTCAGAGCCATGTACTTCAGAGTAATGGTCAATGTAGTGGGATTGAAGGTGGAATGAGGGGGAGTTAAAAGGAGTAAAGGGAGGTGAAATGGCACATTTTCAGGGCGATTTGGGGGAATTTGGGGTAAGGCGATTTTAGGTCAAGGAGGCAGTGAGGGAGGTGGGTGGACAGGGTGAGGGAAGTGAAGGGGCGAGAGAGGCGATGAAGGAGGAAGATGGGTTGGAATGAGGCGATTTGGGAGGAGGAGGGGGAAAGTGGAAAATGAGGATTTGGGTGAAGGACGCCGAGGATGATGAGGAGGATGATGATGATTTAAATGAATCGCGAAACAGGAGTGCGCGGGCAGGCGGTCGATGGGCGGTCGATGGGTACGGCGGGCATGAGGCGGAGTGGTCGATGGTCGATGAGCGGGCGGTCGATGGGCGGTCGATGGCCGAGCGGGGGAGCGGGCGGTCGATGGCCGATGCGATCGATGGCGATGCGTGGGTCGATGGGCGATGATCGATGATGATGATGATGGGCGGGCGAGTAGCGGTCGATGATGAGCGATGATGGTCGATGAGCGGTCGATGGCCGATGTAATGATGGGCGAGCACGTGATGGGGCGATGAGCGGGCGCGATGCGAGCGGGCGCGGGCCGATACCGATGGGCGATGGGCGGCGTCGATGGTCGATGGGCGATGGTCGATGGTCGATGGTCGATGGGCGGGCGGAGATGATGTGATGCGATGGTCGATGGGTGAGCGGGTGATGGCCGATGGCGATGCGGCGGTCGATGGTTGATGGTTGATGAGCGGCGGGTGATGGGGATTGGCCGATGGTTGATGAGTGGGTGATACACAGATCACACGTGAAGGCACGATTATGGTGAGAAGTACTTGACGTTGGCAATTTTCCCAACCTTTGCAACGGCGAGGAGCGACTGTGCGGCGATGCGGTGGCTTGCGGGTGATCTCAGGTGGGAGCGGATGCGCAGTACGTCGAGGCGGACGACGGCGATGTGCAGCAGGTAGAGCAAGGAGAGGGACCAGAGGGACAACAGAGTCCAGATGAATTTAGAACGAATTTCGAATATGTAGTCAGGAATATACTTATGTACTAAGTTATATAGAAGGCTGCCGTCTTTTACCACTTTCTCTAACGCTCTACAGAAATCTCTGCATGAACGTTGCTTAGTTGTTCCACTTTTACCGCTAAGATCAAATGGACTCCCGAAGGTAAACCCATATTTGTACAACGTGGGATGCATATTTTGACAGGCGACAATGGAGTGACATTCCGATGTATGTTTTGAGGTCGAGAGTTTTTTGGACGGTTCCTCAGCTGTGTAGGCGGCATTTACTCCACACGTCTCATCACAGCATTTATCATAGCACCGAGCGCCTTTCTTGTCGCATTTAGCACAGCAGTCGTCATACAATTTTTTCAACAGATCATAAAATGTTTCCGTGAGGTAAACGATCCACGAAAGGTATTGGCTGGCATTATGTTTAGAGTACATGTTCTGAATGTCAAGACTGAGGGCTTGCAAGTATGGACCACACGGTAGGCCGAACGTCGACTTAGGAACACAATCTGTAAGACTGAAGAGGTCTCCTTTGTCATGGTATTTTTCTATGATCGTGCGTTCGGCTGTTTTCAATGGATGCGATCATGAGATCTGTATAGACCTCACCGAAGTTGGCGTCGTTGACTGCCTTGTCAAATGCTGTCTTTCTGTGCTCGCCACTATTGTTCCAATTATTAAGTAAATGGTAGTAGAATGCAAACATATCACCTAGTGTTTGCGGAGCTCGGCGAAGCAAGCAGTTGAAGATAATACATAGCCGACGAAGGTAAGAATGTGGACCACAGAATTGTTCAATAAGTTTCTTCAGATCTTCACCTTCTGGGTGCGTGAAGCTACATTGCTAATATCGGCAAAGCCCATGGGAGTGAGACACGGCTTTCCAAAGTGGTTGGACACTGTACACGTAAGCTTACAACCAGGTGTTTTAAATGAATGAGGTAGAAAGCCTGGTAACCCATCTTCAAGGAACGATTGAGTGGAGATTTCACACCGCAGATAGGGTGTTGATCGCAGCGTTGGTCAGCGCTTTGGTTGGTCTTTTGGTTAGCTATTTGGGGACAGTTTTGGTTGGCACATTGCTTTGTGTTGCAGTTCCATGAGGAACCGCCGACATGTTGACCATACCAGCAGTCATTCCAACCACCGCTCTTAGTCCCGTTGTTACACTGTTTATATACAAAACGGAGTTGATTATAGACTCTAAATGATGTATCTACCAACATGTCAAAACATGTACCGACGCTAGTAGGATACAATAATTGATCTGAGTTTGTGTAAAACTCAACGGCGTACCGGCCGTCTGCGTGGCCACGCCCGAGGAAGGCAGTCAGCGTGTCTTCGGAATACAGACACACGTTGCGAAGTACAGTGGTCAATTGCTCAGAGCTGAGAGGTGAATGAATATACTTTTTTAAATCGTCCGGTACGGTGACATCTAAGTGTGGATGTTCTAACTTATACTGCGCCTTTAGACCAGCAAACAATTGGGCAATGTGCGCTTCCAGCTTCTGATACATCGGATTGAAATACAATCCGAGAAGCCATTGGAGCATCTGATATACATTGGACGGGGATCGGGGCTTTGGAGGGAGGAAGTGGTGAGAGGAACGGTAATATGCTCCAAGTGGTACCTTCAGGAAACGAATAATGTCGAGAAGGTTAATATGTTCTGTGTTATATACTGTTTTATGTGTAATGAGAGTGCCGCCTTGCTGCTTGCTATAAGACTTTTTCTCATCCTGTTCTTTCATCCACTCTTGCTTCCACATTTTGAGGACCTCAATGCCGGAAGCGCCAACAATATTCTTGTTGAGCAATGTTTTTATTTCCGTCCCCCTCATACTCTGTTTATCTTGCAATTCACCGTGCTGTTTTCCTGAATCGGAATTCACCTTGAAACCGCGCTTCCTGAACCAGCGGCCTAATTTCTGGTTATTGTATAAGTTAATTTGTATACTAGCACTCTCGGAACATCCACTGAGTAAATCATTGAAATCATAACGCATCATCTCCAGTATGGTCAGGCAGACCTTGGCGCAGTTGCGGCCCTCGGTGGAGAGGACTGTAATTTTTTGTGGTTGATCGTCCACCATTTTTGTTTCCTCTTTCACCCAGTCATCTGTACGTTTTTGACCGCTATAAGCGTTCACGTACGCGTGTGAGAGTTGCTCGGTGAATTGCGTCATGCCGGCCTTGAGGGCGTCGAGGAGCAGCGGATTGTGGAAGCCGTGGAAGTTGGAAGGGGAGAGGGCGGAGATGGAATCATTTAATTCGGTAAGGTATCTTGTGGAGACATCGTCAAATGTATGAATTCTTTTTACGGTATTATTTTTCACTTGTCTATCATTATGGTTTTTAAGGTATTCCAGTAAAGTGTCCAGTCTGGTCTTAATGCTCGACACCAACTGGGATTGCTCGGTTGGTGATGGACGCTCCCCTGGAATCATAACGTGGTGTTTTATATAGTCTAATAATTTATCAAGGTACGGTTGTAGTTTCTCGGACAATGTTTTAAACTTTTCGGAATGCTGTGATGGCTTAAGCTGCGCAGGTACAATTTGCTGTATGTTTTCTAACTTATAATCTGCATCACCTTTCATCCACTTTAGTAAGCCTTTTGTGCTGCTCCTTTTGTCTTCGTCGATTATTTTATCGATCTTAGCATTGTGCTCTGTAACTAATGCTATCAGGTTCTCAAGCTCCTTTATCTTGGACTCCGCGTACTGTTGGAGGGCCTCTTTTTTTAGGTTGGTAAGAGCATTTTTGGAGTCTCTTATGTACTCTCCGTGGAATTTTTGGAGGGCTTCTTTCACATTGGCGTGGACACTATCGATTTCTGCGTTGATGTCTTGGATCATGTAAGTCAAATTTCGCAAGGCCTGTTCAAGAGTTTTGATAGTCTCTTGAACTTGGGTATTAAGATCTTTAAAGTTCTGATTAATCTCATTGAGAAATCCCTCAACACTGTTCCTGGCTTGTTTAACAGCCTCCGGAATTTTTTCAAGCGTCTCGATATTGGATAGGATCTTGGTGATGGAGGTGACGGCGGCTTGCCTTTTTTTGTGATAAGCGGAAAATTTGCCATCTACGCCAAGGTTGAATTCCGAATTACCATCTATGTTTTCGCCTCTGTTGAAGAACCTTCCAAGGCTCTTTTTAATTTCGTCAATTTTGGTTTTGAGGGAATTGGCTTCCGCACCATTTTTGCCAGTCACCCACTTGTGATAATTTTCCATGAGATCTGGGACATTCTCGGGCTTTCTATGGGCGTTGTTGAATTTCTTACCAACCTTTCTGTTAATATCGCTGAAAAGGGCGCTGATAATAACTTCGGGATGCTGGTCGATTGAATTCACATCGTCTTGTCCTGTGACCTTCATCGCTGCCTGCTGAAGACTATACAAGGCTCCCTCTAAAGAACCACCAAAACCATTTGTATCCTTGGATTGTCTAAGCAGCTCCTGCAGAGCACTTCCTTTCAGAGCGTCCTCTAACGCTTTAACACCTTTATTATTTCCATGGCTATAATACTCAACACTTTTAATACCGGTTATTATAGCCTCCACCTGTTTTGTAACATACCCTTTTATCGCAGCTTCAATCCTACCTAACAGCCTGTGCAAATCCGCCTGCACCTTCTCATCCAACTGACCAAGGGCAACGCCAACATCACGCACAGCTTTCTCTATTGCATCACCCATCTGCCTGGCACCAGAGTTCAGTTCCCCGTCTAAGGCTTCAATGCCTTCCTTGACTGAGTTGACTACAACACGTAGTTTAGACTCTCTGCCTGAGGCAACAGACGTCCCATCGTGCTTGATATCCGCAAGCAACTGTTCTATCGCCTTAAATTTATCGTCGAAGTGAGATCGTTTGTTAATTATAAACGTCCCACTCACGTACTTCTTAGCCTTACTCTCTGCTGCCACCAGCGTCTGCTTCGCTGTCTGAATGGACGCCTCCAACGCTGTTTTATGTTTGTTTGCCACATTGTGCTTGAGAGTGTCAATATCAAAATAGAGTTTAGAAGTAACATCGCTGAACCCCCGCTCAACATTATCATTCAACGTCTGAAACTCGCTGTCCGCCTTTTGGCAGACAGTCTTCAGCCCCTCATGGTCCTCATCAGCATTCTGCCTAAAAGTGCCAACAGCATTATGCATCAATTTTACGTGAGGATGCAACTTATTAGAAAGCTGTTTGTCTACGCTATTAAGTGCGTTAAGTGACTCTTGAGTCTTCTCCGTCAGACCTGAAACAGATGAAAGCCAAGTAGTTAACTCACCTTTACGGTCTTCATCATACGTCTTGCCTTGCATCCCTTGAATGTCTTGAATCAACTGCGGAATTTTCTTGAAATTAACTTCATCGCCGCCTTCTAAAAGCTTATCTAAAGGTCCAGTAACTTTCTTGATTTTTTCGTCCACCTGCGCACCATGTTTCTTCAACCACTCACTTACCTTATCCACGGCGTCACCGAAGGCCTCACGGCCATTACCTACATTATCATGTAAAGTGTCAATAATGCTATTAATATCATCATCTTTATCATATTTCGTAACGTTATCATCCTCCTTCACTCCACTGAGAACCCCGTGCAAGAACGCCATCACCCCGTCGCAGAGCCTGTCAAGGTCGGAGTACACGATGCCGTCACCCGTGTAATTACCATTCTCGTAGCCGAGAAATTTTTCGAGGCCTGTGCAGAGGTTATCTAAAAGGTTTTTAGTGTTATCATGATTTTCATTAATTTTCCCAGCAATTTCACAAAGCTCGTTCAGTGTCTCAAGAGACTTCTTGGAAGCATTATGAGACTGAAGATCCTTATTAAGCTTGTCAATTTCAGAGGCAATTTGAGGAGGTTGATAGGCATCATTAATATTAAAAAGGAGGTAAAATGGCACATTTTCAGGGCGATTTGCGGGAATTTGGGGAAAGGCGATTTTAGGTCAAGGAGGCATGCGCAGCGAGGATGCGGGACGATGCGATGAGGTGAATGTACGAAAAGATACGATGATGAGGAAGACGGGCCGATAAATGCGATTCAGAAGGTGATGGTGGAAAACGAGGATCTGGGGTGAATGATCGACCGATGATGCGACGATGGACGACGGATGATGGTTTTAACTGCTTAGCCGATGATGCGCGAGCGGGCGGCCGAGCGCGGGCGGCCGATGGCCGATAGTCGATGAGCGGTCGATGATACGTGAGCGGGCGGGCATGAGATGGTCGATGAGCATGCGATGAGCGGTCGATGGCCGATGAGCGGGCGCGATGGGCGAGGCGATGAGCGGGCGGCGGTCGATACCGAGCGGGCGGTCGACCGATTATCGAGCAGGCGGTCGATGAGCATGCGCGATGATGTCGATGAGCGGTCGATGGCCGATGGGCATGAAAGGAGCGATGGGCGGTCGAAAGGAGGGCGGGGCGATGAGCAAGGAGCGGGCGAGGGCGATGGGCGGTCGATACCGGTTGACGCGGAGCGCGATGCGACCGGTGCGGGCGGGCGGTCGATGGGCGGTCAGATGATCAGGCGGTCGATGGTCAGCGAAACGAGCGGTCAGCGATGGGGCGATCAGGCGGATGGGCAATGATGAGCATACGCAGCGGTCGATGAGCGGTCGATGGGTGCGAGTGGGCGAGCGGGGCGGAGCGGCAAGGAGGGCGATGATGGTGAGCGGGCGGTTTGATGGCTGATGGGCGGCGATTACCAGATCCTCAACGCGAAGAACGATTATGGTGAGAAGCACCTGACGCTGAGCGTCCCGACTGGCGCGGGCGGCGATGAGGACTGCGCCACGACGCGGCTTGAGGGCGATCCCAGGAGCCGCATCCTCGGACGTCGAGGCGGACGACGGCGATGTGGCAGGTACAGAGAGCGAGAGCTGACCAGAGGGCGAGGAGTAAGGTCATGAAGGGCAGGCGGATGCAGATGAAATTGTCGATGACAGTGAATAGTGTGGTGAAATGATCGGAGTTCACAACTTTATCAAGTTGACTGCAAAAATGATAACACGATTTTTTCTTATCTATCATTAACGTATTAGCGTGCCCAAATGTTAATCCGTATCGATAAAATATTGAAACAACGCTGCCACACTGAACAACTGAATTACATTTACAAGCGTGTTTTTCGCCATGCTTACCAGGGCACATTTACACGAAGCGCAACCATAGCTTTTACAGCTGATTTGTTGGAATGCTAACAACAATTCCTTAAGCAGCTCCCACAATTGCCAAGCAGTGTAAACGATCCATGATAAATAAAGTGCAGCATGCTTTTTTAGGATATGTATTATAAACATGGAAATATAGAGGTTGGAGATAAGGGGCGCAAGTCGGTGAGTTGTTGCACTGAGATCGGGCAGTAAGACTAGCTAAGTCCGAGTGGGTGATCGTGGTTGTGTCAGCGCCATTTGCGGAAGCGCTCTTGTGATCATTGTCGGAATGATATAATTTTGTAAGGGCATTAGTAACATCGGCGTTAGTAAAGTCACCATGAAACCACTCTGATAGAGGGAAGGCTGCGGTTATGATCTCGTCTCTCAGATGTTTTGGAAACCTGAGTTATCAGTGTACCGACCCTTTTGTTTCAATATGTCAGTTGGATGCCATCTTCTGAACAACTGGCAGAACAACGTGAACATGTCGCCGAGATTCTTTGGTGGCGATGGATACAAACAGCAAATTCCACGTAATAGGGCGGTGAGTGGGCTGGCAGCGTTTTTGCATAAACTTTCAAGTACGTTGCATATATCTTCACCGGTTCCCGTTTTGACCCCGCATTCGGCAGGTCCCAAAAGCCCATGGGCGTAATACACTGCTGGCCAGGTGAACCTTTTGGACAAGTAGAGCACTTGGGCTGGCAACCGACGGATGTTAATTTATGAGGTATACAGCCAGGTAACTGGTCCATTAGGTGAGACTGAAGCGGTGATTTAAGCCCGCACTTGGGATGTTGGTTGCACTTTTGGTTAGGTGTTTGGTTAGTGTTTTGGTTAGTGTTTTGGTTAGGGCTTAGGTTGGACTGTTGGTTGGAACATTGCATAGTGTTACAATGCCAACTGGACCCACCGATGTGTCTGCCATATTGGCAATCGCGCCAGCCGTTGCCGTCCGCTATATTATATTTACACCGTGCGCGTAAGAAGTACAGTGTACATATTAAACGCCTACATATGTCAACAACCATATCAAATAAGCTGCGAACATCTGACGGATAAAGGAAACCACGGAATTGTTAGAGATATCTACGGCATATGGGTAATCTGCCTGGTCGAAACCATGGCCGTGACCTTGTATTGTGACAAGGACACGGTATGACATGTCACAAGTTTGATCTAAGCTATCACGTAAATTAGTTTTCAAAATATCATTAATCACGGCATCCGGTTTCTGGGATTTTTTGGCAGCGTCCTTTTCTTCCTTTTTAAGAAGGTCTGCGCAATGCATTTCAACCATGCTGTATACGGAGGTATACGGGAGACCGCCGAGCCACGACAGCATGTCACGCACATTGCAAGGGTATTTAGGTGATGCAGGAAGAGTTAAGTGGCAAGTCGTGTAATAATCTCTAAGGTGGTTGTATATACATGTAAGTATATCTAATACACTGAAGTTACTCGACTGTCCATTCGGGTTACACTTTTGAAGATGCGTATTTTGTTTTGCCTGGTCGATTGATTTTTCAAGCAACTTGCCAATTTTGTCACCGCTCATATCAAGATCACATCTTATCTCTCCATCTTGCTCCGTGGAAGACTGGGAAACGCGGTAGCCGCAATTGGTAAGGAAACCGCCAATTGTATCTTTTTTATTGCCGTAGCATTTTCTTGAATCCCAACCTATGTTGTGACAGTTTTCCTTCAAATGCTTCAAATCGCTACGGCACGTATTGAAGATGGTAACAAGGATTTTGGCACACTTATCTTTGTTATTGTTGTTTATCTGCTCTCCCGAGTACGCCGACACGTACGCCCTGTCGAGCTGATCACGCAATTTATTTAGCCCCTGTTTGAGCACGTCAAGGAGCAAAGCGTTCTCCGGGCCGGCGAACTGAGACGGCGTGAATTTGCTGAGTTCAGTGGAAAAGGATGCTAAGTGCGTTACGAAAACATTATCAAAGTGTTTTGATCTGCCAAGATTTTCAAGTAAAGTGACAAGTTTACTTTGCACTTCACCCAGCATTTTGGTTGGCTCTTTGGTTGTGGAGTTAGGTGGCGACGAACTTGGAGGCTTGACTTGTCCCTTGATATATGTGAAGATGAGTGTCAAATAGTCTTTCAGTTTCTCGGAGAGCTGTTTGAAATCTTCTGGCTTTTTAGGATCCTGATGCTTTGTTAGATCATTTAACGTCTCTCCCTTACGATCATACATCTCCTTCAACAGGCCTTTCAGGCCTTTGACTTTGTCAGCTTCAATCAACTTCCTTATTTCTTCACTTTGCTCGCTGACCAATTTCTTGAGCTGCTCCAAGTCAGCCTTGTGCCCTTGGTTGAACATTTGTTTCGCGGCGGTGTGGACGGCTGTGAAGGCTGCTTTTACGGCTTTGGTGAGTTCCTCTTTGTCTGTGCTTATTTGTTTTTCTAAGGTTTCTTTGGCTTGTTGAACAGTCTCTTTTGCGGTTGAGATGGCTTCTTGGAGGGACGCATTGAAGGCTTTTATTTCTGAATTAATTTTCTTAGTGTCCTCTAGAACACGAGCAATTTGTTCTTTCACCAGATCAATGTGCTGGTTGACATGCCCATTGGCTTTATTGTTAACATCTTCTACAGATGATATGAGCTGATTGATCTGTTGCTGCAGCTTATTAATTTGGGTCTGAATATTTTCCTGGCCCTCTTGACCTTTCTGCAGCTTATTAATTTGCGGTCTAATGTCAGCGTCAATACGACTCATCTCTGTTTGTATAGCACTAGTCATGTTATCATTTAACTTTCTGATACCCTCTTTGGCCGCCTCCTTGAGTAGCGGTTTGATTTTGTTGTCGTTGACGTCGGAGATGGCCTGTTTACCGAGGGCCGTGTTTATTTGGTTACCAAGCTGTCCAATCTCGCCTGTATGAGAAACTTTAACCGCCTCCGCAAGATACTCTCCAAGCTTCGTAACCCGATTTATAGCAGTCTTCACATTTTCGCCAAGTTTTGGTTCCAGCACAAATGATTGAAGTTCGCTGGCTACTTTTCTGGTCATCCCAACGAGTTGCTCAAGAATGAGATGAACGGCCCATATGAGGTTGTGTTTCGCGCTGTCACCCTTGTTATGGAGACCCGTCAACGTAGAATCTTTTGCAATCCCTTCCTTTACTATTCCTCCGGCAAACGAAGCTAGTGTGCCCTCCCTAATCTTACTGTCAAGCGCATCGGCAAACTGCTTGCACCCAGCCTGAACAGCTTTAACGTATTCTTCAATCTTGTCGGGGGTCTTGCTGTCATTGACCTTTTCTTGGATGTGTTGTTGGACCTTTTCACCGGCCGGACGAGTAATTTCCCCAAGTTTTTCCTGAATTTTGGTTGCGATTTGGTCCTTACCCTGCACTGTGATATTGTCATAATATTTGTCAATCTTTTCCTTCACAATATTATTATGCTTCAAAATTTCTTTAATGCATTTTTCTACCATAGTGGCAAACATTGCTGGCCCGCTGAACTGTGTGGCATACCCTTTCACTCCTTCTACAATATGATCTAGAAAACCAAGTTGTATATTTTTTGCATTATCCCGTCCAGCAATTTTATCTGTCTCCTCTTCAATAGCTGTCTTAATCTTCTTAGGCAACGTCCCCGGACATACTCCTCTATTTTATTCTTGATTTCTTCCTTAAGCGCTTCTATCCTTTTCCTCAACTCAGTTTCAATACCACTCAACGCTGGGCCCACCTTTTCCTGAACCTCTAAATAGGTGTTCTTAAGATTGTTCAATTTAATCTCAAGCATGTCCAATTGCTGACTAACCATAGCAAAAATGCTACTGAGTCCACCGGCAATTTCGGTAGTACCAAGTCCGTTAACTTTGCCTTCGATCCCCTCCAACTTATCGAGAATCTTACTGCGATACTCCGTGTGCAATCTGTTGCCATATGTTTGTGCCAGTGTCACATCTGTAACCAACTGGTTCACATTCTTCATCAACGCCGCTAGGTCATCGGTTTGCTTCTGCTCAATCTTCTCAATACCACCACTTATGGCCTCAAATCTGGCCCCCAAATTTTGCTGAAGCAGTCGCGCTTTCTCATCAATCTGCTGTCTGACATGCTGTTCGTTACTGGTAATAGCACTGTCTACAGCCGTCACCTTGCCGCCCTCTTCCATCTTCCCAGCCACACTACTCATGTGCTCGATAACCTTAGTTATCGGCTTCATCTCTACGTCTATTCTACCTTTAAGTGCGCTATCTAACTTATTAATTTCTGTTTTTACATCACTACTAAGTGCGCTAGAAATTTTACTAAGTGTCTGCTTCCACGCCGCCAGTTGGTCGGCAAGTGGGTTGGTGGCTTCCCTCTCCACGGCTTGATAAAAATCATTATTCACACCTGCAACAACATGAGACCCATCATGTAACTTACCTATAAGTGCAGATAATCCATCGGTCACTCCTCTTGTCTTGCTATCAACTTGTCCATTATATTTCCCCAACCACACCTTCACCTTGGTGACAGACTCCGAAAGGCCATTACGCCCGGTACCAATTTTAGAAAATACATCACGAAGAACATTATCTAAACCATCATTATTATTTGATAATTTAATGTAATTATCATATATCTTAACACTCTCATCATCTTTTACACTCTCAAGAACACCATGAAGGAAAGACATCACCCCGTCGCACAGCCTGTCAAGGTCCGAGTACACGATGCCGGAGCCGGTGTAATTACCATCATGGTAGCCGAGAAATTTTTCGAGGCCTGTGCAAAGGTTATTTAATAATGTTGTTGAAGGAATATTTTAGGCACATTTTCAGGGCGATTTGGGGGAATTTGGGGAAAGGCGATTTTAGGTCAAGGAGGCAGCGAGGGAGTGAGGGTGGACAGGGTGAGGGAGGTGAAGGGGGAAGATGGGTTGGGTGAAGGCGGTTTGGGGGGTCGAGGGAGAAAGTGGAAAATGAGGATTTGGGTGAAGGACGCCGACGGAGGAGGTGATGGAGGGGGGTGAAAGGCAGGGAGCGAAGCGACCAGTGAAGGAGGAGGTGAGTGGGTGGTTGAGTGGTTGAGTGGGTGAGTGGGTGGGTGGTTGAGTGGTTGAGTGAGTGAGTGAGTGGGTGAGTGGTTGAGTGGGTGAGTGGTTGAGTGGGTGGTTGAGTGATTAGGTGAGTGGTTGAGTGGGTGGTTGAGTGGTTGAGTGGGTGGGTGGGTGAGTGGGTGGTTGAGTGGTTGAGTGGTTGAGTGGGTGGTTGAGTGGGTGATTAGGTGGGTGGTTGAGTGGGTGATTAGGTGAGTGATACACAGATCACAGGTGAAGGCACGATTACGGTGAGAAGTACTTGACGTTGGCGAGTGCCCTGACTCTTGCCGCTGCGAGGAGCGACTGGGCGGCGATGCGGTGCGATGAGGGTGATCTCAGGTGGGAGCGTATCCTCAGGACGTCGAGGCGGACGACGGCGATGTGCAGCAGGTAGAGGAGCGAGAGCGACCAGAGGGTGAGGAGGGTGTAAGAGAAATTCTCCCGTATCGCCCAGATGTATTTGTCTATTTCGTGAAGAAGATCAACAAGTACGCATCCTTTACCTATTACTCTCTGCAATGCCGTGCAAAAATCTTTGCATGACCGTTTTGCATTATACTTTTTATTTGAACCGCTGAGGTCAAACGGACTCCAGAAAGTAAAACCATATTTATACAATGTCGGATGACTGTTTTGACATTTTACAATGGAATGACATCCATCTTGGTGCTTGGCCTTCGTGAGTTGATCATAGGGGTTTTCAGATTTGTATGCGATTTTAACTGCGCATTTTTCGGCACAGCTTCGGTCGTGGCATCTCGTGCCAGGGGAATCACAGTTTCTGCAACACTCATCGTATAATGTTTTAAGTAGGTGTAAGAACGTTTCTGTCGTATGTACTATCCACGAAAGATAGCGGCTGGCATTGTGTTTTGAATAGATATCGAGAATATCGAGACAGAGGGGCTGCATAAATTGACCACATGTCGCCGCTGAGTAATTGCTGCAACTAAAGAGGCTAAACAAATCACCTTTTTCATGGGTCTTAGCCCTATCATTATGACTCCTGCTAACAAACAATATGCTTGGATCAATATTATAATCAACGCCGAAACACGCTCTGTTGACCGCGTCATCAAACGCGCGCTTCTTATGCTCATCATCCTTACTCCAATTCTCCAGGAATTTATGGTAAAAGGCAAATATATAACCAAGCGTCTGCGGTGGTCGGCGGAGGAGACACTGCAAGTAACTACATAGCTTATTGAGATCAGAGTCCGGACCACAGAGATAGAAAAGGGCGCCCTTGAGATCAGCCCCGGTTTTCGTATGCGAAGCTGTTGTGGAAATATCTGAGAAGCCCATAGGGGTGAGACATGGTTTACCGAAATGCTTACCAAGGGAACATTCCACTACACATCCAACCTTAGTCAGCTGGTGAGGAAGGAATCCTTGTAGCCCGTCCTCTAAAAATGATTGAAGTGGTGATTTGACACCGCATTTTACGTGTTGGTCAGCCTTTTGGTCATGCGTTTGGTTACATGTTTGGTCAGGACATTGCTTCTTATTGCAGGTCCATGCCGAGCCACCTACATATCTACCGTAATGGCAGTCTTCCCACCCACCGCTCTCTGTGCCGTTGTTACACTGCTTATATAGGAAAAGGATTTGATGATGCACTCTAAACAATATATCAACAAGCGTATCAAAACATGCACTAGTACGGCTAGGATATAATAAATTAGCTTGGTTAGTGAAAAAGTCAACGGCGTATACACCGTCGGCGTGGCCACGTCCGAGGATGGAGATCAGGATGTCTTCGGAGTATAAACACGCCAATCGGAGTGTATCGTTAAGATGGGTGGCGTCGAGATGTTTTCTAACTGGGTCTTTTGGTTTGCGTGGAATGGCGGCTGGCAATTCTGGTTTTTCCAATTTATACTCCTTTTGTAGACCTGTAAACAATGTCTCAATGTACTTCTTCAGTTCTTCATAAATCGGATTAAAGTATAACCCGAGGAGCCATTGGAGCATATCGTATATGCTGCTTGGCGCTCTGGGTTTTGGAGGAATGTAGTGGTGAGAGACACGGTAATACGTGCCAAGATAGGTGTGAAGCGTCCTAAGTGGACCGTCGTCTTGTTTACTATTATCCTTCTTGTAGACGTGTTTGCCATTACTGTTGACAAGAAGAGTGATAATTTCGCTGCCCTTCTTATCCCTCTTCAACTCCCCGTCTTGTGTGTGCTTATCAGCGGACACTTTGAAGCCTCGGCGTTGGAACCAGTGGCCAAGGTAGTTATCAGTCTTCTGATTTTTATTGTTGTCGTACAAACAAATAACTTTATTTGCACAGTCCCCTCCGTTTTTACACTTATCATGAAGTTTTCTTAAGTCATTGTTCAGCCCCTCCAGTATGGTCAGGCAGACCTTGGCGCAGTTGCGGCCCTCGGTGGTTAACTGGGTTTCAGTGGTTTTCTTATCAGCACTTTGTTTTCTTTCCACCCAGTCATCCGCACGTTTTTGACCGCTATACTTATTCACGTACGCGTGTCCGAGTTGCTCGGTGAATTTGGTCATGCCGGACTTTAGGGCGTCGAGGAGCAGAGGATTGTGGAAGCCGGCGAACGTGGAGGGGGAGAGGGAGGAGATGGAAGTGGAGAGGGTTTCTAAATATGATGTAAAACGGTGATCAAAATTGTATTTTTTGTTGCCATTATCTTTTAAGTGGAAAAGCAAATCGTGAAGTTGAATTTTGATTTGCATCACTGCTATGGATTGAGTGTTCATTTTATCTCGCGGCTGCTCAGCCGGCGTTTGCACTTCAGTATGAACATGACGTAAAATCGCATCGAGATAATTTTGCAAATTAGTTGACAACGTTGTAAAGCTTTTCAGGCTTTCTCCATTTGCCAACTTCTTGAGCATATTGGTATTGTCACCTGCATCTTTGTGGTCATGATCCATCACCTTGCGCAGCAGTCCCTTGACGCCGGAGTTGAGATCTTGGCGGATGGTCTGTTCGATGAGGGAGATGTTGGAGGAGACTTGCTGTTTCATTTTTTCGAAGAGGGGGGAGATTTTGGAGTGGTAGGAGTCTTTGGCGTTTTGTTGGATGGCGCGGGTGGCTTGTTGGACTTGGGTGGTGACGAAGACTGTTATGTTGCCGATAGCATCTTTGGCTTGTTCATTAATCAAAGCCACCAATTCATCGGTCTCTTGTATCAATGTTTTTAGGTCTTTTATTTTTAAAGTATGTATTTGATTAGTTATTGATTCCAGATTTTTGCTTATATTAATATCTTTAAGCGTGAGTGAAATCGACTTGAGGTTTCCGCCCGCATGAGTAAAAGCTGTGGTGAGTGCTTCCAGGTTAGCGGTGATCTGCTTGAGGAAACCGCCTGATATAACATCACCTTCTTTTGTCGTCGCGCCTAGTTTGTTTCCGAATCTATCAAAGGCATTGTATCCAACCTGCTTGATCTTGTCTGGAAGGGCGCCTTCAAGGTTGTCGGGTTCACTGGCAGTGAGAGTAGCTTGTGTGACATGCTTTCCATATTCGCTAAATGCCTTTGCAGCAAAACCGGATAACTCATCACTTGTTCCATCCTCTCCGATCTCAGCATTAAGCATTTTACCAACCTCTTTATCAACTTGGTCCCGTTGAAAGGCGGTGCTGAGGTGACTGATGGGTTGTTTTACAGTGTCCAATGCTTCGGTGATCTTATATCCAAAATCGGGCCATTTATTTGTCTTGTCTTCCTTATTGTCAAATTGCTCCTTGATTAAATTGGTTCTTCTTATGGCAGTCGCTATGTTATCTTTTATTTTGGAATTCTTGACTAATGCCTCGATTTCTTTGGCCGTTTGCCTGGCCAAGAGTGGTAGCTGTAAGAGAGTTAGTTGGATAGCGGATTGGAGATAGTTTTCTTCGTTGCTGGCAGCAGATTTGAAAACGTCTCTCTGCAGCCCGTCTTTAATGCGCTGAAACAATCCACTAGACCCCTGTGACTCAGCGTCCTCAACTACTTTTGCAACAGCGTCAAGAAATTCCTTAATGGCATCCAAATTGTCTTGAACCGTCTTCCCATCGCCCTTTGGCTTTTTACCATGCATGGTCGTAAATAGCTGTTTCATATGATGTGTGATCACATTCTTAACAGCCTCAAACCTTTGTTCAGCACCATTACTATGCAGACTATGATTTAAGCTATTTTCATTTTTCTGAACATAAAGATCAATATACCCTTTGATCTGCTCGTTCTTTTTTAGAATAATTTCAACCCAGTTACCCACTCTATCCTGAATCCTCTCCCCAATTGTCTTAGCATAGGTTTGTACGTCCTTCACAATCTTATCAAGTGAACCATGACCATTGCTGTCACCCGTGAGAAGCTCACCAAGATTTGTAATCGTACTTTTAAGTAATCTCCAATTATCATGTATTACACCTTTAGTACCCGTCTCGTCAACAACATGTCTTTTAATTTCGCGGAATGTTGGCGCAATCGTATCGTCAACATGCCTCCAAATGGCTTTCTTAATCTCCTCTCTAACCGTATGCAAATCCTTTTTAAGATCAGTGTCCATATCTTTTACAGCCTGTAAGGCCTCGTTTACCAATTTCTTAGCGTGATCGTTTGCCGTAATAAATCCTTTATTAATTTCATTCACCATCTCCTTAATGTGTTCCTTCCAACTATCCTTGCCGCCTTTGGCCAACTCATGTATTTTATCGGCCTCCACATTAGCATTCTCCAGAATTTTCTTAGCCTTGTACATCCACTTCTCCAGCTGGGTGACGTATCCCTCTAATTTCCCACTAATTACATACATTTGCCTCTTGAGTTCACGAATGGCTATATGAATATTGTCTCTCATTTGATCCACAAAGACCTTCGTATTTTTGTTAACTTCACGTTGCAAATATTCCAACTCCTCCTTCGCCGCTTCCACAACCCCCTTCAACTCCTCGTTCCCCGCCGCAGCCGCAAACTCCCGCACCTGCACTTTTATGTTATTCACGGGGTCTTTCAACTTATCTCTAAGTTTAGGGTCTAGGTTTTTGTAATAACCTTCAGCGAACTGGAAGGCATTTCCTATCGCATCTGCGTTGGTTATGCATACCTCTAATTTTTTGCTAACCTGGTCAAGTTGCTCAGGCAACAGACCATTAAGTACGCTAAGTGATTCACTAAAATCATTAAATCTGTCATTCTCAAGTGTGCTAAGTGCATCTTGAAATGTTTTCTTCCGCTTCTCCAGCTCACCGCTCCACGCCTGCAGCGCATCGGAGACTTGTGCGATGGCTGTCTGAAAACCATGAGAACCATTATGCATAAACTCACCGATTATAGAAGTAAGTGAAGAAATCATTTTATCCGGCGTAATGTCATATTTCGTAACACTCTCATCCTCCTTCACAGTCTCAAGAACACCATGAAGGAAAGACATCACCCCGTCGCACAGCCTGTCAAGGTCCGAGTACACAATTCCCTCTCCGGTGTAATTACCATCCTGGTAGCCGAGAAATTTTTCGAGGCCGGAACAAAGGTTATTTAATAATGTTGTTGAAGGATTATTTTAGGCACATTTTAAGGGCGATTTGGGGGAATTTGGGGAAAGGTCAAATTAGGTCAAGGAGGCAGCGAGGCAGAGGGGGAGGTGGGTGGACAAGGCGAGGGAGGTGAAGGGGCGAAAGAGGGCGATGGAGGAGAGAGATGGGTTGAGGTAAGGCGATTATAGGGGTGGAGGGAGAAAGGCAGAAAATGAGGATTTGGGTGAAGGACGCCGACGGTGGAGGTGATGAAGGGGGAGGAGGGAGCGAAGCGACCAGTGAAGGAGGAGGTGGTTGAGTGGGTGATTAGGTGGGTGGTTGAGTGGGTGAGTGGGTGGTTGAGTGGGTGAGGTGGTGGTTGAGTGAGTGGTTGAGTAGGTGAGTGGGTGGGTGAGTGAGTGTGTGGTTGAGTGAGTGTGTGGTTGAGTATGTGGTTGAGTGGTTGAGTGGTTGAGTGGTTGAGTGGTTGAGTGGTTGAGTGGTTGAGTGGGTGGGTGGTTGAGTGGTTGAGTGGTTGAGTGGGTGAGTGGTTGAGTGGGTGGGTGGGTGAGTGGGTGAGTGGTTGAGTGGGTGGTTGAGTGGGTGAGTGAGTGGTTGAGTGGGTGAGTATGTGGTTGAGTGGGTGAGTATGTGGTTGAGTGGGTGGGTGAGTGGTTGAGTGAGTGGTTAGGTGGGTGGGTGGGTGGTTGAGTGGTTGAGTGGTTGAGTGGTTGAGTGAGTGGGTGGGTGGTTCAGTGAGTGGGAGAGTGGGTGTGTGAATGAGTAAGTGGGTGAGTGGTTAAGTGAGTGGGTGGTTGAGTGGGTGAGTATGTGGTTGAGTGGGTGGGTGGGTGAGTGAGTGGGTGATTAGGTGAGTGAGTGGTTGAGTGAGTGAGTGGGTGAGTGGTTGAGTGGGTGAGTGGGTGGGTGGTTGAGTGAGTGGGTGATTAGGTGAGTGGTTGGGTGGTTGTGTGAGTGGGTGGTTGGGTGGTTGAGTGGTTGAGTGAGTGGGTGAGTGGTTGAGTGGTTGGGTGAGTGGTTGAGTGGTTGGGTGGTTGGGTGAGTGGGTGAGTAGGTGAGTATGTGGTTGGGTGAGTGGGTGATACACAGATCACACGTGAAGGCACGATTACGGTGAGAAGTACTTGACGTTGGCAATTTCCCCAACCTTTGCAACGGCGAGGAGCGACTGGGCGGCGATCCTGTGGCTGGAAGGTGATCTCAGGTGGGAGCGGATGCGGAGGACGTCGAGGCGGACGACGAGGATGTGCAGCAGGTACAGGAGCGACAGCGACCAGAGGGATAACAGTGTCCAGATGAATGGCGCTCTTATGATGAAGATGAATTTGTCGCACGCATCAAATAGCTTCGTGAAATATTCCGATTTGAGGACATTGGTCAACAGCTTATTGAAGTCACTACATGTAGTTGCTTTCCCTCCTCTACGCGTCAGCCAGGCGTCGTCGAAAGTGAATCCATATTTGTACAGTGTCGGCGACACGCCTCTGCAGTTGACCATGGAGGTGCAATGGCACGGTTGTTCCGCATTACCGTGGCGTCCTCGTTGACACTTGCCATTCAGGCAATTTCGGCATCCCCAGTCTTCGCAGAATATATGCGTGAAGGCCTCGAGTAGGCGCTCAAGGTATGAATAAAACTCCCATGGGAGGTACAGAGCCCATGATAGGTATGCGTCACAATTCTTCTGGGCTAAATAGCGATATGCATCGCGACATACACTGGAGATGCCGGGAGCACAGTCAATAGCATTCTCTGCGCTTTGACATATGCCAGTGTTTGTGAGATTCATGACGTGGGCGTGCTTACATTTACCGTGTTTGACAGCGTCTGAACCATACGCATCGGTGAGTACACCGGTGAGTTCTCTGGGATCCTCACATAAATCAATGGAGCGCGCTCTGATGGACGTTTCAACATCCTTGATGATGGGATATTTGCTTACGTCATTCAAGGCAGTAACAAATGAATACGCAAAACTAATATGCTCTGGCAGCGTTACCGGTGCCTTCGGAGAGAGGCACAGCAGAGATGCGAGATGCGGGTTACTCAGAAACCCATATAGCAAATCATGTAAATCAAAACCTGTCCTGGTAGAACCAGAAAAGGCTCGGAAACCAAGGGGAGTGAGACATGGCATGTGACGTGAACTTGATGAGCACGTCGTACATTTGGCCGTGCAACCAACCGACTGTAACTGATGTGGCATGTGACCAACAAGGGTGTCGGTTAGGTAGGACTGAAGTGGAGATGTTGGTTCACAATTTGGTTGGAACTTTGGTTGGTCATTTGACTGGCAGTTTGGTTGGCCAGTTGGTCGGCCAGTTGGTTTGTCGTTTAGATGCTCTTCGCCGGCCCATTTGGATGGCTTGACATCCCGCCCGTAAAGGCAGGCCGCCCATCCGTTGTGCTCAGGTCTTAGACCACACTGGCCTAACATGAACCTGAAAGGAGGCAATATTCTGCGGAGGATGTCAATGAACATGCCAAGGCACTGTGACGGATCTGCGGGATAGTGTAGATTTAGCGTGTTGTTGGAGTAGTCGCAGGCGTACCTGCAGTTAGCATCGCCGGGGCCAACTATAGTAGTGAGCATGTCACGTGAATAGGATATAACATGGGCAATGGCATTCTCAACATCTCTAAGCGTGACGGCGTATGGATAGGCGTTAATGGGCGCAATCTGTTTTCGTGACGAGCCGCCAGCGTTTTTAGGTGCGTAGAACAACGATTTAACGTGTGACATTAATGAAGCGTAAACTCTGTTATGCGGGAGACCAGTGGACCATGCAAGCATTTCATACACGGAACACGGATGTCTCCTTGAGGTGAATGTGGAATGATGACCGACTTTGTAAAATTCATTAAGGTGCTTCTTAAGACAGTCAAGGACAGCAGTGACATTAAATATCTTTTTCGGGTTTTGACACGTTGTGAGGTGTGTAGTAGCGTCGGCCGTGGCAACTGCCTCATTAAGTTTCTCGTAGATCTTCTGACCGACGAACGTCGTGGAAGGGAATTTTAATTCGCCGTTTTTGGAAGTCTCTTTTTCTGCGACATCATAACCACAGTTGCGTAGGAAAGCACCAAGTGGATTTTCTATGTTATTGCTGTCAAATTCGCATATTGTCTTAGTCTTCCAGCCACCATCTGATTTACAATTCTCGTAAAGCTCAGTCAACGCGGTAGTTAAGGTGGGCAAACAGGTGAAACATATTTTCGCGTACTTGTTTTCGTGTTCAGTATACCATGGTTCACCGTCGTACGCCGACACGTACGCCTTTTTGAGCTCATCGTGCAATCCCTGTACGCCTGTTTTCAGGATGTCGAGCAGGGGATTGCTGGGGGCGGAGTACGAATCGGGATGCATTTCGGTGAGTAGAGTGTTAAGTGCTGTTAAGTCATTAACAAATTTTCTGTTGTATTTAGTGAGATCAGTGAACAAAGGGGCTAGTTTGTTTTGCAGATCGGCAATCTTTGTCTCTGGCATGACGTCACGATTAGTTTCCAGAGCATCAAGCAGAGTAACGAAGAAGGCATGAACTTTGGGGGATAAAGTGTCCAGTTTAGCCTCCCGAGGCAGCATCTCACTTAATTTACTGGATGTCAATTTCGTCGACAACACCTTCATGAACCCCTTGTAGTTCTTGTCGGAGTCTTTCGTGATTGCGGTAGGAAGGTCATGGAGCTCGTCGGTGATGCGCTTGCTGAATGCCGCCAATAAGGCTTTTACTTTCGTGACGTACTGCTTGCGCACTGCTTTGACGATGACGCTGCGCGACTCCGTGACTCTCTCGTTCACGTATTTTGTGAGGATGTCTACGTAGTGCTTTTCGGCTTTGTTAGCATAGCCCTCAAAGGCTTCAGCGTCCTTAATGACGGCTTGCAGGTCCTTAATTAGCAGGATGTTGATGTCATGCTTGATCTTCTTGACGCTCTCTTGAGCCTCCTTTGTGTAATCCTTACCTTCCCTGAAATACTTCTCTTTCAGTTCCTTCAAACTAAATTTAGCGAATGTGCATTCGTTCGCAATCGCATTGCAGAGAGCGTTGAGATCGCTTTCAACTTGGCCGAAGGCTGACTGGATCTCCGGTTCAATTGTGTCGATCTTTACCAAAGCGCTGGTTACTTTTTCTTCAATTTTCTTGATCGCCTTGGGGAGTTCGCCTGGATTTTTATTGCCATCTGGCATAATACCGTTCATAAGGGCGGTTAGGTGTTCTTGGGAGACGTGATCCTTATAAGTCTTTAAAATGTCTGCTCTCCTCGTTATGTCAACGTTTATGCCACCATCCGGCAACTCCTTTTCCAGTTCATTCGTTAGGTCAGCGGAAATGGCGCCGGCGAGATCGGGATTATCATTCCACTTAACGGATATCTGTTTAAGATCATACAAGACGTTCTCTATATATTGGCCAAGTTCGTGATTAGTTGATGTCGCCTTGCCGATGACCGTTTCCAGCTTCACTCCGAAGCTACCTAAATTCGTCTTAAGATCTCCCGTCTGCAAAGCCTGTTTTATGTCGGTAACACCTTTCTCGGCCTTCTGAACCCACATGTTTTGCGGATCCGTCATTCCTGCCTCTAAGACCTTTTTCAGATTGCCAACATATTCTCTAATACCGCTCTGAATCTGGCCTTTCACTGTATTCAAATCCATCCTAAGTGTACTGTTCATGCTGTTCACCGCCTTCAACGCCGTCTTCAGTTCATCTTGAGCCTTCTGCCTCGCGTCCTTTCCGGCCGCTAAAAGCTCCTCGGCCTTACCCCGCAGCTGCAAAACGGCCGCTTCAAGAGCACCCCTATTCGGATACATTGGATTATTTTTTACCTCATCCAATATTTTGTCAATATGTGCCGATGCACCCGTCACCAACTTCTCTGCTTTGCTAATCCACTCTGCCAATGTATCAAAGTACTGCCGCAGGCTCTTTTCAATAGCCTTAAGTTGTTGCAAAATGCTCTTAACTTTTTCTTTCAGAAGTTTAACAAGTATCTCAACATCATTCTTAATCCTTCTGTTCACGCCCTCTGCAAGCTTCTCAAACTTATTCTCAATGAGCGTAACCATCTCATCCAATTTTTCTTTTTCCTTGCCCCTGTACTTCACGTTGCCCCCTTCCTTCTTCTGGTAATAGTCCTTGAGCGTCTCAGTATCACGCTGAAGACTCTCACGCAGCCTATGTACTCTATCAGTTAGACTAGGACTAAGATCATTAATTGCGTTCTTTACGTCAGGATGTTTGACTACATTTAGTGCATCATTAAACTTCAGCGCGTCTTTCACGCACTGTGTCACCAGCTCCACGGACCTCTCAACCTCTTGCTCAGTCCCAATACTCACCTGCATATCGTTAACCTCATTAGACCACATACCTCCTTTTTTCGCAAAGTCATAGAGTCTTTTAGTAGGCTTGCTAACACTCTCATTCGATCTCCTCACACCCTCATTATACCCCTTCACCCCCTCCACCACTTTACCAATCGCCTTATTAAAACCATCTTTACCACGATGTTTATTGGCGTTAAGAAAGCTTATAGCTTCATCAATAGTATTTCTATGTAAGCCTAAATGAGGCTGAATGTTACTTAAAACACCATGAAGGAAAGCCATCACCCCGTCGCAGAGCCTGTCAAGGTCCGAGTACACGATGCCGGAGCCCGAGTAGCCTTTGGAAGTTTCTTGGTAACCAAGGAACTTCTCCAAGCCAGAGCACAGGTTATTAAGTAGATTATGGGAATTATTAGGCACATTCTTTAGGCGATTTGGGAGATTATGGAGAAAGGCGATTTTAGGTCAGGGAGGCAGCGAGGGAGTGAGGGAGGTGGGCGGACAAGGCAGGGGAAGTGAGGAGGCGAAAGAGGGCGGTGAAGGGGAAAGGTGGAAAATGAGGATTTGGGTGAGGGACGCCGACGGAGGAGGTGATGAAGGGGTGGAGGCAGGGAGCGAAGCGACCAGTGAAAGAGGAGGTGGGTGGGTGAGTGAGTGGGTGAGTGGGTGAGTGAGTGAGTGAGTATGAGGAGAGGCGATACGTGATGCGATGGAGTGGGCGATGAGTGAGTGATATTGTGGATGATGGTGAGTGATATTGAGCGATGCGTTGATGATGATGGGTGATGAGTGGTTGAGTGGGATGATGGTGAGTGGGGGTGAGTGGGTGGGTGAGTGGTAGTGATGAGTAGAGCGTATATGGGTGATGAGTTGATGGGGTGAGTGAGTGGTTGAGTGGGTGGGTGAGTGGTTGAGTGAGTATGTGAGTGAGTGAGTGGGTGGGTGAGTGAGTGGTTGAGTAGGTGGGTGAGTGGGTGGTTGAGTGGGTGGTTGAGTGGTTGAGTGAGTGGGTGAGTGGGTGAGTGATTATGTAGGTGGTTGATACACAGATCACACGTGAAGGCACGATTATGGTGAGAAGTACTTGACGTTGGCGAGTGCCTTGACGCGTGCGGCGGCGAGGAGGGACTGTGCGGCGATGCGGTGGCTTGCGGGTGATCTCAGGTGGGAGCGTATCCTCAGGACGTCGAGGCGGACGACGGCGATGTGCAGCAGGTACAGGAGCGACAGCGACCAGAGGGCTAATAAGGTGGTCATAAAGGGATGTCTTATTACACGAAGGTATTCATCGCACGTTTTAAATAGCTCTGTGAAATGTCTCGATTTTAATACATTTACCAACTGCTCGTGGAAATTTGTGCACGTCTTTGGACAGTTCTTTTCATTTAATATCCATGGTGCGCCCAGTGAAAACCCGTACCTATATAGTGTAGGCGTAACACCCTTGCACTGAACCATGCTGCTACAACTGCAATTGGGATTTTTGGTTTTGTCGTCCATGAGCCCATGTTGTCCACGCCTGCATTTGTTGCCTTGAAGGCAACTGCGGCACCCCCAATCCTGGCAATAGATATCCTTGAAGGCGTTGCACAGACATTCAAGGTAATACCATAATATCCAGGGTAGATAGAGAGCCCAGGACAGGTAGAGATTGGAGTGCATTTCGGCAAGGCAGTAATAGGCGTCGTGGCATAGAGTGGAGAGATATGGAGCGCACTGCTGACCGGAACATGTGGTTGTCATAGAAAGACTAGACAAGTCACCACTTTTAGTTTCATTCCCGTCGGCATCAAAAGCGGTAACATGATGTTTGGTAGAATCATGGTAATTCTGGCTGCTGCCGTAGGCGTCGCTAAGAGCACTTGTGATATTAGCGGCCGTGGTGTATAGGTCAATGGACTGCTTGGCGACAGATTCTGTAAAAGATTCTTGCAATGTTCTGACTGCTGCACTTTTATTTGATTTCGGAGTTGTGAGAGACGTTACAAGACACAATGAAAAGGCAAAGTGCTCTGGAAGCGTTGCCGGAGCCTTGGGAGCGAGGCAGAAAAAGGTTGCTAAGTTGCGGATATTGAAAAATATATCAAGAATATCACATATGTCTTTGCCCTTACGCACGCTGCCGGAAAAGCCTCTAAAACCAAGTGGCGTCAAGCACGGCATTCCTGGTTTATTTCCAGGACATGTAGAGCACTTAGATGTGCAACCAACACTGTTAAGTTGGTGAGGTAAGTGCCCTGGTAAGCAGTCAGTGAAAAAGCTCATTAATGGTGATCTAGCTCGGCAGTTTGGTTTATCGTTTGGTTCGCTGTTTGCTTGGCATTTTGGTTGACTATTTGCCTGGCACTTTGCTTCATCGGTTAAGTGAGTGTTACACTGCCAGTTATACGGTGGGACGTCCCTACCGTAGTGACACTGGCGCCAACCGTAATGGAATGTGCTGACGGCACACTGCCGCTGCAGGAATCTAAGTGGTAAGAATAATCTGCGGAAGATGTCAACGAGAATTTGGAGACAGCCGTCTCCCGATGTGGGATAGTGTAGATTAAGTGAATTGTTGGAGTAGTCACAGGCGTACCCGCACTCAGCATCACCGTAACCGGCGATAGTGGTTAGAAGAGTATGTGCATATTTGCATATTTTATTAATGGAATACGTTCTCACATCGAATATATTCGATGCGACGGCGGCGTAAGCTTTATCATTAGATAGCTTCTCAAGGTGCTTGTCAAGTTCACCGAAAGCCCCGTTATGCGGTAGCCCAGTGAGCCAGCACAGCATCTCGTTGACAGAGCACGGATGCCTTTTAGCGGCGAATGTAGCTAGGTGACCGATTTTATTGTATCTGGATAGGTAAGTGAAAATGTCTTCAATTGTCCCGATAACAGGACGGCTGTTGGAGCTATACGTCGCGGACACCGTGGATGATACAAGATTTTTATAAATGTCTTCGCCCGTCCTACTTGTCTTACATTGCGATTCGCCGTCCTTGGAGTCTTGTTTTTTGGCGATGACGAAACCGCAACGCTGTAGGAATTGGCCGAGGGGATTTTCCTTGTCGCCATTTGTCTCACAGAGCGTTTTGTTCTTCCAAGAATATTTGGAAGGATCTTCGCAGTTTGTATAAATCTCATTCACATCGCGGCTTATAGTTCTCAAGGCTGTCAGTAAAACCTTAGCACACCTTGCTTCATCACCCTCACTGAGGCCACTCCACTTGAGTCCGCTGTACCTGTTCACGTACTGTTTGCCCAGTTCGTCCGCCAGTCGCTTCGCTCCAGCGGTGAGCGCGTCGAGCAGCTCAGGGTGCTGGTGGCCGTTGAACTGCTTGGGGGTTAGCAGTGAAAGCGCATCGTTAAGTGCGGCTAGGTCAGAAGTAAACGTGTGGTCGAAGTGATACAATTTATCTTTGTGAGAGTTTTTTAGGTTAGTGAGTAAAGTGTCCAGTTGCTGTTTGAGGCGGTCGACTTGGGGGGTGGGACTGGGAGGAGGTGTAGAGAAGGATTTCATCGAGATACCATTGCAGAGTACCGGAAAAATCCGTGAATTTCTTGTGATATTGTGAACTTTCAGAAACCGTCCGATTAGCTGTTTCCTGCAAATCTTGTAGCTTGTTATTCGTAGTGAGAGTTCCAATCTTGGGAAACGCTCCGCCGTAAATTTTAGGCATAAGGCCTTTAAGGCCTGTTTTTTTGTCGGTTTCTATTATTTTTTCTATATAAGATTTTTGTTGCTCGACGAGAGTTTTGAGGGCATTTAGGTCTGCGATGCGTTCGGTTGTGAAGAGTTTTCTCACCTCGGAGGTGAGGGTTTTGAAAGCATCTTCGGTAATATGGGCGACATTATTTTTGAGATCTTCTATGGCTTCTTTCAGCTCTTTTCGGGTTTTATTGTATGCATCTACTAAGTCGCTGATGGACTTTGTCAATGCTCTCTTAGCGTCGTCCACTATATCGGTGATATTTTCCATTTGCTTGTAGAGTCGCTTTCTCAACTCCTCAATCAGACCATCCGCTTCCTTTCTCCTCTCATGAACCTTGCCTCCTTCTGAATCTTTTCTAACATCATCCAGTTTCTGAATAACGTTCTGAATATCATCCAAATTATAAACCATCGAGCCCTCAACGCTCTCATTTTTCAAAAGCCCACCAAGCTCATAAATTCTCCTCTTCGCTTCCGCCAATGCTGTCTCAATTTTCTCACCTGGACTCTTTTGGTTGTCTTCAAATTGCTCTTTTATGTTCTCCACCTTCTTTATAGCCGGCTCCAGGTAAAGGCCAATCATTGACGCTCTAGAGAACGATCCGAGAGTTTTCCATGTTTGCTTAGCGGCGAAGTGGAGAGCGGGGAGGGTGGCTCGAATCGCGAACTCGAGATAGTGTTTATGAGCCTTATCCTTGTCTAATCTGTCTATTCCATCTTCTTTCTCAATCGCCGTGGCTACCTTTTCAGCATCAATATGCTTTTTTTCTTTCATCTTCTCTCCAAGCTCCTTGGCAAATGATTCCAGACCGTTTCTTACAGCGTCGATATATCCTTGAACAGTGCCGTTTTTCTCGATATGTTTCGTGGCAGCTTCACAGCCTGGATTAATGATTTTGGCTGTTTCTAGTGCTCCAGTAATGCACTTCTTAATTGCATTACGCAATGACGGATCAATTTCAAAGTTGCCAGTCAGCTCAGTACTCTTACCCTTAATATACCTCTGAAGCCTACCATTAACAACAGTATTATCATTCAGGATATCGTCCAACCACACATACAAAACGTTTTCCTTAAACGTCTGCTCCTGTTTGAAAACATCCGCATACTCCTTCATTCCTGAAACAATCTTATTTACGCCGGAGCTAGTCCATATTGATCCTTCACCTTTAATGTCCTTAACAAGTCTCTTGACCCTCTTTTCAAGCTCCTTCCAATTTTGTCTATGCTCTCACTGTTAGTGTCCTGAACACCTTGTTTCAAGTTCGCAAAGCTCTCCTGAGCCTTTGTAACTAAATCAGTAAGTGTCACTTTGGTAGTGTATAATTGTTCATAAATGGTAGTAATTTCCTGCTTAATGTCTTCGAACTTCCCTAAAATTACATTTCGGTAAGTCCCGTCACCATTCCCTAACCAACCCTCAAGAAGCTCTTTTGCATCCTTAATCGTTTCTTTAACCCTCTCCAGGTGACCATCTTTAGTTATACTCACGTTTCTAATACCCTTCCATATTTTCTCGAATTCTTCCGTCAACTGCTCCTCAACCCTTCTCGCTTCTTCAGCAATCTCCGATTGGATATACTCCTCTTGTTTTAATAATTCGTCATCAACAGCCTGCACCTGGGTCAGCAACTCAGGATTTCCCGCAGACCGAATCAGCACCTCAACCGACTTCTGTATCGGCTCTACTTTGTGCGCTATCTGTGTTCTAAGTGATGTGTCTAATTCACTAATATTATTAGTTTCAAGTTTGTGAAGGTCTCCTGTAATGTCTCCCAGCGTCTTGGTCCACTCGTACAGTTGGTCTTTAAGCGGCCGCTCTTGCTGACTTGCAATATGATGATAGTATTGTCCACCTGCATCAGATGATAATTTATCAATCAACTTACCTAATTCCGCAGTCACTCCTCTTGTCTTCTCCCCCACCTGCGCACCATGTCTGTTCAACCACTCACTTACCTTAGCCACGGCGGCCTGGAAGGCCTCACGGCCTTTGCCTACAGCAGTATGTAAAGTGGTAATAACACTATTAATATCATTATTGTCATTATATTTTGTAACGTTATCATCATCCTTCACCCCACCAAGAACTCCATGAAGGAAAGACATCACCCCGTCGCAGAGCCTGTCAAGGTCCGAGCACAATTCTCTCCGGTGTAATTACCATTACTAAGGCCGAGAAATTTTTCGAGGCCTGTGCAGAGGTTATTTTAATAATGTTGTTGAAGGATTATTTTAGGCACATTTTGAGGGCGATTTGAGGGATTTTGGGGAAAGGCGATTTTAGGTGAAGGAGGCAGTGAGGGAGGTGGGTGGACAGGGTGAGGGAGGTGACGGGGCGAAAGAGGGCGACGAGGGAGGAAGATGGGTTGAGGAGAGGGGATTTCGGAGGTCAAAGGAATTTTTTGGAAAATGAGTGTTTGGGTGAAGGACGCCGACGGAGGAGGTGATGGAGGAGAAGGTGAGGGAGGGAGCGAAGCGACAAGTGAAGGAGGAGGTGAGTGAGTGGGTGAGTGGTGATTATTGTGAGTGGGAGTGGGTGAGTGGTGAGTGGTGGTGTGAGTGGGTGAGTGAGTGTGGTGAGTATGTGAGTGAGTGGTGGGTGGGTGAGTGGTGGTTTGAGTGGTGAGTGGTTGAGTGAGTGGTAGTGAGTGTTGGTGAGTGGGTGGTTGAGTGAGTGGTTGAGTAGGTGGGTGAGTGAGTGGTTGAGTGGGTGGGTGGTTGAGTGGTGAGTGGGTGGTTGAAGTGGGTGAGTTGGGTGAGTGGGTGGTTGATGTTGAGTGGGTGAGTGGTGAGTGATTAGGTGAGAGTGAGTGGTTGAGTGAGTGGAGTGAGTGAGTTGGTGGGTGAGTGGGTGAGTGAGTATGGTGGGTGAGTGGGTGGTGTGAGTGAGTGGTGGTTTGGTGGGTGAGTGGTTGAGTGAGTATGTGGGTGAGTGGGTGGGTTGAGTGAGGTGGAGTGGGTGATTAGGTGGAGTGAGTGGTTGAGTGGGTGGTTGAGTGAGTGGTTGAGTAGGTGGGGTTTGAGTGTTGAGTGGGGGGTGGTTGAGTGGTTGAGTGGGTGGTTGAGTGGGTGGTTGAGTGGGTGAGTGAGGGTTAGTGGGTGGTGAGTGGGTTGGAGTGGTGAGTGGGTGAGTGGGTGGGTGAGTGGTTGAGTGAGTATGTGGGTGAGTGGGTGGGTGAGTGAGTGAGTGGGTGATTGGTGAGTGAGTGGTTGAGTGGGGTGTTGAGTGAGTGGTTGAGTAGGTGGGTGAGTGAGTGGTTGAGTGGGTGGGTGGTTGAGTGGTTGAGTGGGTGGGTGAGTGGGTGAGTGGTTGAGTGGGTGAGTGAGTGTTTAGGGTGGTTGAGTGGGTGGTTGAGTGGGTGAGTGGGTGAGTGGGTGGTTGAGTAGGTGAGTGGGTGAGTGGGTGAGTGAGTGGTTGAGTGGGTGGGTGGTTGAGTGGGTGGGTGAGTGGGTGAGTGGGTGAGTGGGTGGTTGAGTAGGTGGTTTGAGTGGGTGGTTGAGTGGTGGGTGAGTGGGTGGTGATTAGGTTGGGTGAAAGGCACGATTATGGTGAGAAGTACTTGACGTTGCGAGTGCCTTGACGCGTGCGGCGGCGAGGAGGACTGGGCGGCGATGCTGGTGGCTTGAGGGTGATCTCAGGTGGAGCGTATCCTCAGGAGTCGAGGCGGACGACGGCGATGTGCAGCAGG